ATAAATAGTTCATGGTGAAGAAAATCGGACAATCCTCGCATTCCGTCTTCGCCGCTAGAAAATTTCGTACCCGCTTGGCAGCAGCCGACGAGGTCCTCTTGGCGAGGGTTCGGGAATTCACGACTCTTGTGAGTGCTGAATCTTCACGACCTTCTTAGTCCTGAAAAGGACCCTTCCCAGCCAATCGGTCTCTTGGCTCAGCCCACGGCACCATTGCGCCGTCCATTACTTCGTAAAAATCCAATCTTCCTCCTTCTTGCACGACTTGGGGGATTGGTGTGTTAGACTATAAAAAGCATCAATATCTACAAAAAAAAATATTTTTCGAAATAACGCACTCTCCCGCCTTATTGGTTGTCATTGGTGGGTTTACTTGGTCCAATCTCGAGCGACGAAGAACACCGCAGCTTTCGAGGGCAATACTTCCATGTCATGGAGGTCAGACACTGGATGGCTTCTCTGCTTTGAACCACTCTTCCTCGTTCCAATTGGACGGTGTCAGGTTCTTGGAGGTGGTCACGTTGCCTGCATATGTAGGGAATAGGCTGGCTGAGCCACACTCCCTCCTGCAGTATTCCTTTCCTTTTTCGAGATCGCAGGGAGGGAAATTTTTTTTTTTTTTCTTTTGATGGACATGGGGATAGATACTGAACTCGGAGACGAGATGTTGATGTTGTGGTGTAACTTGGGGTTGATACCATTAATCGATAATACCTGAGATCATCAGGTGGGATAATCGGGTTTGGTCTACATATGCGAAGCAGGAAACAAACATCAATTGATATCGACTTTGGAAATCTTCTATTCGCCTCATTCCCATCCTGTGGTTTGGAACTGTTCTATCCTGTCAGATCGGGGTAACTTTCAACACGGCGAAACATCAAGAGGAACTCTCGTCTTGGTGCTAATACAAGCCATGCCATCCTTTGTATGCACATGATGCAGCTAGTCCTGGCCTATCCCTGGAGAATAGGACCCTGGATTGTTTGCCTGCACTCGACGATTAAATACTTGGATCCTTCGGTATTAAGGGTCTTAGGCGATCGAGCCTATCAAGCACAAGACGAGACCATCAGGCGTAGATGCGCAGCTCTTTGGAGGTATTGTCTCGTGTACCTCGTAACAACGAGCCTATAGGACTTCGGTATCCTCGATGTTGGGGCGCCTTAACTCGAACACTGTGCAACACTGCATCTGGAGTATCAATCGATGCCTTATCATGATGGGTTGCAGTGGCAAGCTCTTCAAACCCCCTCCACGCCCACGAAGCAAGGGAATGCATCAATGATGGCGAGCGAGCGGCTCCACAAACTGGCTCATCCAGCCAGGGCATCCTCTTTTAAGGGTTCTGCGTTCCGCGCAGAAATTCTACTCTGAATAGTTGTCTGACTGCAATTGACTGAGAATGGGGCTTGAGGTACCGCTTCGGAGAGGATATGTGCGAAGAGCATTCTGGAACTCGAGTGTAAGTAGTGGTCCTTAACTCGTATAACAGTGCTCCGAGAGCCCGAACTGATCGACTAGCTCATCGATATGTCATCGCGATACATTAACCTCTCAGCCTCGTGAGATCAAAAGACATCAAGAGTTAATACCAGATCCCCTCATCCCTTGCCTTCAACCGCGTCCTCGCGTCGTCAACACCGAGAAAGCGTCCACTCTTTGTCCCGGCGCCACACTCCTATAGAAAGAGTATAGGGCGCTGTTCAGGATAGAAAGGGAGGCGGCCTAAACGTTGAACCCTTTCATGCCCTAGAGAAGGACCCTTAGCCGGGAAGAGGCCCGATCATTCACCGCCATCGCCTGCATTGGCGGGCGCTGGCACGACGAAGTACTCAGTACTCATGCCTCGTACGAAGTGCGGTCGGTTTGCCAAGCCCTGTTCTTACCCCTGAATCGGTGCAGGTACCCTAAATGCACTGTTCTAACCGTCCTGTCCCTCGGTAAAGTGTAGATCTCCTCGCACCGGCGGTGTACATTACAGTGCGAAAGGCAGGAAGTTGCCCGACCTGACTCTGTCCAGCCTCTTCGCCGTCGAGATGCAGTCAGTGGGAAGCACAGCGTGGTTGATCCTTTCCTTTGATGGTTTGGATTGAGCGCTCAAGATGTACCTTGTCGATTTTTAGTGGGCGCCTCCTCTGGAGTAGCGCAAGGGGCACTACGCCAATCCCGCTCTAGTGTCAGGAACACGCTCCTCTCCCCTGGCACTACAGGTCAGCCTCCAAAAAAGTGATCACTGCTTATTCTATCCTTCCACAACCTTGGAATGTTGGACGCTAACTCCACTATCTTACAACTTTCCTCGGTAATGGAAAAGGAGTGGAAACTGCTTATAATCGCGCTGATGTTTACTTTGTACGCGCTGGCGACGCATAAACATTCTACTTGTATACCTCGTAAACTACTTCTTAGGCTTGGAAAAGGGGGCCGGGATTTTCTTGCATAGACGCCGGCGAATCTTGGGGCGAGACGCGCCAGTGGACTGCTTCGACTGGGCTGACAAGGCCCCCATTTGAATCCGCCCACACAAAAAACCGTGGGCTTCGTGCCTCATGGCGAGACTTCTCGCATGACAAAGGTTTGGCCCTTGCTGCTCCACTGGCCTCTGTCCAGGAAGTGGACACTATGGAGTACCTCAGTACACTATTTCAGAGTCTTCCCACCATCCTCCTCGTCCAAGGGTGTCGTAGTGTCAGGACTACGCAGACCCCACCTATACCCTGCAATCCCTTCAGGCTTTTCTGCTTTTGGCTTGGTGGCTTCTCCAGTCGATGTGTTTCCGATCAAGAGAATCGCAGCCCCGAAACGTCCGTTCGCCTTGCAAGTTGTCTGCTCCCTGTTAGCGCCATTGAATCACACGTCCGTGAGAACTGGGGACTGACGAGGTTGTGTGGTGCACTTGTAGTTACGAAGCGAGTACGTACCCTGCCCGAACTTATCATGGAATGCACCTAACTAGTTTACTTCGTACAAAGTATGACTTCGTAGACCCACTCACGTCTCGGCGTCCAATTCGAAAGCCGTGGAAGGAATTCTCACGAGGGTTTCCCGGCGGCCTTGCCTCCTCCTATGACCAGCCTCAAAAACCCTGGGATGCTTCTGTGCACCATCATGACATAACGTTTAACCTCTTTATTTTCTGGTCTAGATGAGACCGAAGCGTGCTCGCAGAGAACATTGCCCTGTCCCGGTCCTTGTTCTCGCGTGTGGTCAGGAGATCTGGTCCCCAAGAGAACGTGAGTCTTGTTTGGTTTCTCTACTTCGTACAATGTTGGGGGAGTAATGCGACACTACTTCGTACTTCGTACATCTTCAAGGATGCCTGTGCTGTACCCCTTTTCTTTTCCAGACATGCAGGAAGTACTCTGCAGCACGAAGTATCCAGTACCTTTGACCCGTCGATTGTCTCTTTGGTTCTTAGGTACTCCTATTCTTTCCGTTCCTCGTCGAATAGTGGTATCGGGTACTTGGCCTGGCCATTACCTGTGCCTGACATCTGGCACCAGGGTCACGATGTATGACACTGGGCATATTCCGTTGTACGAAGTAAGGGAAACCCACAAGATTATGTCCACGAAATCGCTGCTGTTTCTTTTCGAATGGATTATGGGAGGGAAAAGAAGAAAAGACCAGCTATTAATTCCTCTGGAAGGGCGGCAAGATCGGCCGAAGTGTCCAGTCATAGCTGTCATCTTTAGTTGACTTCAGGAGAGACCGAGTATATCCAAGACTTGGTGTAAGACGCCGTGATGTGGTCGGACAAAGAAGCTCGGTTGGTCTCCTTCCCGTCCTTTGAAGATCCAACCAGAGTTGGCCTCCTTCAGATATGAAGGGTACATCTAGCATACAGGCACCAAGTATCACAGTACGGATTGAGGACTAGAGAATCGGGTCCTGAAGGGATTGTACCTCTTACTTTAGGATCTATGGTATTTACCAGTTCCAGAAAGGTATTAGCTACAAAAGAGGAAGAGCGAAGTACACAGTGGAGAGCGGGTTAGGGGATTTGACGGGCCCGCTAAACCACAGAACGATCTTTGTTAGTACATCGCCAGGTCAAGCAGGAGCGAACCGGTCGCCAAAAAAAGGTAGACAAAAAAAAGTCGGCGTCCCTTAAGGCCTGGAGATGGGGTCGTGTGGAGGACTGGGCGTCTCTGCACCTCTCCACAGCTCTCTCTGGGTGATCTAGCCCTGGCCTGCTCGAACCAGAAGAGCGGTGTCCTTGCACCACCACACCTCCAGTCCAAGGCAGGCACAGACAGGCTAGCACTGTCTTTTTTTTCTCTCACCCACTCCACAGTCCACACCCTCCCAAACCCGCCCACTCATTCCTCCCACCCCTGGCATTGGTATTATACCAGGGTTATCCGCCCACCACTTTTCTCTCGCTCTCTTGCTCTTCTTCCCTTTCTTATCCTCATCCTGCGTATCGATCGTCGAGGCCATACATTTTGCCTTTCACCGTCCTCTTCCCCAGTCTTTCTTTTTCTTTTTCTTCTTTTTTCCCTTCCTGTCACTCTTTCAAAATACTGTCTAGCTAGTTCGGAATAACCCGTTCACTCCTTCCGGGTTCCATTACATTCATTTAGGCTTGACTTGTCTCCCAGCTCTTCATCCCAATTTTCGACACACCAACGTTTCACGATTTCAATCACCAGTCCCTGGTCCCAATAGTATCCTCTTTCCTTGCTTGATAGGGATAGGACGACACTCCTTTGAACAGTTTTACTATCCAGTCGCGCATTCACTCTTTCCCCTTTAACCTATTAGTCTTCATCCTGGACTTCCACGACTCCGCGACATATCCATTCCCCCGTCGGTTTATACTATTATATGCCTTTTTAATTAGTCCAACTAAGACGACACTCTTTATTTCTCGATCTCTCGACGACCATTGACCCGGCCGCTCGAATTACTTCGATTCCGAACCCGCAGAAAGAACTCGTCGAGCCATCGAACAACCCGCACACACGCACTATATTTTCGGCGAAATCTTAAGAATGGCCACGAAACTTGAGCCTTCGGCGCTTGCTCCGAACGCCGGGACACCGGGTGCCCCGACCCCTTCCCCTTCGCCTGGATCCTCAGTCACGCCGATCAAGTCTGAGTCTAAGACGGAACACAAGCCACTGACCAATATCACACCTACAAATGGTCAGACCCCGTCGAGGAGGCCCCCTCGAAAGAGTACCTTGACCCAGCAGCAGAAGAACCAGAAGAGGCAGAGGGCGACCCAGGACCAACTCGCGACTCTCGAGCTCGAATTCAGCAAGAACCCTACTCCCACTGCTGAAGTGCGAGACCGGATAGCTGAGGAAATCAACATGACACAACGATCTGTCCAGATCTGGTTCCAGAACAGGTGAGTTCCAGGAGACAAATTCTGGCGTTGTCGCCATAAGCATGCTGACTTGAACAACCACGATAGACGCGCCAAGATTAAGCTCATGGCGAAGAAGCATCTTGAGAACGGTGAGGATCTGGATTCGATCCCCGAGTCCATGCGCCAGTATCTTGCCATGCAGGCCATGGAATCCGGAAAGGGTCTTGGCGGAAGCTTTTTAGGCCGCACTGGACTCTTCCCCTATGGAAATGGGATGCTCCTTGGCGGTGACCCGACCGGCCAAGGCAAAGTTCGTAAGTGACATCCAACTCCACCTCCCTTTCCTTTAGTTCCTTGTGCGGGTTATATCTAGCTCGCCCGACATTGGAGTGTAAAACTCCCGCCTCTACTCTCTGTATGGTGCTGACTGATCGCGCCCAGTCATTCAACATCTCACCTGTCGTGCTTTGAGCATTGGCACCTGGACGCGTGTCGGTCAGAATATGATGGATCTCATCGTCTTCTACTCTCCCGATAAGTGTACGATGACCTACTACATCAACAACGAACAGGCCGGGTACAAGATCGAGTACCCATTTGCCTACGTCAAGAGCATCTACCTCGAGAACAACGAGGGAGACCCCACTAAACCTGGTGGTATTGTGATCGAGCTTAACCGCCCGCCTCACTTCTTCATGGACTCGAGCACCAACGCTCAGGGTTTCTACCAGGTGAACGATTTCACCGAAGACCTCCAAGCTTCGCGATGCCTCATCCACCGCCTTGGTGGAAGCCCCAAGGTTCTCAGCGGTCAGCTTGCCAAGCTTGTTTCCCTCGAGTCCTTCATGAACCGCCACCTTCACCAAGCCCCGCCACCCATGTTTGACACGCACGCACTGTCGGTTTCTGCTCCCGTATCGCCGACGGCCCGTCCTTCGTCTCAACCCAACTTCGCCCAACCGCACGTCGGCATGTTCCAGGAATCGTGGGGCATTAACAACATGCAGCCTGGTATGCGCGGACCCGGCCACAAGCGACAGCGAAGTCGCTCCGTTCCCATGCCTGTGGACTTCTCCCTTTTCCAGACGCCGATGCCGTCCTTCTACATCCAACAGCCTGGCGAGGCAGCGCCTCAACCGGCCAGCCCTAATATCTTCGCGCCTGTGCCTCAGCAACCCCATGGTATCGGCCCGAACCTGCGAATCGACACCCAGGCTGGCTTCGGCCTCGACATGCGCCAGTACCCCATGTCGGCAACCACTGCTTCGCCCTCGGATTTCTCGAGCCCTAATTTCTTCGCTGCGCAAGGCCCCGAGCCAACTCCACTCCCAGTGAATACTCCGTACAGCAGCACATTCCTCTCGCCCATGGTTAACCCGTCGAACATGCCTCCTCCCTCGGTCTCGCCCTTGTCCTTCAACGGCCCCTCGGAGCCCTCGATCGTCGAGCAGTCGCCTCCTATGGCCATGCTAGGGCGCCCTGCTTCGGCCGATGCCTATCAGATGAACGATTCTTGCGCAGTATCTGACGACGGCACGAACCTGAACGAGATGTACTCGAAACATAGCATCAACCTTCCTCTCCACCCTCACTCACCAGCCTACGTCGAGCAGCAGCAGTCCGAGGTGGACATGAACCAGCTTGTCCAGTTTGATTCGGCTGAGCCGTCAAGCCTCTCTCCCGAATCTATGGGACATGGGCTCGGTCAGGGTCAAGGGATGGCGCAGGCCACACCTCAAGCTGCTCAATAAGGGGCGCTACGGTGCTAACAGACTGACTCCCAAGGGGAACACAATGTCAATTGATTGGAATCTTGGGATAGAGATGTGGAAGGGCGTATACAGATTGGGAAAGGGATTTGAAACAGCAATCTACGACGACGAAATGAGTTATTCTGATATCCGAATTTTGCCTCTTTTCCCTTTTTATTTTTTTTATCTTGGATTTGGTCTCTTTTTCTGTTTCGTTCTCTCCTCCTTTTTTCCCCCGTCGTTGAAAAATATTGGTCTTGTTTCCTTTGTCGTTTCATGTTGAAATCATTATACCAGGCGTTTCTGGTGGTTTTCGAGACTATACCTAGAGCTTTTTTCCTCCCCCTAGCCTTGTGCTGTTTGTTTTTTTCTTTTTTCTTCCCTCCCGTTATTGTCTATTCCATACCTGTTTTCTGCACGCTTTTGTCTCTTTGTCGCTTCTGGTTTACGCGACGCGAGGCTCTTGACGTACGTTCTCCGGACATGATGGGTTGCTTTATTCAGCACATTCGATTCGGGCAGTCGCTTGGCGACTCCAGACGCATCTGGGCGTCTCTTGTTTGTTCCTCGATTTCGTTCAGTGGGGTGGGATTGATTGCCCGGTCGAGTCCAGTTGGACGGACGACTGAACACGACTTGGGAAGTTCGTCTTTTTTTTGGCATCAATGTTTTCCTTTACCGCGCAGGACATAATACTTGTTCTTAACCTGCCCAGCGCGCATCTCCAGTATTGACAGAATACGAGAGCCGTTTCTCCTGTTCGAGAAGACGCTAGGTTCTCAACCTAATAATTGACTTCATATACTTTGCACAGTCACTTGGATTGACTTTTTGTCCCCCAAAGAATCTTTATCTTGATGTGTTCACTCTCGTATTCAAGCTCGTGATGGATTGCCTTGCTGGGCCACGCAAGCTCCGCGTGGATCTGCAGTCATCATGGCGACTGCATGATTGGTTTTTTCTTTTAAACTCTGATAAAAAAAATAATAAAAAAGGCTCTTGCTGCAAGCCAGGCCAGTGAGAGGAGGGCATGCGTCACGAAATCGGAAAAGGAAACGAAGAAAAGACAAAAATAGAAGAAACCATCAAGTTTGAAGTTACGGAAACGACGCAAATTGTGTGAACGATCTCTCATAAGTTTCATGACACAGGAGCTTTGGGCAGGTCGAGGAGTGAGACGGTTGCCATCGATTCAGGTTCCAGGACTTGGAAGTTCCCAGAGGGGGAGGGTGGGGATCGAAACGGAAGAGCTTCTTTTCCCGTCATTTACAGATTCTTGTTTCTACGAAGCCGGGTGTTTTTGGAAATGTAAAACGTGATGGTAGTCTAAATGTTCAAATTGTCCGGGTGAGACACGGACTGCTTGGCGAGGACTTGTCTTTGGCTTTTTTCTCTCCTCTTCTTTTTTGATTTTTTCTTTTTCCTCTTTATTCTTCTACACGAGGAGCCACGCGTCTACGATTAATGGGTCAAGAGATGGATGGATGGATGGATGCGTAGCGGGGAGCCCTCCCGTCTGGCCGGGACGTGCTGCAGCATATCAGACATGCAGATTTGGCGATGGGTTTGGATTGGCAAGAGGAGGATTGGAACCATTGGTGCCCTGGCTCTTTGGGTATCTCTCTTCACGGTTAGGAACAGGAAAATTTCTAATCTAGGAGGATTTGCCACCTTGGTCTGGTAGATTCTTCGAGAGAGAGAAAGGGGGGCTGCGCAGGATTTGGGAAGCATTTGCTCTACACCACCATTGATGATGGGGTTATGGCGCCAGTCCATACCGTAACTCCGCACACTACTAGCATTTCGTACGTTGATATCAAGGCAATCCGGGGTTTAGTGTGGGCGCCAGGAGTGGGCTCAACTATGCTTCCGTGTGCTCCCCTTGGCGTTTGACTTTTTTCTGGTGGCTTTAAGTCCTGCCTGGCTTCCAAGAAGACAAACGGCATTTTTGTTTCTCCTCCTTTGTTGGGCCTTTTTTTTTTTTTTTTTTTTTTTTTTTTTTTTTCTGTGGCTCGAATTAAGCTCCTTCCATCCGCTGGCGATGGGCTGATGGGGTGAACATTCGGTGAAAGAGTATCTGAAGCGGAAGCGCTACAAGGTGTTTCCGACGGGCGCCTTCTGCATGCATAAACGTACTCAGTACTAGAGATCGAGGCCGAGTCGATAGAATCAGCCGATGGGAGGCTATCTCTGGGTTCCTGGGTTGGGGCGAACCAACGAATGATTGCTTTGGTCTCTGTTCGGAGAAAATCGTACTCCGGACTTGTCTGGTGTACGGACCCTGCTTGGCTTTGAGATAATGCGTAAGGAGGATGTTTGACAGCGGGCTGTGCTGAGTTTACAAAGGTACGAAGCGAAGCAATTGTCCTGGTGTTGTGGATGGAGCATTTGATATGTGGCGATAATGATACTCCGTAATTGTGATCAAGATCAATCAATGTTAAGATTACTTTCCACGTACGAAGTATGAAGCGCGTACTTCGTCCTCCGTATTGGTTTAGTTGACTTCCAAGAAACTCGCCTTCCAATTGTTCTTTTTCATGCAAGGGCACATGATACGGTCCCTCGGTCCTTCCGTCTTGCCAAACCCTCCGCTACGACCATGATGGTCGATTGCTCCTGCTGCTTGCTTGTTGGCGGCGGGCGGGAGGTCCGGTTTGGGGAGGTACAGAGGAGCGTGCATGGATTTTGTACTTTGTATACAGGTAGTTTACTCGCATACACTACCTTGGCCTGGTGGAATGTGGAAGATACGAAGTACTGTACTTCGAATGTACAAGTGATCAAGGCGGGGACCACATGCAGACACCAGACCACACCACGAGCACGCTACTGCTAGTACGAGACTATAGAGTAGCACCCTGCGTCAGCCTTTGAGTTACACTCCACTCCACCACCACAATGCACCCACTACGAGGGATCGATCCCAGTGAGGAGAGCAAGAACACTCAAATCAATGCTTTCCCACGCTAAAAAGCTCTTTTTTCCCGACCACCACGGGCTTTGAAGAGGGGGGGATCGGGGCGGACTCAGCCACCAGACCACGCCGCCTGTCATGACCTGGATCGCCCATGATTGGATCAATCATGAATCTGCCCTTTCAGGTTTCTTCTGCGTGCGCCCCGCTGTTGGCGGTCTACTTTTCGTCCAAGTGCAACATAGTACAGTCTTACGAGGTAGAAGTAGACTGCTGCACTGCTTCAATGCAGTTTATTCCGTTGTTGACAGCGGACCGGGACTTTGCTGAACTGCATTGATCAATTCTGACTGGCGGTACTGGTGTTCCTGGTGTTGCGGAGACTTGGAGTCCGCCGATTGCGCATCACCAAATCCCGAGTACGAAGTGTTAAACTGGTACCAAATTAATACGGGCTTTGGGCCTGCCCCATATTAACGAAACAACCCCATCAGGGAGAAGGATCACATTGATTGAGTGTGGCGGGTTTTAGTGAAGAGCGGCGCATGTGCGCTTGCGTAAGTACAACTAACATAAAGTAAAAATACCGAAGGTAGAAGTTAGCGGTGGTTTATCCCCAGACCCTGAGACGGGAAACTGGAAACAGCACTCGGCCGCAAAACATCGTCAATGTCAACGGGGCCTCACCTGTCATTGATTTTCCCTCACTCTCATCCCACTCTCCTCTCCCCTCCAACCTTGCCATGCAGTCGCTATCATTGAATTGATCTTAACACTATTCAATCATTCTATATAGACCTGGCTAGCTTTCTGTGTCCATTCTTTTATTTGTTCCTCTCCTGGGCGAGAGCCTGAATCCTCCCCATCCATCAATTGATCCCATCCTAGCCTGGAGAGCCAGCCAAGCCTTTTTCGTGTTTTTACCCGTCCAGACCTGCACCGACCTTCCCAGTCCGCTTGACGATCCCAGTAATTGCCAGACACCCCCATGATTGCTGCACTTGTCCACGTTCTGCCAAGTGTTTAAGTGTTTGGAACACCCACGCAATATCATCGCCAATCAACTTCCGTCCACACTACACGAGACTGCCCTGCTGATGAACTGTCGTTGAATTAAAACTTGCTACACTACATTCTTTTTTTCTCAGTCTGTTCCAGCCTTGGCCCTCGGATTTTTTTATCCCTACCCTCGTGCAAGGTTTCGGAACTCCTTGTCGAGCTTCACCGTTCTTTCGTTTTATTTTCCTCGAACTGCCGTGACCTCGGCAGTTCACACCCACTTCGAAGCATCGAACCCCCGAAACAGGACGGGATCCTGGGAATAGAGGACAGACAAATCAAGAGAACAGTGCCTTTCGCGAACCGGCCATCTGACACCTTCGTCGACGGATGGTGAATCTTCTCTTGACCTCATGGCCTCACGCCCGAGCGGGGACCACCCTCGCGACTCCTCTCACCCGCGAGTCCCGAATGATCCCGCTCGATCTCGATCTACCCGCTCCCTCGATCACTCTTCCGGTCCTTACCATGCTCCCTCTGGAGATCATTCTCCGGCCCGTAGATATCAGTTCGATCCCTCCTCTTCCTCTACCATCGCTAGCCCGACCAGCGCGAGATTAAATCGCTCGACCTCTGCTACGAATATCCGCAATGACTACGATCGTCATCACGTGCGATTCTCTCACCACGATACCTCGAGGTCTCCGTCCAGGGCACCGCCGGACTCCTCCACCGTGAAGAATTCCGAGAAGCTCTCCATGAACGATGATGCGCCTACCCTCACCGTTACCGCCACCCCGAGTGCTGCTACCATGTCCGACTACACCTTCACCTCGAAGTTCGGGCTTCTAAGGCCCTCGCGCCTGAACGACACAGCCGATGCCGTCAAGCACCGCGCCGCGTCTATATACCGCAAATACATTATAGAAGGCCTACTGCGCCAGAAGCCTCTGCCACCCAGTCGCGATGGACGCCACATCCCGCTAGATATCTCGAGCCACTGCCCCCAGGACCTGGTGGATGAGAGGTCTGGGAAGCCCTACATTAACAACTTCATCAGATCTAGTCGATATACCGTATGGGATTTCCTGCCCAAGCAGCTCATCTTCCAGTTTAGCAGGCTGGCCAACTTTTACTTTTTGGTTATGGGCACCATGCAAATGATTCCCGGCCTGAGCACGACTGGCAAATACACCACCATAGTACCACTGGCCATCTTCGTGTCGTTCAGTATGGCGAAGGAGGGCTATGATGACTATCGGCGGTATACCCTCGACAAGGCGGAGAACCGCAGCAGTGCCTGGGTGCTTCGTGGTACCAAGGACGAGTCCGGCATGAGGCGACCTAACAAGCTAATAGACCGCGTCAAGAAGCGTTCCGACAAAACAGACTCATCGAGGGACGAAGAAGATGTAATCGAGGAGGTGCAGCAGGATGGCGACTGGATGCGCGTCGAGTGGAAGGACATGATAGTTGGAGACATTGTCCGCCTGAACCGTGATGATAATGTTCCCGCCGACCTCATTCTCCTTCACGCTACCGGACCCAACTGCGTTGCCTACATCGAGACGATGGCACTGGACGGCGAGACCAACCTCAAGAGTAAACAGGGCTGCCCCTTACTCGCAGGCCGCTGCCATAACCTTGAAGGCCTTCGATCGGTTCAGGCCGAGATTGTTTCCGAGGACCCAAACCTTGACCTCTACAATTATGACGGACGAGTTACCGTCAATGGCGAGACCTTGCCACTTACCTCGAATAACATCATCTACCGAGGCTCAACCGTACGCAACACGACCGAAGCGATTGGACTTGTCGTCAACTCGGGCGAAGAATGCAAGATCCGGATGAATGCCCACAAGAACATTCGTGCGAAGGCGCCTGCCATCCAGAGCATCGTCAATAAGATTGTCCTGTTCCTCGTGTTCTTCGTCGTCATGCTCAGCATTGGTCTGACTATCGGATACTACCGGTGGAGGGCTGGCTTTGAGAAGCACCTGTGGTTCCTCATGGGCGCCAGCCTGTCTTTCAAGAATATTTTCATCGCCTTCCTCCTTATGTTCAACACTCTCATTCCCTTATCACTCTACATCAGTCTTGAAATTATCAAGCTCGGTCAGCTTTACTTCCTTGGCGACGTGGAGATGTACGATCCCGTCACTAACACACCCATGGTGGCCAATACCATGACCATTCTCGAGAATCTCGGCCAGGTAAACTACGTCTTTTCCGACAAGACGGGTACCCTTACGGAGAACGTCATGCGCTTCCGGAAAATGTCGGTCGCCGGTATGCCGTGGCTCCACGACATGGATGTCAAGCGCGACGAGGCCGACAAGCAGCGCAAAATTGAAGAGTCCGAACGTCTACGCAAAAGCAAGAAGAAGAAGAAGAAGGCGAAGCAGGCCGCCGCCGCTACTACATCTCTTGGCAAGGTACTCGATGATGACGATGATGACGCGGCTACTGGTGTCGGTGTCGGTGGTCCGGCCGGAGCCCGTGAGAGCTTTGCGTTGTCCGACCTAGGCTCGCCCGTTTCGCCCGTTACTCCTGGAGGTCATTTCTTCCGCGGCCCTGTTGCGTCATCATCTAGGTCCATGACTCGTGTGGCGGCTGGTTCAGAGCCCAAGACGGAGCAACTTTTACGCTATCTTCGCGAGCGTCCCAATACCTCCTTCTCGAGGAAGGCGAGGCACTTTATCATCTGCATGGCACTATGTAATACTTGTTTGCCGGAAATCAAGGAGAATGGACAGATTGCGTATCAAGCCTCATCTCCCGACGAGCTCGCCCTTGTCGAGGCTGCCCGCGACCTTGGCTATGAGATGATTGACCGTCCTGCCGATAGCATCAAGCTAAGGTACACCGACGCCACCACTGGGAATACTGTTATCGAAGTATTTGAAATACTCGATGTCATCGAGTTCACGAGCAAGCGGAAGCGCATGTCCATCATTATCCGGATGCCAGACGGTCGCATCTGTGTCTTGTGCAAGGGCGCCGACAGCGCTCTCTTGCCACGTTTGAAGCTGAGCAACCTCGCGATCCAAAAGGCCCGTGAAGTCGAGATCCAAGCAAACAGGCGCCGCAGTCAGGAGCAAGAGAATATCATCCGCAGGCGGAGCTTGCACGGAACTCCCCGCAATAGTATGGCTTTAAGCCGTTCCTCGACATCCGGCGTCCGACCGGCGCTTGCTAAGGCTCGCGCGTCGCTCGACTTTAGGCGCATTTCGACGGATATCGGCCGTGAAAGCCACGACTACCGCAACCTTCGCAAGTCGATGAGTGACATGGGGGTGACTTCTCCGACCGTCGCGTCCAAGAATGATGGCTACCTTTCTCCACGACCTAGTTTGACTCTATCTACGTATGAGATGCTTGAAGGCCTCGTCGACGAGTCTGTCGCCATTAACGAAGGTACGGTCTTTGAACGGTGTTTCCAGCACACGGACGACTTCGCTACCGAAGGTCTGCGTACCCTTCTCTTCGCGTACCGCTACATCGAGGAAGACGATTATCGCACATGGAAGAAAATTTACCACGAAGCGACGACGAGCTTAGTTGATCGACAGGAGAGGATCGAGGCTGCTGGTGAGCTGATTGAGCAAAAATTTGACCTTGCTGGGGCCACTGCCATCGAGGACAAGCTGCAGGAGGGCGTGCCGGAAACCATTGATAAGCTGAGGCGGGCAAACATCAAGGTTTGGATGCTCACGGGTGACAAGAGGGAGACGGCCATTAACATTGGCCATTCGGCGAGGGTGTGTAAGCCGTTTTCGGAGGTTTATATCCTTGACGCCAACTTGGCGAACCTCTTTGACACGCTCACGTCGACGTTGACCGAAGTCGGCCGCGGCATGGTGCCTCACTCTGTGGTGGTCGTTGATGGGCAGACGCTTTCCGACATCGATGACGACAAGACTCTTAGCGCTCTGTTCTACGATCTTGTTGTTCGCGTCGATTCCGTCATTTGCTGTCGAGCTTCCCCCTCGCAGAAGGCCCAGCTTATCAAGAAGATTCGTCACCGCGTCCCCAAGACGATGACGCTCGCAATCGGTGACGGCGCCAACGACATTGGTATGATTCTCGCCTCGCACGTCGGCGTCGGAATCTCGGGCCGCGAGGGTCTGCAGGCGGCCCGTATCGCCGATTACTCGATTGCTCAGTTCCGGTTCCTCCAACGGTTGCTTTTCGTACACGGCCGATGGAACTATATCCGCACCAGCAAGTACGTCCTCGCGACCTTTTGGAAGGAAATCTTCTTCTTCCTGGCCCAGGCGCATTACCAGCTGTTCACCGGCTACACGGGCACGTCGCTGTACGAGAACTGGAGCTTGACAGTCTTCAACGGCGTGTTTACCTCGATTCCCGTCATCATTCTGGGTATTCTGGACCAGGACCTTAGCGCCAAGACGTTGCTGGCTTTTCCCGAGCTGTATAACTTTGGTCAGCGGTGCAAAGGGTTCAACTATATGAATTTTATCACCTGGAGCGTGATGGGCGCTCTCGAGTCTTGCCTGTTGTTCTACGTTGTGTGGGCCGTGTATAGGAACATGCAGTTTACATCGGATACGTCGCTCTACGCCATGGGAAGCGCATGCTTTACGGTTGGTGTCTTGTTCATCAACATTAAGCTCCTGTAAGTGTGGACTCTCACCCTCTCTCACCCAGTGTTGGGAGACATAAATTTCGATGACTAACTTGGAGCGCAGCGTACTTGAAATGCACAACAAGACAATCATCACGTTTGCTGGTCTCTTCCTCTCCATCACGGGATGGTTCATGTGGAATCTTCTCCTCGGCGCCATCTATCCTAGCGGCCTCAAGATTTACCAGGTACCTGGCGCGTTTATGCACAACTTTGGCCACACCCTCACGTGGTGGACCATTGGCCTACTTGTATTGCTAAGCCTCATCGTCATCGAGCTGATTTTCGCCGCCGTACGACGAGTGTACTGGCCGGGCGACTGGGACATTATGCAGCGAGTCGAAAAGGAAGGCCGAGTAGAGGAGATGCGCAGAGAGGTGGATGCTGAGAAGGGAGAGGTCGAAGGCATAGACGTGATCGATACCAGCCCTGTTGCCGACGGCGCAATGGAGATGCGGGAAGTGAGAATCACGGGGGACACGCTGACCGTGCCTGGCGCGGCGGGAAGCGAGATCCGGACGAGTTTCCAGGAGATGAGATCCAGCTTCCACGACACTCGATCGAGCTTCCAGGAAAACAGACGCAGTTTCCACGAACGAAGGGCGGACACGTCGGCGCACAGGTGGCCACGGCGGTCGCATGACGAGTACGTTAGGCCGTCGTTTACGCCTTTGGCTGAAGAGAGGAGGAATCCGTTTGATAGAGTGGGGGGGCAGAATAGCCTGCCCGAAGACGGAAGAGAGAGTTGAGAAGCCGCGAGATCCTACACACAGCTTGCGCGCCCGAGTTATGGGAACCCTATGCTAGGATGATCCCACCACATTCATTATCTTTGTTTTTTAACGACCGGTCTTTGCATAGAGAGGAGAGCATGCCTGTATATAGTCACTCCTTTAACGTTTGGTTCTCACGGCCGGTTTCTCAAGAAGAGGCGGGTAAAAAAGAAAGAGAGCTCGGAGTTTTTGCCGTTCATTGGGTTGGTTCTTTCACAACTTTCGTTTACTGTTGCTTTTGGTTGGTGGTTTGCTCGCGTTTTTTTCTGCTCCATGATACCATGATTTTGGAGGGAGGGGGTTGGAACCAGAGGGTGTCTTCTTCAACCCTTTTGTGGTTTTGTTTTCTCTTCGTGTCTATTGATTGGGTTTTTGGGCTTTAGAGGTATATATGATTGCACAATGCCAATTCTGCACATAAACACCATGGGATGTCTGGATCTGAGCTATTTCCTCTTGATGAACTTTGTCTGGTTTCTTAGAGAAGCACATTGCTTAGTAGAGGACTAGTCTGTGAGTAACTCACATGTACGAAGCAGCATGAAGAATGCTAGAAGGGGAAAGTCTTTTGAAGTATTTGCCGGCGGGATTTAAGCTATTGGGCTTTGTTTTGCTTGTATGCGCCGCTCCCGCTTCGGCTTCGGTCCGTGTGGTTTGGCGGGGGTGATTTGCTAGATATCCGAGCGCGGTGGGTGTTTCAAGATCTTTTTTGGGATATTTACCGACTGACCTTCGCATCCTTCTTTTTCGTCCTTTAAGCAATCTTGAACACTCTTTTTTTTTTTTTTTTTTTTTTTTTTTTTTTTGGAACCGAGAACGCCTCGGTGAAGCGGTTTTCCAATATAGTTTAATCCTGCTTGCGAATAAGCTTAGTTCCCAAAGGAACAGCAAGAATATCCGTAACTGTCGGTGACAAAGGCGGGTTCCGAGGAGGGAAGGGAAAGGCAACACAATGCGGGTAAGGAAGGAACCGACGGTAATGGTCAGCGAAGAAGCGGCGGAGCTACGGCTTCGGAAGGAGACGACGATGACTGGGGTTGAGGTTTGCGAGGTTGATTTGACGGTTCGGAGGACCGAGGTGGAGTTTACGGTTCCTACTGGGCGTGGTCACAGAGAAGAAGGGCATAGCAAAGCAAGAAGGAGGTTGCTGTTCTGGGAAGAACTACGTGAGTTTGTTTCCCAGCATCGATGATTCGTGTAAGAGAATGGACGGGCTATAGCTGACGATGGTGCAGCGGAGTGGCAGCAGTGAGTTGTATTCATGGATATCTGTTTTCTGACTGAGAGGCCTGAGCTTAACGGAGCTTTTCATAGACGGGGAAGCGAGCATATCCGAGGCGGCTATCGGTTTGTTTAATCCTCCTTTTTCTCATCTCCTAGTTGGTGAGAGAAGTGAGCGAGTTGCTAAATCGTTGATAGACGAGCATGCGGATCTGTCGTAGAGTGCCTCAGGAGCTGGGCATATCTCCACAATGAATCAGGTTCCGTCTCCACCTCGCCCGTCCGTCCAACTCCCTCAAAACTTCACTAACACCTTCAAACAGTCAACATCTGGTCCCACCTCATCGGCGCCCTCATCTTCCTCCCCCTCCCCTACTACATGTTCATCACCTCCCTCCCCCCACGCTACGCCCTCGCCACACCCTTCGACATCCTCGTCTGCTCAGCCTGGTTCCTCGGCGTAGCAACCTGCTTCATCCTCTCCGTAACATTCCACACCCTCGCCTCCCACAGCGAATCTGTCCACGAACGAACCCTCCGCCTCGACTTCCAGGGCGTCCTGATCCTCATGCTGGGCTCCACGCTCTCCCTCACCACTTACTCGACGTGCCATCGCACTACAACGCGCCGTCTCGCGCACCACGCCGTTAATTTCGCTCTTGGGATATCGGCGAGCTTGGCGACGGGGAGTTCCGCGTTGGGTGAGGCGCATCTGGGTCGTTGGAGGGCTGTGCTGTTTTCTTTGTTTGGTGGGGGTGTGTTCGTCGTGCCGGTTTGGTGGGCGTCGGGGGAGGATGTGGAGGGGTTGGGGGTTTGGTATACGCTGGGGACGGCGGCGTTTAATGCTTTGGGGATGGGGGCTTATCTGGCCAAGGTAAGTTGGGTGTTTCTCAATCTTCCTCCCCTGTTTTTCTTTTCTCTTCTCGTTCTGATGGTTCTTTTCAAGTTTCCGGAGAAGTGGTGGCCAGGGAGGTTTGACATCTTTGGGGCGAGTCATCAGATTATGCATGTTTGTGTAAGTGCCGGGCGTCCCCTTCTTTGGCCTGGGCGGGAGGATGAGGACTGATCATCAGTTTAGGTGTTGATCGCGGCGTTTTCGTACTCGGTTGCTGTGTTCAGGATGTTTGACTATAGGCATGGGGAAGGAAAGTGTCCGGCTCCATTATGAAGGGATGAAAACATGATGACTGTTCGGGGAATCGGCGTGTTTGATCAGCCTCTCCTCCTAGAATGATATCATTATACTTCAATATTGCAGATTCATCATCTGTCGCCTGCCCATTTGACATACAAGACTTGGGGTATTGTAACCTAGGAAAACCAAAGAAAAAAAAACATACACGCTCATAAATCATGAACCTCAACCTTATTCCCTACTCCATCCCAATCCAATCCAATCCTACCCCTCCGAACAAGTAAACCGACTAATTTCATGAAACATCGCTACATGGTGGGGATAAACTTCTTCGAAGCGTCATCCTGCTCGGCAAAGGTCTGAGGGAAGGCGGCGATACCGGCGATGATGCCGGCGACCATGAAGAGCACGGAGATGATGGACCAGATGACGCCCCAGCATTGGGAAGAGCCGCCGTAGCGCTGGGCAAACTGGCTGGCGTCGGAGCTGTTGATTTTTCGGAGGATGAGGTCGTCGCACTAGACATGTTGCGTTAGTTGTGCTGGGCTAGAGAGAGAGGAGGGTAGTGGGAAGGACTTACGATATCCCAGACGCTGTAGAGCGAAGACATGACGCCGATAAAGAGCTACGAGGAGAAGGTTAGTAGTTGGACTCACACAAAGAGCGAGTAAAGGTGATACATACCACAACAAACCTCAACGCCTGCGCATGAGCAATAAACCAACAAGCAACCAACAACCCCACCGCCAACCCAATTGTCAAATACGTCAACCAATCCTTCCTCGCCCACCAAAGCGTCACCAAGAAGCACACGCCCAGCACAATACTAGCCACCTTACTCGCCACAACGTTAAACCCACAAAAGATAAGCAGCGCGCCCACGAGCGAACTCCCCAAGTATCCCGCCGGCAGCGTGATGGCCTGCTTCCCGCCCAGCATGTGCGTGACACCGCCCTCGTTGGGGTCGAGCGAGATGGACTTGACGCGGCCGCCGGTGCAGCAGGCGGCGAGGGCGTGACCGAACTCGTGGAAGGCGATGACGAGCATCTTGAAGGGCCAGAGGATGCCGCGCACGTAGGGGATGTTCCAGAGGAGGGCGATGGCGACGACGTAGGCGCCTATGACGCCCAGGGTTACTTTTTGGGTGTCGTTGACGGTGAGGGCGCGGGTTGATAGAGCGCGGGTGGTGAGGAGGGCGAGGGGGGGGATGGCGCGGCGGGCGTGGTGGAGGGCCTGGGCTGCTGGTGTTGGAGCCATGGTTGTGTTGTCGTTGCTACTGTTGTTGTAATGTGGTGGTGGTGGTGGTGGTGGCGATAGGAGGAGTCGCCGTTATTGTTGATTTCGGCGACTTCGTGTTCTGAGGGTCTCGAAGTGGTTCGTGATGGTATCGAGTTGTGTGCCTGTGTTTGCTGAAGGGGTGAGACAGCGACAGGAGCAACGAGGGAAGCCCCAAGTTCGAAGGCAACAAACTTCAGCCAATTTCAGGGTCTTGGCTGGAATAGAAAACGATCGGCAGGAACGACTGAGCCGGCCAAGAACAACCAAGTATCACATAGAAGAGCGAAGGACTCAAAGAGGAAAGGCGGTCTTCAACGCTGTTGAGAGACTGCCAGCAGGACAGAAAAAAAAACAAAAGGGAGGGAGAATCGTAAATTGATTTAGACCCAAACAGACAAAAAGCACTTTGAGGAGGCACGAGGTTTTTGTTTTAAGGACATTCGCAGTTGCATCCCAATTCCAAGTCCCTGGTCCAATGCTCAATGCTCCCAGGCCACCTCAGCTCAGCCCCGCAAGGCTTACGCGTTTGAGATCAGAGGTACAAGTACAATAACAGGGTCTAAGAGAGCCGATACAGAAGGATGGCCTCCAGTAGTACTGCGCATCGTCCAGCAGAGTGCCGGCGCTAGTTGCCCTGTTTCAGAGGACTGGACGGGTTGTGCACTAGATTATAACCGCCATTGGACTGCGGAGAGTGACTTACCATTAATCGTGGTCTTCATTACTGAGTTGGGCACAGATGCACAGATCCGGTGCTCTCAATCACTTGATTTGACTTCGACTGATACACAGCCACATCCAAAGGGTACTGCCCCGTTAGGCCTCGCATATCTATATTTAGACCGTCACGAAGATGCTGTGATTAGTGTCCCGCTAGCACACTGGTTAACCCATTCATCCACTAATACTACTAAGATTTCCTCGGACGGGGTCGCCAGACGCATTTGACGAGAGCAGGCCGTCAACATCGAGCATCTCTCTACTACTCTTAGGGTTAGAGTTTATACAGAGCGCAAGTTCCGTACAGTCATACCAGACGCAAGAGGCAATCCGAACTTTTGAGAGCAGCTCAGTAAAAGTGAGGCCAATCGTCCGCTGGACTATCAAGGCAAGGGCATCAGCGTTCATGTCCTAGCGGCAATGGCGTCGCCGACGCTGTATACACAGTGACTTGTTAAGAAATAGAAAATGTAGCCAGCCCATGGCCCGCAAAGCAAAATAGATAAGCCGAGCAAGAAAGGAAAGCAAAAAAAAAGTTGAATGAAGTGAGAAAAACAGGGGAAAAAAATTGATGATTCGGCCCGGGCTCGAACCGGGGACCTCTTGTGTCCAGCATCTGGTAGATGTGAGACAAGCGTGATAACCAACTACACCACCGAACCAATTGTTTCTTTATGCACGAGTTCTGCGAGAGATGCAGCTCCAGACTCTTTTTCTACCAAATGGACGTCAATGACATCCTCAGAGAGCGACATGTCACGTACTCCCTAATACCAGCATCCTCTCATAAAATGAAAAATTATGAGAAAACACACCAATTGGTACCGCCACTCCATCGGAACTTCAGTTATGGAAGAAAGAGTACTTTTCATCGAGAGATCAATTGATGGGGAAAAGCAAGATGCTGAAACTTATTTTTGCATTTCTCGTCGAGGCAAAAGAACCTCGCTACGGAATAAATGAATACCACGATTACCTCGACCACCAAATTTTCTTGCATCCCCCTTCCTTCGAGTGTATGCCTCCTCATCTTCACACTCTTCACCTCACGCTCATCACCTTACACTCTAAACTCCCTTAAGCCCGATGGAGTTCCCGATTCTCGTCACGAAGCACCTTCAACTGGGGTCCGAAGTCCTTAACAACCCAATCCCAGTAGCCATTCCACACCTGACTACCTCCAGATCCTCCCGAGGTGGCAGCCTTGGCATCTCCACGACCAGCGCCTGTGCCCTTGAGCTTATCCTGCAGCAGAAGCGTGACTCGGAGGATGCTCTTGTTCGACTCGGTGTGCTTTTCGACGTCTTGCTTGACGGCACCTTCCTTGAGCTTCGTGGAGAGGATCCCGCGATACGCCTCCGCGATCGAGTCCAGTCGCCGACCCGTCTCATCGGGATCCAAAACAGCAAGCTTCGCAACCATGAGATTGCAAAGTGCGCGAATGTCGTTCTCGTCGCGGAGTCCTGCGACAACACGGTCGTAGAAATCAATGTTGTTGATGCGTGAGAACACCGTCTCCATAAGAGCGTACAAAGTCTCATACGCGCTCTGTTTAAAAAGGAAGAAATTAGCACCGGCCCATAAACCTATCAAGCTTTATCTGACCCCGCTACTCACCTTTCGGACCTCGAGTCCGTCATCAACTTTGTGCTTGAACGGTCCCATCATCACCTCCCTGATGAGCTCAGGCTTAATCACCGACTCTTGGAGCACGAATGGCATCAAGTTGCCGATGTGAGGAAGGATGAGATCGGGCTTATTGTGGGCTGCAGAGTTAAGAGTGGTCATGGCAACTCGGCGAATTTCCATGTCCGAGTCTTGGAGCATAGTGTAAAGCATATCCACGAGCACCTTCCTCAAGATGCTGTCAAGCGCGTCGTCGCTCTCTGGGAGAGTGTATCGAACCGCCTGCACCGCCATACCCCGGAGGGCCGAAGATCGGTCCTTGAGAAGTGCCTATCAAGAAAGTAGGTTAGTCAGATTTACCTTTAGTAGAGAATATTTGAGGAAGGGAGAACACCCGGAAAAAGGTGAGATTCAACTTACCTGCAGCCGTGGCATGAACCTACTCCCATCGAGAATAACTAGTCGGCCGATACACTCGGCACACGCAACTCTGTTGTCCGCATGCTTCGCTGCCTCCAGAAGTCGGTCCCAGATTGTGTCGACATATGGCTCAATCTCCGGTGTCAGCACGGGGAGTTGCTGAAGGATCTCCTTGACCGACTGCACCAAGAGGTATTGCATATTACCTGTCCTAGTCATCAACGGGAGGATAACAGGCAAGTACTTTCCAATGTTAGTCGAACCCGCTCGACCAAGAGCCGCGGCGGCGGCGCGAGAAACCCTATCGGGCTCAGTACGGAACTGCTTCAGGAAGAGCTCTGGGCGGAGGGTCGATTGCGATCCAAGACGCATGCCCGCCTCACCCAGGACTGCCAGTGCAAGACTAGCCCTGGTGTCGTCGTTCGCATCGTTCTCGAGTTCTTTCGTAAAGGCTTCGAGAGTAACACCGGTAGAATCGCCACCAGAGACGAGCAGAGTGCCGATAAGCTGGCCTAAAACCGTAGCCTCTCCCTGCACGCCAACGATCTGCAAAAGGCCCCGCATGAGGTCCTTGCCTTTTCCGCTCTCACCAACATTGGTGAAAAAGTAGACTAGAGGCTCGATGACCACGGTAGGTGAGCCGCTTTTCAAGAAGTTGCAGATGACCTTGGTCAACTCTGGAGAGAGTACAAGGTCCGCACGTTCCTGGACCAGGACACTGAGGATCATGAGCGCGGGCCCCATAAGATACGCATCATTATCGGCAATCACTGGTAGTAGACTAGATACGAGAGTGTTGACGGTACCCGTCTCAAGCTGGCCCTTGCAGGCAGGCGACATGACAAGGTGCTTCAGAGCCTGTGTGCTCGCGCCTCGGAGACCACGATTGGACTTTCGTAGAAGAGTCGAAAGCTCAAGCGCCACCTCTTGGATCCACTGCTTCTCAAATGGCGCGCTGCTGGTATTAAAGGCTGCCACACTGTCGATTGCCTTGGCTGATGCCTGCCGAGTAGTCTCATTCTTCAAACGGGCAAGTAGGACGCCAAGGGCTGCCTGTCGAGCTTCCGAGGGCAGCAAGTTGGCGCCGTCCGCGCTCGAAGTCCTGGAAAGCAGTGTGCCGAGCGCGTGAATAGCGCGCTGGCGAACTTCTGCATCCGCACTTGTCGAGTTCGCTCTGTCCATGATCACTTCAAACAGTTTCTGTAGTTCTCCCTTGAATTTCTGGGCCGTTTGTCGGGATCTGGGGGGAGTGATGGTCTTAACTAGCTCCTCCGCCGCCCGGATGGCCTCAACGGAAATCTTGTAGAACTTGTCATCAACGGCCTTAATCACCCCAGCCACGATCTTGGCAAGATAAGGATGCAGGGTGCTCGAGGAGTGCGTCTTTGAGATGTCGCTGATCAGTCGCAGCGTAGCAATTCGTAAGGTGGTAGGCGTAGCAGAGGCGTTTCCTCCTGACAAAGCCAAAGATGAAGAACCGCCAGCCCCCGAGGTTTGGAGAGAATCCATGATTGGGGCCCAGATGCTCGTGAAGAACTCACCAAGACCACCGCGCTGTGTGTTGACCATGTCGTCTAGCAGCCCAATGATGGCCTGCTTTGTAGGGACTAGCTTTCCCTTGAGCTGCTTGACGGATGCCTTGATGATGGACGGAGCTAGCCTCGCCAGATCCGCATGCGGTCCGACTTGAGGTACCCTCTCTTGAATGGGCGACCCGAGACCAGCCATAGCGATTCGCGGGCCGCCTACGCCACCACCAACGCTGCTCTGTCGGCGCCGCTTTCGGTTCACCGGGAGAGCTCCGTGAAGGTCGTGCTCTTGATCATCCACGAGATCCACCGGGACAACGCCCTCGCCAGTCTTCCTGACTAGGAGGGAGAGTACCGAGATGACCTCTAGTCGGACGTTCTCCTCTCGCTCCTCGAATCTCTTCACGAGGATGGGCCCAGTTTGTTGATATAGAACCCCACTTTCGAGGAGGTCACCGCTCGCTCGGGTAGAGATGAGGGTATAGAGCGCCTTGGCCGCACAACGTCTTACTTTCCAACTTGAGTCATCGTCATCATCGTCAAACCCGTCATCCAGATCGTCCTCGTCTTCCTCCTCCTCTTCTTCCTCATCCTCATCGCTTCCCATTTCCTCGTCATCACCGTCGTCGCCAAACGCGTAATTCGGATCGTACTTGAGGAATCGAAGACAGGCAGCGATTGTGTCGTCGGTGTATTGGCGCATCTCCTGAGGACAGGCCGAGAGGAAAGCCTCGAGGGTAATGAGGGCAGCTTCGTGGACCTCGTTGAAGTCCGGGGCAACGTCTTCTCCGTCACTAATTTTGGCCATGTGTGTTTCTAGCTCCTCCTCGCTCAAAGCACCGAGAATAAAGGGGACGAGGTGAGGCAGATTTTGGCCGAACCTGCGCGGAATGCACCTAGCCATAGCGCCCATGACGGCAATATATAACCTCCTCGTCAACGATGATACCTTGGGGTTCTGTAGAGCAATGGACATGTGGTTGACTAGAGTCTGGAGGGCGCTGTCTGAGATATAAAGAGCCATGATCGAGATAGCGGCCACAGCCCTCTTTCTCATGACGGACGAGCCCTGCTCCGTTTCGAGGAGACTCAAGAGAGACTCAAGCATTGATTCCGCTTCATAGGTCTGAAGCAGAGGACCGAAGCACCTTGCGACTTCGATCATGACGTCGACGGCCTCGGGGGTCATATCACTGGCCTTATCGAACATGTAAGGCGGAGGCGGGGGGAGCTTCTGTTTCGCTTGCTCGTTCTGTAGATGCTGGCGCTGCGCGGGAACGATTAGGCGGGGGATGACAACGCGGCTGACAGCGTTGTAAGCATTCGCGACGTCGGGCGTGGGGGGAACGCCGGGAACCGGTCGAGGTAGGGCGATGACAACGGCACGGAGCGCCATGCTCGGCAGGGAGTTGTCGACCGAGTTCTTGAGCTTCAGTGACGCCAACTTGTCGAGCATCGGCGCAACGATGGTCGGGTGGACCTTGCCTACGAGGGGACCTAGGCTATTCACCAGGCCAGTTAGATGATGCACATCACTAGATGTAAAGGTAGCTAATATGGATTAAATGCGTACCACTTGACGGCAAGATTCTGAACCTCTCCATTTTGGTCGTCGAGCGCCTTCGCAAGAGCATCTACCGTCCGGGCTCCGATGTTGTACTCATGGTGGAGCAGGTCAGGCTTTGCGATAGTAAGGAGCTGGAGCAGGTCGTTGAGGGACATGAATCGGAAGTCTGGATCCGCATCGGTCATTCGTTGCAGCAGCTGCAACACCATGCTAGGTGAAGGGTTCGGAGGAATGCCGGTACTTGACATGGCGGGAGGCTCGGCTAGAAGATGCTAGGAAACGGTATACGGGGGGTAGGTTAGGATGAGATGGTGCCCGTTGATGATCTCCGAGGGCAACGAATAGAAGTCAACGAGGGCGAAATCAAGAAGAAGTAGGGTGGTAATTGTTTTGGGGATAGAAAACACTAAGTTATGAAAACGATGTGAAGAGCTGGTCCTCCAGCTTAGGTGGAGAACCGAGAATCACGACAAAGCAACGGAAAGGTGGGGGGAAAGGTTTGAATCCACCGAGAGCTTCCTCTTTCAGAGTGAAAGGCTTCTCATGGGACGTTTAAGGGACTGAATAAGGTAGAGTGCTAAATAGGACTGTTAAGGTAGGGTGAGGTGAGGCTTATAGAGAAAGATCATGGATTGACAGACTCCTACAGGCAGGTGGTGCCTTCTGCGTTTGCATTGAACCTTCCCGAGTCTTGATAGAATCCAATAGTACAAGTGGTGTGTTGTTTGGCGGGGTCGAACTTGCTCTGTTAGGTTCATTGTTGGAGGGGTTACGAGGTACAATTGTACCTGGCTACTGACGTGGGGTAGCTTTACTCGGCTTATCCTCGGTTGATAGCGTGCTATGTTGTCTTTGACGTCAAAGATGGCTCCCTGGGTTCATCAAGTCAACAGAAACTTCCTAAGAACACTCGTAGGAATGTCCACTTTCTCGAGTCATCTCGGATAGCATTTTAAGATAAAACCGGATCTGGGTACATTCCTATAGTATTAAGTAATGATAAAGATCAGACGCTCTTGCGATTATTTTGTTTCGTCTGGGTATCAATGATGCTACATCAATAATAAAATGAGCCTTAAAAGAAAGAAACCATCCAGTGTAGTAGGGTACATGAGGCCAAGGAATGCGTCGCCCATGAGAGAGGCCGCCGCCGTCTTAGTCGTAAAATAGCCTTAGCGCCGGCTACGGCTTCGGCTGCGGCTCCTCTCCCTCCGACTGCGCCGGTCATCCCTGTCTCTGTCCCGGCTCCTATCTCGGTCTCGATCTCGAAGTCGATCCCTATCCCTTTCTCGATCACGGTCCCGATCCCTGTGGCGATCCCGGTCTCTGTCTCTGTCCCTATCTCTTTCGCGATCTCTGTCTCGATCCCGGTCCCTATCCCTCTCTCTATCCTTGTCCCGATCCCTATCCCGATCGCGGTCCCGGTCCCGGTCCCGATCCCTCCTATCCCTATCTCGGGCTCTGTCCCGAGATCTATCCCTATCTCTGTCTCTGGATCGATCACGATCACGATCGCGGCGCCGATAATCTCCATCCCTATCCCTATCTCTTTCCCTATCACGCGACCGGTCGCGATATCGACTGCTCTTGTCATGGTCCCTATCCCTATCCCGAGCCGGACTGGCACTTCGACTCGGCGACTTACTACGACGCCGAGCCGGCCGTTCATCCCTCTCCTTGGTAGTGGCGGTGGTAGCGGTACTCCGCTCATGTCCACGCTGCTCACGCTCACGTTCGCGTCCACTGGGGACATACCGATCAATCTCCTCCACCCCCGCCCGCCTCTTCGTCTCTGGTGACCCGTCCTCAGTACTCTTCTTGTCATCGATGCCGGGAACAGGCTGTCCCTTCTCCCTGGCTTCGCGCTGGGCTGCGAGATAGGCCTTAGCTTCTCGCTCCCGCTTCTTGACTTCTTCCTGCTTCCAGGCCTCCCTGGCCTCCTTGTCCAGGCCGACGGGGGGGACGGTGGCGGTGCTGATGGACGGTGACTTTGCTCTGGAAATCGAGTCGGGCCGTCGGTCACGGTCGCGGAGGCGTGAGCCGTCTCGTCTACTCGATCTGCTCCTGGAGCGGCGGGTTGATTCTCGACGCACTGTTCTAGTTCGGGATCGTGTCCTATCTCGGCGTCGCGAGCGATCGCGGTCGCGGTCGCGGTCACGGTCACGGTCACGATATCGATCCCGATCGCGAGAACGGCTGCGATCACGCCGATCTGAGCGCTTTGGCGTACGCGGCCTAGAGCGGTCTCGCGTGCGTGCGTGAGATCGAGAACGGGTCCTATCCCGCTTGCGTGCTCGCGACCTAGACCCCGATCTCTCTCTTCTGTCCGTCCTAGTCCGGGAACGGCTACGATCCCTCTTCTCAGGCCGCGTTTCCGAACGACTCCGGCCTCTAGCAACAGAGCGCGCCGGGGATCGGTCTCTACGCCTATCGTTACGACGTGTTCGGGACCGCGAGCGGTCTCGGTCTCGATCTCGATCTCGCCGAGTCCTCGAGCGACTCCTTTCTCGCCGATGAGACCGATCGGAACTTCGCTCACGGCGAGGAGAAGAAGATCGCCCGTCTCTATCACGTTTCCGTTTCTCTACCATGGAATTATCGTCGCGGTCGTTCTTTGTGTCGCGACTTCGTTCTTGGGCGGAGGCACGAGAAACGTCTCGCACCTTCTCCGCATCTTTCTTATCGGGTTTTTCCTCGGCCTTCACAGCGCCTGTGCCAGTTCGCTTAGATGTATCTGTGGTAGACGTCGGTGGCAATGCCTCCTCTTTAATGGTCTTGGATTCACTTGCACGGGATGAGCTCCTTGTTGCCTCTCCAACCTTCTTCTTAGGGTCGGACGCCTTAGAAGCCTCGCGCTTGATCGGCATGATGGCAGATGCAGGCTTGGCTTTCCTGGGCGGGGGTGCCAAGGCTTCATCGATCTCGATCTCGGGTTGCTTCTGCTCGACCCCCTTCGATTCACGAAGTAAATCTTCCAGGGCTTCCAGTTCAAGGCGCTCATGATCCTCCTTGGATAGCTCCTTCACTGTGGCGGGCTCGGGTTCTCGATTTTTCCGTCGTTCCCGATCCTCATCCCGGTCCCGATCTCGGTCTCTCCGGTCCTTGTCCCTGTAGCTAGTGCAATCGCGATTAAGATCTCGACTTCGCTCACGGTCCCTCTCTCGGTGGCGAGACCGATCCCGGGTACGGTCACGGTCACGGTCACGGTCGCGATCACGAGACCGATCTCGGTAATCCCGCGACCGGTCGTAATCGCGAGTCCGGTCCCTTTCCCTGCTTCTTTCCCGACCCCTATCTCGGTCCTTATCCCTTTCCCTGCCCCTGTCCCTATCCCGGTCGCGACTTCGATCTCGGCTTCGATTACGCAACCGTTCTTCTCGTTCTCGATCCCGTTCCCGCTCTCGTTCCCGCTGTCGTTCTTCGCGCTCCCTTCGCCGCGCATCACGCTCCTCGCGGCGTTTGAGCTCTTCCTTCTCCCGCTCTCTTTCCGCCCGCTTTCTTTCCTCTCTCGCAATCTTCCGCTTCTCTTCCTGAATAGCGAGCTCCTGGAGCCTGAGCTTTTCCCGCAATTGCTCGCGCTCCGCTTTCCTCGCGGCGGTCTCCACAGCGTATTCCTCGTCGGTCTTCGATCCACGTTGCTGCTCGGCCGCGGCCTCTTCGTCGCCGATTTCTGCTCGTCTGAGCTCGCGAATACGCTGTTCGATAGCGCTTGTGTCGATGAGCTTCTCAATCATGTCTTGGGCCTTCTGATAGATGCCCGATCTCTCCAGCGCACCGTCAATGAGCGCAGCTGCTTTTCCGCGGTCGAGGGTAAGGAGCTGATTGGGATTTCGTTCGATTTCTTGCTCGGCGACTTCGAGAATGGACTTTGTGACTTGAGTTTCATAGCCCTGGTGATCAGAGTCAGTGAGCAGTCGCGAGAGGGTGGCCCAAAGGTCTGGAAGGGCATGGCTTGGTGTAGATCTTGTCGGAAGAATAAAACATACACTCGTCTCAAAACTATCCCAAACCTGCTTTCGAATAGAATCGTAGTCTCCCTTTTTCTTAAATCCATTGGCAAGAGATTCAATGGCCGCTCTCGTCGCGGAGGGAAGTGGAAGCTCCGAAGCCTTGTATTTTCGGGGAGGAGCCTTCGGCCTCGCGCCAGCCTGTTCAGGCTCTACCGCGGTAGTCGCCATTTCAAAGAAGGAAGTAGAATTCGATGACAAGGCTAGAGGTGATCTCGAAGGGTCGATTTAAGGGTAGTCGAAGTTCTTCGCATCAGGGTACAAGAGTGTTGGCGGGAAGAGGCAAAGTGCCTCTCCATACACAGTGCTGCACCTAGGAGAATGCGACCGAATTTTCACACATTGCCCATTGCCTCTGTCGGTCGATGCTGGAATTTTTTTTCCCTCGTCTCTCGGGGCATCAAAATTGATAAAGACACCAGGGGAATCGCAGTTGCTTTTGGCATCCCTAGGAACCGCATTCCAGAATCGGTAATGGTCGAGTTCTGGATGTCTTGACGGGTCTTTGTCGGCAAATCCACCCCTGCCAAAGATTCAGCCAGGTATTTGCCGAAGTAAGTCTGGAGAAACCTCAGATGAGCAAGATTCGCTGCTCACCCTATTAACTCGCACGACCTTGCGACGAAAGAACCACACATCGCTGCGCCGAACCTCTCTCGATCCAATTCCTCCGAAGGTCTTCCAACTAGCCTTCCATTGATTGAAGGAATTGTGAACCTCCCGAAACACCCCGAACGATCCACGTCTCCCCTCAATTGCAGCAAAATGGTTTCCAAGATCCTCTTCTGGAGCGGCTTCGGTACGGCAATTATATTTCCCAACCTATATACCTCTTGCGATGACGGCCCGATTCTAACAGCTGTTGCTCCGTTTTGTAGGCTTCGCCGCTCGTTGGTGGCAGATGGGCATTGAGATGCGACCTTTCTTCAACAAGGAATCCCTCTGGGTCTACCCTGTTTACATGGCCGGTGGTGCGGCCTTCGGATACTGGCTACAGGGTGTCGAGGATCGACAAAACACTCAGATTAGCGATAGGAAACAAAGTCTATTGGAGAAGAGGGCACGGAAGGCACTAAGGGATGCAGAGGCGGCGAAGGCTGACGCGTAGGCGTCATGTGTCATTCCGAGAGATCCCTGGCAGGTTGGGTGGTGGTGTATGGCGGTTGAGAGCTCGAATAGCCGAGGAGAGACAAGGCTATATGTGAATATTTACAACGGACCTGATGGGGGTTCATTATAGAAAGTTATTGTCCCATCAGTTATCAATGACGTTTACAAAGCACTTATTGTACGGAACTTATTGAGAGGTCACTGTCCAGGGCGATTGAGGAAACATTGCTTTATATGTGACAGGAACTGAGTATGGATCAACTGGCCAACCATTTTGATATAGTTCCTTTTTTGTCTCTACAATACAACGCCGCCTTTCCTTAAAGAAACTCCATCCTCTTCAGGATACCAGGCACCATATGCGGACGGATACCTCCATGCTCTGAGAGAATAGTCGAAACGTAGGGAGGGGTAGTAGTATCGAAAAGCAGTCTGAAGCCGGTCTCGGTACCCAACTCGGGGTCAATCTCGTTGTAGGTCAAAGAGTCTGTCGCCATCCTCTCGGTAAAGTTGATCGATTCGCAGAGCACAATCATCTCGCTATTCGCATCCGCGGCGGCAAGGGCCACATCACACGTACCGGCCCTCGCATAAATGGAACCGTTGCTAAATACAGCTTCCGCGGCAACAATAGTCTTGGTAGAATGACGTGCTACCGTTAGGGAACCGGCTAGATCGGGGCAGTAGGTGACGTTCAAACCCCCTTGCTGGAGCGCCTTCGCCATTTCGGTGCCGGACCTGTCGTGGGCATCGTCGACGACGACAACGCGGAACTTCTTTCCGTACTTATGGGCCTTGAGAAGTGCTTTCCTGACTAGGTGGTGGCTGGCGTATGTGACGATGACGTCCTCGTCCTCGATTTCCTCGGCGGCGTTCTCTACAATTACGCCTCCGGCAATAATGACCTTTTCGCGGATAAAGGAGTCGATTTCTTCGCAAAGTCGTTTCTTGGCCTCGTCATCGGAGAGTTCGATGTCGATTTTGCTAATCTGGAGCTTAAGCCACCGTATGGCGTTGCCCATGGAGAAACACATAGGCCTGCACTCGGTTAGATAAAGGATTTGCGGGTTGAGAACGTGAGAAGTAAAATGCCGAGAAAGGGTGTTGCCGGCGGGTGTGGTGTATGACTCGATGACCTGGAGTGCTCGAAGTTAGTATTGCGCGGTTCTTTTGTCCACAGAGAAAACAAAGATGGGTATACGCAGAAGAAACACCAACCTTCTTCATGGCTAACAGGGTGGCCTCCAGCCTCTTGGTGCTGTCGCGAAGCACAAACGCGCTCATCTGCTGGCCTAGAAGTAGCACGGCGGGGTGGACATCCTTGTCCGCTTGCGTCATGGGTATCCTCTTCGCCATGGACAAATGACTGAAGCATTCGGGGACGGTGGGTTTGATCTCCTTGGGGGGCTGGACCAGGCTACCCTGGCGCGCCTTGGTCGCAGGTCCTTGCGGGGCATCTTGCTTTCCCTTTCCTTTTCCTCCTCTAGAATCGCCGGCGCTGGAAGACGGCGGGGGTGGAGGAGCAGCTACTTTCGATGCGGCCCTCCTAGCAGCCTTCTCGGCCTTGGCCTTGGCTTTTAACTCGGCGCCAGTCAGCTTCTTTTCTCCGGTCGCGGGTGCAGCTTGGGCGGCTGCGGCAGGTTTGGTGCCTTGCGCTGCGGCGCTTGGTGGGGCGGCGATATTCGACGGCTGGGTGGCGGCCGCAGGCTTTTGCCCTTGTGCGCCGCTTTCGGTAGCCATTGTGACTGAAAACTAGACTCGTGGGCTATTGGGCTGGCAATGCGATTCGTGTGTATGCGTGTCGTGGTGGTGTGGTTCGTGCGTGAGTGAGAAAGAGAGGGAGATAGAGAGAAATCGGGGATGGTTGGACGTGGTGGGGTAAAATGTGTGTGAGTTATCGATTGATGGTCAGTGTCTCATGTTCTGTTATTCTGGTTATTCTTTCTATAATACTTCCAAGTACAGAATCTGTGGAATGTGAAAAATCAACTGTGAGTTTGCAAATTAGGTGGTTAATGGATGGACTTTGTTCAACCTTCACAGTTAGAGATGGAGATACCTCAGTAAGAGATGCTGGATTGAGTCATCATTGATCAAACCACATGGAATTTTTTTGCGACAATATTGATCGATTTCTGAGCTGCCATTGGAACATCAACCCGAAACAAGCACTATTTGGTCACAGGTACTAAGGTACAAAGGCACACTGATCTATTTTAGCCATGCTGCCCCGCACTAGCAAACAGACGTCATTCGAGGTTGCGGTTTCCCCTGCTTACAGGCTCTGGAGTACACCGCGCTGCCTAGATCCCTAGAAGATACTACTGTCCTTGGGCGTAAGAGCTATTAAGGTCAATCGTTGACATGCTCTGTAAGTGTCCAGTGTTAAGTATTGGGGGGTGAGGAGCGGGTATGAATCGAGGATGTCCGTCTCGTGGCACTCCGTAGGCCAATCCCCAGCGTCAAAGTTCTATTTCTGATCTCAAAACCCGCCTACATATACTCGGAGAAGTGGGATAATCATATCTACCTGATGATATGGTGCCTAAACCACTGGACTCCTACGAATGAATTCTGTGAAGATTGATGCAATTTAATGGTGGATGCATTAGATAATAGCCTTGCCGAACTCTCAGTAATATGAACTCACTTCTAATTGGAGATAAAGCGATTCACCCAGGTTCGCCAGGTAACTTACTTCGTAGCAAGAGAGTAATTACCCTTCTGCAGTCTATATTGTCTCGCAAGCATTTTCGCGGCGTGGTCTGAAGAGAAGACCGCATCGTCCGACCCCTTATGCACCCGGAATCCAACACCTACTAGCTGAGAATGAAGGCCGAGATGCTGGCCCCAGCATACATGATACCTTCACCAAGTAGAAACTGCGGTTGCGGGGAAAGATTTTGCAAACGCATTATATTGATATATCGAACTCTCGAATTTGCACCTCGACAATCCACGTATTGCTTGCATCATAGGCGGGATCCCTCGAACATGGCTGCTGTTGTGTGTGAGGTCCTCCGAGAACAGCGACTCAGTTCGACCAGCAGACGATTTTCCACTTGCAAAGGATGGGCGGCTAGCTTACAATACGGCAGCGATTGAATAACTGCGCTGGACAGATTGGAATTGCTTATGTTGCCCCAAAAAGGCGAGCAGTGGGCTAGAGAGCCCGTCAAACCATCGGCCTACTCTATCAATGCATCAATAGATCCATCCCACAGTAGTTGATTTTCCCTGTATACCCCCATACTATGTGCAGCCAATGCATTTCCATGCTGCCAGGCGGAGTAGGTGAACATATAATACAATAATACAATCCTGATCTGGTCCTGAGTCCATATGCGACGGCACCAATCGACCACAATCATCACCCCTGCTTCTCAATATACATCCTCATCGTCCTTCCAACATTCCCCTCCGAATTCCTCGCCTCCTTCGCCCCCACCACCTCACCCAAAGCCTCCTTCACCCTCCTCACCACCTCCTTCGCCTCCTCCTCCGTCGCCTTCCTCCCATGCCTCTTCCCCAAAAGCACTACCTCGACCCTATACCCGCTCTCCAAAAACTCCTTCATCCGCTTCGTCTTGAGCAAAAGGTCATTCTCGGCAATCGCCCAATTGATCTCCACAATCTTGTACTTTTGCTTCCCCTTCTGCTTCTCCTTCTCCGCCCGCGCCGCCAGTTCACTGGCCTTCTTCGCCGCCTCCTCGGCGCGGTTGAAAATCTTGCAGATGGGCAGCCCGCCACCACCGCGGTCGCCCGCCTGCTTCGCCGTTGACACGACGCGGAGAGTGTGAGTCTTGAGGTTCAGACCGCGGAGCACCGCTTCGGTTTCGTGCGGGCCTGTGAGGCCCTTGCCTTCCATGACTATCATGATTGATGGCGCTGTGATGTCCGTGTCTGAGAGGGTGGAGGCGGCGGCTTGCGCTGATTTTTGTTGTTGTGCGGCTGCGCCTCTTGTGCCCCGGCTCCATTGTCTGGATTGAGCTGCTGTGTAGGCAAAGTATCTCGCTTGGTGAATTGATTGTGTATGAGCGCCGTCCTTTCGTAGGTGTTGGGTTCGGGAGGCGAGGAGACAACACGCGGGCATTGCCATCGATTGCGTCGTTTCGATCGCTGCTGGTCTAGAGACCCTATAAAGGGCGCTTCTTAAATTCGCGACGCATCGTGTTGAAGTCATGGCAACCTATGGGGATGGTTGCAAGGATTTATTTCGTAAATTGTCGCGGTGACGGAGTGGAATTAGGAGGGTTGGCGGGAGGGGAAAGAGATGAATTGGTGATGAAGCTCCAAGTTGGAGTGCTCCGCTGCAAAATTGACGTTGTAACTGAGAAACGGGGAGCTTCCCACAGCTCTAGCCAATCAAGCCCGTTTTATCCACCTTCGGCCATCTCATGTCTCACACCTCAAATCTCATCCCATTCTCATATCAACTTCACATATTGATGCTCCCGACCAAAGCACAACCACAAAACCCGCCAATCCTCGATAACCCTAACTCAATTTCTCTCGGCCTTCGGGTCCCTTCCACCCGGGGCACACCATCCTTCGCCAATTCCACAAATGTAGCCCCGTCCTCTGCTCCCGCCTTCCATCGCAAAAAATGCCACCACGCACCCCCATCCTCGATCCTCGCCGAGCCGGCCGTCTCGCCCTCACTGTCGTCAAAGCCACGGCCCTCTACCATGTCATCTCCCACTATGCCTTCTCCCTCACGCCTGCCGAAGGCGCCTCCATGCTCCCTACCCTCGACGTAATGGGCCAATGGGTCCTAGTTTCTATGCGCCACCGCCATGGCCGCGATGTCCACGTTGGCGACCTCGTTACTTACGATATTCCCGTTTCGCGTGATTGGTGCGGCCTCAAACGCGTCGTTGGCATGCCTGGAGATTACGTCGCTCTTCATCCGCCCGGTACAGCACCTGGTGCCCACGATGATATGATCCAAGTGAGTTTCCCGGCCTTTATCAGCGCAGAGTATCATGAGATGGAGTGAGCCCTTGCCGGCCTTTTCTATTTCATCCGTTTCTTTTTCAATTTTTCTTATAAATATCTCACATGAGTATAGGTCCCTGCTGGCCACTGCTGGCTTGTCGGTGACAACCTCACTGTTTCTAGGGATAGCCGAGACTTTGGGCCGGTGCCTCTAGCCTTGGTCAAGGGCAAAGTCTTAGCCACCCTATTCCCTTTCAAGTGGATAGGGAGTGGCCTCAAGAAGGTTGAGTAGAGAAGGAGCAGCCGTGAAAGACGACGGGAATTGAGACAAAGAACAACAGGATGGAAGAGAGCTATTCCGTCGGCCCCCTTCCAACTGTGTTTATATTACGAAATAATGAGGCTCTTGGGATAGAGGTTCCATGTATAAAATATTCATGTATATCATCTACAGGAAATGTTCTTTTTCAATTGTATTTTTTTTTTCTTTTCTTTTCTTTTTTTTTTAAAAAAAAAAAAAAAAAAATTATTAGAACTTGAATCTAATTACAATGATGATAAGACGTAACTGAGTCACTGGTAATGCCATAACAGAAATGAAAAAAGTGCTGGGCTAAGTTTGACTCAGTATACTGCAACCTCGAAAGTGTTCCACGGATTGGAGAAGCGGAAAAAAAAGGCAAGGATTTAAGTAGAAGCGACGAAAACAATAACAACCCTCAAGGGAACCAAGTCACGCTTCTGTATAGCGTACATCCCATATCAATGCCAGTGGAACCTCCTCATCCATGTCTGGTTCGTTAAGCCGGACATCCCCGGCCCGGCTCGCCATGCCCGTTGGACCGTCTAACAAACAACGAAACAACCATCGCACTCTGTTCCTGCAATAAGGGGAACCTCATCTGCGGAACTTGGGTATATTGTCGACCATTGAGACGGACAGAAAGCCATAATCCTCTGGATTCGAACCTTGCCGTCTCACTGCGGGGGCAGATGGTGTAGTAGAAATGGAAAAACAAAAAAACGCCTTAAACACCTCGCAAAATGCCATCCGTTCCGGATTCCCACCACAAGGGACAAACCTGGTTGTCTTTGGCAAGATTGAGAGCCGGGTGCCTCCAGGGTATGACGTAATGAAATGAAGAAGACAAAGGAAAGAAAGAATAGGGTGATCAATCAAATTACCTTCACAGCAGTAGCCGAAAGTGCTGCTGCGAAGGAGGGTGTTAGTTTGTGTTAACCCTCAATGTGGGCTTTGGGCATTCCTTGGCCCAGTAGCTCCAGGCACCTCTGCGCAAGTGTCACAACTTCACCCTGATCCTCATCAAAGTCTGCGTCGTTCTCAGGGGTGCGCTCAGCAATGGCCATGATAAGGTCTACAATATCCTCAGATCTTCCCACAAGACCGATGAGGCCCTTATCTTCGGACTCGAGGAGCTGTAAGAGGGTCCAAATGGCAATATGCTGGAATGTAGCGTCACCGCTTTGAAGGAATCGGCTTAGATAGCCGTGGATGCCTCCGTTGGGTTCTTTCCAGTGTCGAATGAAGATAGAGTAATCGCCCACTACATAGACCATGTTAGGAACCCCACGACTTATGATCGTTATACTTCGGCTGACGTACCTTTAGATGATAGGTTTCCAAGAGCCGCGGCACTATTGCCCTGGACTTCGATACTGGGCGAGTGCGTGAGGGGGATTAGGACGTCAAAAACGCCGAGATTGAGCAGGTGGACCTTAAGTTCGTCGCTAAGAGCCAGGACTGCAATGGCTGCTGTCATCTCGGACTGTACGCTCAAGGGAACCTCTAGAACAAGCTGCTTGCACTTTTGTACCGCACCGGCTTCGAGTACCAGTCGCTTGTTGCGGTCCGAACTTGCTGCAAGATTCCGTAGAGTTGATATCGCATGGCACTGAATTTCCTCGTTATCCGTCGAGCCAAGCAGATCCACCAACGGTCGAAGGAAACCAGCTTCGATGATAGGCGATTCATTCAACGGATGAATAGAGATATTGCGGATGCAAGCGACGGCGGAAAGGATCAACGGCAGGTACGAGGATTGGAGAAGCCTCAATAATGGAAACAGCCCGTTGGCGCGGACGATGTCTAGCTGATATTTCTCGTCGGATGCGAGATTTCGGAGGGCGAGTGCTGCCTGGCATTGTACTTTCGGGGAGTTTGAGTCCATCAAGTTGACGAGAGACTGGACTAGCTTCGGTTCGCTTGCAGCAAGTCTTTGCCGATTGCTCGCGTCCACCGCAATGTTGCTCAACGCTGTAGTGCAATAATATTGCACATCAACATCAGACGACGTTAGAAGCTGCACGAGTACCGGAATCGCTCCGGCGCTAACAAGTTGCTGCCGGTTCTCGCCTAAAACATATTATGAACTGGTTAAACGAAGTCCCACATCTGTATTCCAATACCATAGTCCGCCCCTGTCGTTACGTACCAGAATGTGTCATATTCAACAGTGCTCCAGTGGCGTTTCTCTGCACCCTCATATCCCGAGACTTCGCAAGTCGAGTAAGGGGTCCGAGGGCACCAGATCGAGCAATCTTCGCTTTGTTGGCTTCATGAGTAGCGAGGTTCGTGATGCATCCCACCGCATTACACTGGACTTCCACGTTGGGGGACAGCATCTGACGGATCAGAGGCGTCAGGCCGCCGAGCTGTACTATCAAGACCTTGTTTTCCGCTATAATACTGTGGTCAGTATTCCCAAGTTCACAACAGAACTATCGGAGGGCCTAGTCATGTTTATTGGACGTACGATTGACCGCGAGATTGCCGAGCGCCGCACTCGCAGCTCGCTGAACTTCGATGTCGGGGCTATCGAGAAGGAACAATATGGGCGCGAGCGTATCTCGGTCAACTTCCGTCACATCTATGGGGAGAGAGGTTAGGGTTAGCCTGAGTGTCAGGATAGGCGTGAAATGCCATGCATGCAAAGTTGACAGCCCGTTCAGCATCTTCAAATACATAACGTACCTCGTTCAGTGATCTCGGCAAATGTAAGGCTCGCACTGCGCTGAAGATCAATGTTGTCGGAATATACGAGGGTGCTTAAAGCTCGGAGCGGTTCCCCAGAGAAGAAATCTGTTTCGTCACGCTAAAGGGGGGTTAGCCCAGGCGTCGAGGAAGGGTTGGAAAACGGAGAGATACGGACATTCTCGAGGTATTGTAGAAGATCGGCTACGGCTTCTCTCTCGACTTCGGCTAGAACAGGCTCGTAGAGGCCATCGCGAGACCGACCTAGGCATTCTCCACATTAGCTACATCACGCCTACCTAGAGATCCCTGATCATAGATCAAACCTGAACAGCATGTTGAGTTGCAGACACCCATTGGGGAGGTTATTTTTTATGTGGGCGCTGAAAGGAGAAAAGAAGAGTGGAAAGGGCCGATGCGAAAAGCTGGGTGAGCCACAAAACTGATGGTTTTTAGGTCCTAGAATGGGCGGGTGGGCAAAGGCGGATAGCTGTGGTTACGAAGACGGTAGGCGGAAACCCTCGCCGGGCCGAGCAATATTCGTATTGATGGTGAGATGAGGGGAGACGAGCGGGAACCTTGCGCCCTCGAGCTTCGACCTGGGGGATGGTCGCAAACTTCTAGGAGCGGCGCAACGATATGGTTGGGCGATTGCAGCAGATGCTTGGGACGGTGAGGCTGACGACTGTTCTCCCTATCAGGCGACTGCTCGAGGGTCGGAGGCCCCGAGGGAAGCCAATAATAGAGGAAGGGTACTCTCTCAAACGCTTAACGGGCTGCTGTGCTATCGCCAGGGATGAGGGTGAGGAGAACGTCGAGCCGTTAATTAAAATGGCAAACAGGCGAGCACAGGAAAGCTTTGACGAGCGATGGCTGATGTTAAGCCAGAACGCAGCACAGGAAATAACCGGGAGCAACGAGGCGGAGCTGACACAGCAACCAAGGTGGAGCTATCCCGTAGATTATTATTGTTGCAGTTGCAGCCAACTGCACTCTGAACCAGTGTGACCAGCCAATCTTGACTAGGCCACAGACCACGACAAGGGGACCTGCAGTGGAAGTCCCTCACAGACCGGCTCCTATGAAGCAGGTACCGAAGGACTGGCTCGAGTCCAAACCCAGATCGGTAGTCTGGGTTGTTCACTGCAGTTAACGATCGCTCGAAATCATGTAATAAACTACATAGTGTACCAATTACCGATTAAACCTCTGCTAATTATATTACTACTTCGTTGAGAGTATACAATTCAGAATTCGTATTTTGTTTTGTGATGCGATGTTGTGGTGCCTTTTGTTTCAGGCAAACACAGGACCAGCAATCTCCCTCTTTTCAACGCTGACTATTCTTGTGACCGGATAGGTCAGATGATTAATACTTCATTTCATCGTGGACGGTTGTTATCAACTGTCAAATTACTGGTTTTGAGAAATAGTTTGGTCTCCAAGTCTGTTTCTCGTCCGTCAATGAACTTGTTTGCCCTTTATCAACATCAATTGATATCTCCCCGTAACAGCGGCTTGGTCGCTGGTATAATACTCGACAACCAGCCTACTCCAAGGAAGCATCAATTTTGATTGATATTTCTTATACGTGGTAATCTTTGTGGAAGGGCGGAGTTGCCCTAGTAAGAAGTTAACATCCTTCTTAAGTACATCAAAGAGACAGATGTTTGCAGACACTGTCACGCAGTTGGTGAGTGCTCGGCTCTAAGATCGCACTTCGTATTCATTCCCTCCCCTCTCATCATCCATCGTCCATCGACCAACACACACCTACATACAGGGCTGGCCACTTCGTCAACTCCTCCGACACTGCGGAGTATGTTTTGAAAGGGACCAATCGATGATCTCCTCCATGTCTTGGATCACAGTACTCCGGCCAACCGCCCAAAACAGATCCTCTCTCGACGCTCTCCAGGCTCAAGAAAGGAAGGACGAACAGGGTGTACTGTGCGCTTGCTCTAAGATGCAGAACATACCAAGAGAGCAAGAATCATTTCATATTTACCAGGCATGGGCCTGCCTGTTATTATGCTGTAAAGAACCCTGCCAAAGTTGCTTTTCTCGCTTGTCTTTGGCCCGTTTCACTCGAGTCTATCTGCGCTTCTCGGACATGGCGCAAGCTCGTAAGCTATGAGGATCAAATCCAGTGATTCGACGATTCATCATTAATGTTTGCAATTCAACCACACAGACAGTGCCAAGCGGCTTTGGTTGAACACCGGCTCGACGAACATTGAGTAGCTTCAGAACGGGTGATTCTCGTCGAGGTTGGCAGCAGTGCAGGCGATATCTATGTACCAAGTATTGAGTGCTTACAATCGTAACCACTTATGGGATGCCCAAGGGACGCACAATGAACGAACAGTAGGGACGGGCCACAAGATTGATTCAAGAACATTTGATGCAAAGTGAAGGGATAGACCAGGGGAGCCATCATTGATGCCGGAACTTGGATTAAGCATCATATCGACTTGCTGGTGGATGGAGATTATCGCACAAGAAAGCCGAGCGTGTGAGTACTCCTTCAGCATTGCGAGAAAACCGACTGGAGAGAATGAAGGGCCCGATGAAGCTTATAGTGGCGCCTCATTGGGTTCGTTTGCTGCCCATATCAGCTCCTCTGGGCCTAACCAGGTTGGTGGTGATCGATTGATGGGTGATAATAGTGGAGAAAATGAGCACATTCGCCAAGTTCTGTAATTTACACATCATAGGCACGCACCCACACCCCACGCCAGGCTGTGCAGCTGTGGCCTCATATCAGATCCGGATCAAATGCACTAGACGCGGGACGAAGGACGAGGTCGTAATCTAGTTTATTTCGTTTGTTGGCATCCCGAGTGAGCCTCCGAAAGAAACCAAAAAATCGATGCTCGCAGATATGCACCCTTTCCAAGCCACCACCCGCTTCGTACGCTAAGTGTGGAAGCAAGCCTAGTGTGCTATGCAACGAAGCGTGGTGTACAACCTCTGCCTCTCGGAGTCTGGAACGGCGCCAAGAAGCATCTGAGAAGTGAGCAATCCATTTTCCTTGTTCCTGTTCCGCTAAGCGGGCAAGATCAAGCAAGAATCAAGGCATTGGCGCCTGTGGGGAAAGGGATAAGCAACGCAGGAAATCAATCAATACAACATCAAATCTTGATCTGGAAAGGACCCGCCGCCATGCTCGCGAGACCTCGAGAAATCGACAGCACGAGTTAAACTAGGTTCCCTGTCTGTCCACCACCCATCACAATCCTGAAAAGGTGGAGCTTGTACCAGTCTCGACTAATTCTTAACGTCCTTGATCCTCTCTCTCTCTCTCTTTCCTTTATTTTATTTTTAATCTTTTCTTCTTCTCCTTTTTCTCACGTCGAGGCCTGGCCAGTCTCTCGCCAAAATCTATTGTCGAAACAATCGTAGCGTGTCGCTGACCTGTCTGGGAATAGGTTGGTGTGTGAGTGTGACGACATCACTGATCTGTGAGTGATTTGCTCCGGAAGCCGGGAGTGGTTTTTGTTCCCCGCGCCACACAGGCGACATGCCTCAACAGCACGGCCTCTACTTCTGGGAAGCTACGACCCCTTCAGGGCTAATAGCACGTACTTCGTACACTACATAGAATTCATGTCTTGGTGAAGCCCAACCCCTCCTCCCCATTCGCCCGATCAAATTCGACGATACTTCGTGCTGCGAGAAACAACCGCTGGAGAGCACCACGAACCCCGCCCCTTCAATCAACATGGCCTCTAGCGGCAGCGACCCTAGCACCCCAGCTTCTACAATGGGCGGCCGAGACCCCAGCAGCAGGACAAGCATCTCGACTCCCGATTCCAATTCCAGGCCCGATACCAACACCTCAGACAACAGTCGCTTCCTCTCAAACTTGGTTCGTAAAATCTGTTTGCTATTGATGCATTTTCCTTCCCCTCCAGCCTGGCTCGATTTGGTCCCTTCCAACCATACATAGACACAGCACGCACAAGAACACAACACAGTGATCAATGTGAGCCGCTGGTGTCTCGACGGCAACATAACGTTGAGCCTGGCCCGGCCTGGTCGCTTCAGAACGTAGCCCGCACGCACACACAAAACACCTGACTCTTTGACTCCGACAGCGCTGACCACACAGTCAACCCCCCAGCAGCCACCGCACCTCAGACACGACAACAACGACCGCGACAGATCCTCCCGGCGCCAAACATCGTCGTTAGGTGCACATGATGCGCCCGATCCTCGCCCCACCACAACACAATCTCCAGTAGCTTCAGCATCGGGTAGTGGTTTGAGCCAGCTTCCAACTGCGGCTCTCCCTTTTCCTGGTCCCGGTCACAGCCTTCCCTTTGTAAAACCTTCCTCTTATTTACGTCGGAAACCCACGGCATCTAAGCGTCACACAATGGCTGCAAAACCGCCGCCCATGAGTCCGCTCGACAAGGAGCAGATGCAAGGTTTGGTATGTTTCCAGTCCGTCAAGCGTGCAATCATGCCCCCCTCGCTCTTCCCCGCCCCCGCTGCCGAACCCCTCCCCCCTTATTTTCGCGACCTGTGAATCCGATCTCCACCCTCCACCTGGAGTGAAGCGCATATCGAGCTCGGATCCTCGACTTCCCTCGGCATCCCGTCACCTCATCAGTCATGTAGTCGCAAAATAGTTATGCGATTTACTTTATCGCTACTATTTCAAGCTTTGAAACCGACATCGACCGTCCATTGTCCTCGGATTGTGATGATGAGTCTAGAGATCACGGCTTCGTCAGCATTGAGGCTTCACCTTTATTCTGGCCTTTTTAAGCCCTTTAGGGTTGGATTACGGAGCTAACACGATCTGTTGATACCTGGTTTAGAGGGCTATTCGTGAATTCCTAAAAGTTCGGACAAGCTACGACGTCCTTCCCCTTTCCTTCCGTCTAATCGTCCTCGACACGTCGCTCCTGATAAAGAAGAGCCTCAACATTCTCATCCAGAATAGTGGGTTGTCTGATGCTGCATTTCGAGACTGTCGATTTCATTCTACTAACCACGGCCATTCCCATTGCAGATATTGTCTCCGCACCGCTATGGGACTCCGAGACCTCAACCTTTGCTGGACTCCTTACCAGCACCGACTACATCAATGTTATCCAGTACTACTGTCAATTCCCCGACGAGATTGCTCAGCTAGATCAGTTTAGGTTAAGCAGTCTACGAGGCAAGTTTTGAGAATCCCCCTTGGAGGTCGACAGCAGGTCGGAGCTTGAAGAACTAATGCCTCTTCTATTTTGAAACAGCCATCGAAAAGGCCATAGGCGTGACGCCGCTGGAGACGGTATCATGCCATCCGATGCGTCCTCTGTACGAAGCCTGCAGGAAGATGCTCAAAACGAGGGCGCGAAGGATCCCGCTTGTCGACCGAGATGATGAGACCGGCCGAGATACCGTTGTCAGCGTTATTACCCAGTACAGAATCCTAAAGTTCATCGCCGTCAACAATGAGCACAACACGGTGCTCTTGAAGAAGCCCGTTAGGGATATCGGCCTCGGGACCTACAAGAATCTTGCGACGGCGCGAATGAACAGCACCGTTCTGGAAGCCGTCCATATGATGGTCGAGAATAATATTTCCTGCATACCGATCGTCGACGAGGACAACCGGCTGCTCAACGCCTTCGAGGCCGTTGATATAATACCCTGCATCAGAGGCGGATTCTATGAGGACCTATCGTCGACACTGGGTGAAGCGCTTTGCAAGAGGTCAGACGACTCGCCCGGAATCTACATCTGCACCGAAGACGACCGATTAGACGCCATTTTCGACACTATCCGCAAGTCGCGAGTTCACAGGCTGGTAGTCGTCGACGATGAGAACCGCCTAAAAGGGGTCATCTCTCTCTCGGACGTACTAAAGTACGTGTTGCTTCATGGCGAGGAGGACGATGATACGGCGTAATATCACGATTTGATATCAGACGATGAGAAATGGCATACACATCCATCTTTCCAGGAAAGGGGCCGTTCTTTTCTTAGAGGTGTCGAAGGTGGTCCTAGAGACGAACTGGCATGGTCGTCTTGAAGAGGTTGCATTTTCACTTGGAACGGCGCAAATGGATAGGGTATACGTATGAGGAATACCAGACGGGGTTTGGGGGTTTTCCCCCGGCTTGCTTATAGACTTTAGGGTAGGGAAGGGAATGATATTGTTCCGATCAAGTGTTCTGGCGCTGCTTGTGTTCGTTTTGTTCAGTGTTTGAATCTTATCAATGCAGTACTCCTCGTTCGGAATACTATGCAGCCTTTCAATTCGTTGTCCTCGGTTCTTTGACGTCCGTTGTTATACACCAATGTCCATTGACTCCCATAATTCACAGACCTTCGGCAATAGACCATATCCTCATCATAACCATGGCACCTTCGCAAGCCCGACCAACCAAGGCTCATGATGGTTTGTTCCAGGCCACTCCTTCCCAGCATCCCTCCTCTTTCCTTCACATTTCTCTAGCTCCTATTTGACATGATGCTAGGGAAACCACGACCTGCAGCATCTCTCCTTCCTAAGAGATAACGAGAGCAGCAACACATACAACAACCCAGCACAAAATGAAAACACATCTAATCCAAAACAAAAACATTTCTCTCCTTCGCTCTACTTCTTTCTCCCTATGTCACACATCTAGCACAATATCACGAAACCAGTTCTACAACCCTAGCAAGACCAGGACAAGCAGCCTTTCTTCTAGTCCTTTGACAGGTATATTGATATCTGTCTGATTCCAGCCTCCTTTACCAACAAGTAATTTTCTACTCAGGCTCCTTAAGGGTAAGATGCAGCTCTCCTATCCTATCGAATCCTCTCTTTAATTCCATTCCTCTCCTTTGTTCTTGATTCCCAGTCTGTGGCCTCATAGTGTTGTTCGTTACTAACCATATCTGTCCCCAGGAGTACGATAGTACAACAGGACTTTCGCAAGATGCCTGCGCCAACGGAAGACAGCGACCGGCCACCAGATCCCCCTGTGCATAGGGATTTTTCTATGATCTCTCCACGAAACCCATGTCATCCTGAGCATAAAGCATCCCCCTTAAAGCAGAAGAAACATGCGCCTGGAAAAGATGCCGGCAACAAAAGTGCCCCCAGGACGAGCGCGACTTGGGCCACCTCGAGCGTTGATTTGAGGAGTTCCCTTGAAGAAGACGAGGTAGACGAGCGTCTGGGATTCGTCCATGCTTATAACAGGCTCGCTCGAAAGGTTAACCGAGACTTCTTTGGCCCCGCTAGAAATTGCAATCAGTATTGGCTAACGATCTTTGCAGTACGGAGTACGAGTGCTTCCTGTTGGCGAATTCCCTTCATCCCAGGTGAGGCCAAGGGCATCCATTCACTCTGGTGGCCCAGCTTCTCACCCGTACCCTACTCAGGCGCCCTCTGTGACCCAGAATCCGCAAAGTCGAGGGTGGTTGACGCGATTCTTCCGAACCGTGTCCGGATATTCTCGTACCGATGATGGAAACGCCAAAATCCGACATAGGCGCAGCGTCAGCGACATCGCCCTTAACCTTGTGCACTCCAAACGAGACTCGCCGAGGAATGTCGAGCTACATGAACTTATTCGCCTCACTGGGAAGAGCTTGCTGCGTCTTCCGGAAGGCCATGCTCCGGAAGACTTGATCGTGCCCACTTGTATTCGGGCAACATCACAGTATCTGATTCAGAATGGTGAGTAGGCTTGCCTTGAAGCCACATTCTATTTCCGCTAACGTCGCTCTCTCTATCGCTAGCTGTCCACGTCAAGGGGGTATTTCGCATTCCGGGCTCGCTCCGCGTAGTGAATGCGCTGTATAGCTATTACTGCTACGCCGACAAAGATGGAGACCGCATCTCCGGTACTATTCGAAGTGTAAACCTGCCCGGACACATCCGGTTCACGGTGCATGACGTCGCTTCAACCTTCAAGAAGTTCCTGTCTGTTCTGCCAGGCGGCATTCTAGGTTCCCTGGCGGTGTTTGATGCTTTCGTTGCTATCCACAGTCAGCTCCGAGGCGATCGTGAAGCTGGGAGGTTGAAGCATCGAAACGTTCGCGCAAGAATGATCGCCCTTGTCATCGGAACCGTGCAATCTCATCTACGCCGGGAGTTGATATGCGCTGTATTTGGTCTCCTCTCATACCTTGGGCGAAGCGCGGAAACAGCCACTTCTCAGGATGAGAACGGAAACACCCTCCCGAAACCAGATCTTATGGGTTTCTCAGCTCTCGGTATCGTCATCGGCCCCCTCTTGGTTGGAGATCTTCTCTCTTCATATTCTACAAAGTTGGCCAATTCCTCCTCCGGTCTAGTCTTGTCTCCTGCCACGCCGCCCTTGTCAAAGAGGGAGAAGCTTCGCAAGAATGCGGAAATGCGGAACCAACCACAGCCTCTAACTGTTGATAAGGTGTGGGTGGCAAACGAAGTTGCGACGATGATTATAACCAACTGGCAGGAAGCTGTGGAGCATATAGCCATGCTGGATGCTCTCCGTCCGGCCCCGAAGACGCGCAAACCGAAACAAGTGACAGGATCTACAGGAAACCATCTCTGCCCCTCCATGTCGGACCCGATGATTGTGAAGCCACCTACGGCTTTGTGCTCCCATGACTCGGCTAGATACAGCGACTCTCCCGAGCCTGGTACTCCCACACCAACGCCTAGTAAGTGAATCGGCTGCCTGATAGCTTGTAGATTTGACTAGAGCTAACTAACTCCGTACGGAAGGATTAAGGCTCGCTCAGCCTGGCGACGGTGAGAGCGGCAATTCTCGCACACTCAAGGTGAAGAGGCTGCGGCCTAGGCAGGCAACCCCCAGTAGCCTGCCAACTCCCACGGTCTCAACCCCGATCGTAGTGAGCAGGAATATTGCTTCTGTTCCCAAGCCACACCATTCATCTACTTTTTCAAGTGGGAAGGAAAACGGAGGACCTTATCAGTCGCCTACGACGCGAAGCCAAATTCAGCCAAGCAGCATCCGTCCTGTTCCTCAAAGCCACCCTGAACCATTCAGCTGTATCAAGGAACCCGCTAGAATGGATGATGTAAATCCTATTGGGGGTTCCTGGGGAAGGCGCCCAAGGACTGACCGGCGAAGGATGACGGGTGACATTTACGAGTTTGATGACGCCAGTTCGTCGTCCTCTAACAGGGATAAGCTCACTCGACAGATACCTCAGGAAAAGGGATCGAGCCGAGTTCTTCGAGAACCCGATCAGGAACGACCGGCTTGGTACCCACCACTGGGCAACTCAAATGGACACGGCGAAATCATGAAAACACCACCGAAAACTCCCCGAGAAGGTGACAGCGGCCGCAAGCACCAACGTCTCGCATACGAGGGTGCTGAAGACAGCGACAACTTTAGGGGAACGATTCAGGCGCAGTCGTCGACGCCAAACTATTCCCTAAGAATGGACCAAGCTCGTGCTTACTCAACTTGCGGATCAACTGTGCCTTCCAGACTCAATGAGTCCCAGTCAGTGGAGGTGCTTTAGGAAAACACTTCTTCGGGAAGAATGGTAGACCCGGTCAACTTGATCGTGAAATCGAGTGCGCAAGACCACATCCATACTGTTGGTGGAGGTATCTCCACAGAGATGAACACTTACGCAATCGGACACAATTCGAAAATTGACGAAAGTGGGAATGAAACCGACGAATACGGCTATTCTGCACAGTCTACTGAGGAGGAGCCTGGAGCGATGGACTATATGGAACGTTTCGGATCCCAATCTTCTGAGCCGCCTGAGCGACCTATCGAAGGCCGTACCTCGAGTCCCGGAAAATCCAAGAATTTGGTGAGGACTATGGCACAAATGTTCGAGAAAGCTTCACAATCTTATTCGCCTTCTCAAATCAAGACGAGAGACTCCTGGCAGGACTTGGTTGCATCTGGCTATGCTACTGGCCCCACAATGGAGAGCCGCCTTTTGGAGTCGAGCTCGATCTACTCTACGCGGAGTTCGGTCATTGATACGTCCATGTCAGGACTCTCTAGGAAACCCGCACGAAGGGGTCGCAAGTCTACAAGTGATGGCAGTGCTTGGAAGTCGGCAGATAGCTTTTCGGGCAGCTTCGTTGATGATGGGGCTCTCGAATATGATCCTAGTATGAATGAGCATCTCTGCAGGTCGAGTGGCTGCTGCAGCCCTCTAGAAGAGGACATTCTAGGTTCGGGTTTGCCTTCTCAGTGGGGCGTGAGCAAGGAAGACGTTTACAGTCAAAGCCCAGGTACCGGGTCTAAGGTATCATTGAACCAGGCAACCCCCCGGCCCTGCGGCAATGGTCAGAGTTCAGGTCATGCAGCTCAGCACTCCCTGCTAGGTGAGGATGAAGAGACCCCGCGAGTGAGTCGGCCACTGCCGCTCTTGAGCGCCGAGGAAAAGGATCCAATCTCCACAGTTCACAGTTACAAGCACGGCAACTCTGACCATGCCCAGCTGCGAGATGTACAGGAAAAATTGGTGGAAGCCACACGTGAGCGTGATGTATGGCGAAAACGAGCAGAGGAAGCCGAGAGGAAGTTGGGTTTCTACGAAGCGAGCACAGGAAAAGCGCCATACAGCATGTCGCCAGAGATACCAAGAGCGTGTGCTATCTCCGGTGCACCAGCAACCCCTGTTATGGAGCGCCGAGGTTGGCGACGCACCAGCAACGCCAGCGAAAGTGCCATGCGAAATCTACACTCGGTGTGTGTTCCTGGAGCGGGAGTGGTTCCTGCAGGGACCGGATCGCGGCTGTCTTCGCGGTCATTTTCCGGAAGTCGAGCAGGCAGCGGGGTTGCCGATGCAAGGCGTAACCTTACGCCCTCGTCGAACGGATCCGGTGCAAGGGATACGTCGATGGGTGTCATGGATATCTGGATGGCGGCACAGCAGCTGCTCGAGAAGGAAGGAGGAGAGGAGAGGGAGAATGAGAAGGGTGATGTTGACCAGCACGAACATTGAAACGAGATGAGGGGAGCAGGGGACAGTATCTTGACGTTGTGGGGGGCGGTCGACGCGAAGGAAGAGTTATTGATACTTGTTTGAGTAATGCTAGAATACCAAGCCGTAAATGATTACGAGATGTAGAGTGGACGGGACATGGTATTGTTTGACTCATGAGCATCAGGCGAGAAGACAACCGAGATCAGGTCTCAGGATGGATAGGAGCTACGGAACAGGATGTTACTGTAGTGATATATCTCCACTATCATGAACCCGAGAGCTTCTCGATCAAACGCTTTTTAGCATCTACAATACAACACAAGTATCTCGTCATTATAGGCTCCACCAATCATGCCAATGTTATCCCGTTTTCTCTCGTCTGTTTCATGAAAATAAACACTACTCCGTCCTGATTCTCTTAAATATCATCCACCTCATAATTCTCCTCTCCACTACGCCTCTTGATCCTCCACCTACCCGCCTCATCCATAGCCATAGCCACCGTAAGAGAAGCGACCCCCTCTGCCAAGTGATCGATAATTTCCGAGTCATGCACCGCTAGATCAAAATTTGCCGCCGGTTGATGAGAGGTAGCGCGCTCCCAAAAACGGCGAGGGATGGGCGATCCACCCGCCCTGGGTGTGCGACCGCCGCTGGATTCCGTTGCGAGGCTAAAGGTTGTTGCAGGCGGGGGGACAGTAGAAGGCGAGATGGACCGTGATGATTGGGCGGGGTTGATGGGGCTCCAGCGAGGTATGTCGCGGGATGGGGGTGGGGAGAGCGGTGGGGAGGGGAGGAGATCGGCTTGTTGGGGCCGTGGAGGCCGTGGGTCTTGTCGGGTTCTGTCGAACCAATTTCTGATTCTGGTATCTTGTTGGCTTTCTTCTTCTTCGTCTTCTTCTTCGTCCGAATGCATTACATGTTGATGTGATTTGAGTTTTGGTAGTGGTGGGGCTGGTATCTCTTCTTCATCCCCTTCATCCTCCTCATCCTCCTCTTCCTCCTCTTCGTCTTCATCTCTTCCCTCTTCGTCTTCTTCTTCTTCATACCCGTCATGATTGTCCAGTGTGAATTCCGAACGCCCAGTACTCAAACTCCGACCCCAAGTCGAAACTGTCACCAGAGACCCAGTTCGTCTGCGGCGATTCCGACCCACTTCCTCTTCCTCTTCCTCATACCCATAGTTTCCTTCCCTCCTACTCTCACTTTCCGGGGCCGGCCATACCAGGGCTACGCGGCAGGGCGGCGGATGGTGGTTAGGTTGTCGGGGGGACCGTCCGGGCGACGACGAGCCATGGTTGCCGGGCCCTGGCCGTCAATGGGACGATTCGTATTGGAAGAGGGGTCTGAATTGTTGGGTTGCTTCGACTACGGATTGGTAGAGGTCGTAGTCTGGAGAGCAAGCAGGCACTGGTTAGACACCGGTGGTGGTAGGGTATATCTGGCTTTTATTCCACTTTTCCAGCCTTTGACTTACCAAGATTATCGCCCAGGTCTTTGGATGTCAGGACCTTGATAGATAGGTCAGGGTTTACTTTGCCAATGACTTGGGCGGCGTTGCCATTGATTAAGTGGGCATCCTGCAGTAGCCGTTGACTAGGTTAGTTTCTGGAGAATCCGCGAGAAGCCCTAGTATTCGGTATTTAAAGACTAACTCGGTTGAGGTTCAAAGTAACGTTTCCTTGGGAGTCAAGCAGAGCTGAGTCGCCACGGAGTTGCAAGACTTTGCCAACAACTATGACATTTTGGCCAGTGTAGGAGCTTAGGTACTGAGCGGTGACGCGGGGGGTAGAGGTTCGCTCGCTCATGATGAAGACGTGGTGGTGGAGAGGATAAAAGAAAAGTTGTATAAATTCGAAATGGGATCGGAACTGCAAAGCCTCGCTATGATATGAGAACTTCGTTCGTTGTATGGGATCGAAGGTCGTGGTGAGGGCTTGTGAAGTGGTCAAGAACGAACGCGTCTTAAAGTGCAACGCGAATTCAGTAGCGTGTCTTGGGCGGTTCTTCAGCGGGGGGAGCTTCTGGAAGGAGGGGCAATAATAGGTCACGTGCTGGCGCTGACCCACGAAGGCCGCGCCAAGACGCTCCGAAGAAGACCGGACCTTCACCCGAGCTCTCCGCGGCGATGCTGTAATCTAAAATCCAAGTGTCGAACCATGTGGCAGGTTGCTCCGTCATTCGCAAATCTCTTATAGTCGCGGTTCAGTTCCATTCTCCAGCGACAAACTCCTCCAATTCGTCCCCGCCTCTCTCCGCCTTCCTCCTTTTCTTTTTTTTCTCTCCCCAAATTCTCTCCCTCACTCTTGCGCAATGTCCGCCCCCCAGTCAGCGCCAGCGGGGAGCAACCCCGCCCCCACCAAGATCGTCGTGGGCACGCGGGAGTCCGCCCTCGCCATCAAGCAAACCGAGATCGTCATAGAGGGCCTGAAAAAACTACGCCCCGACCTCCAATTCGAAATCAATGCCATGAAGACCATCGGCGACAAAGACCAACTGACGGCGCTGTACAAGTTCGGAGGCAAAGGTCTCTGGACCAACGAGCTCGAGGCGAAGCTCGGCGCCCGCGAGGTGGACATCATCGTGCACTCGCTTAAGGATATGCCCACGACCCTCCCCGAGGGATTTACGCTGGCGGCCGTTACCAAGAGGGAAGATCCTCGCGACGTCGTCGTTTTCAAGAAGAGCTTGGAGGGCAAGTATAAGACCATTGGGGAGCTGCCTGAGGGAAGCGTCGTTGGCACGAGCAGTATTCGGAGGATAGCGCAGCTCAAGAGGAGGTATCCTCATCTTCAGTTTGCAGATGTGCGCGGGAACATCCAGACGAGATTGCGGAAGGGCGATGATGAGGAGGGTCCCTTTTCGGCGATTATCCTTGCGGCGGCGGGATTGTTGCGCCTGGACTTCGGAAATCGGATTTCGCAGTACCTTGAGTCTTCTGGGGGTGGCATCCTCCATGCTGTCGGGCAAGGTGCCCTCGGCGTCGAGGCCCGTCTGGACGACCCATTTGTGTTGGATCTCCTCAAAGAGTACCAGGATGACAAGACGGCGTTGGCATGCGCAGCTGAGCGGAGCGTCATGCGTACGCTAGAAGGCGGCTGCAGTGTCCCCATTGGCGTCGAGACGAAGTGGGTTGAGGGAGGGAACAAATTGAGGCTTACCGCCACGGTGGTCAACTTTGAGGGTACCGAGTTTGCCGATGTGGATGAGACAGAGGTCATCGAGACGGCTGAGGCCGCTGAGAAGTTCGGTCGAGATGTGGCGCAGAAGCTTTCGGAGAGGGGCGCGGACAAGATTCTCGATGTCATCAAGCAAATAAAATAGTCTCTAGGACTATGAAATAAGATATGAAACGATATGCCAGTGTTAATAGATAGATTCCCATTCCCCTCTAACTTGAAGATTTCGAATGCGGTGCAGACGTTGTTTTCTGATGTAACGGGCAAGGGTTGACATCATTATGGGATCTGAGTTTTCCATGCCAAGCTTGAAGACCAGTTTCCTTTCATTATAACCTCTCCGAACGCCGCATAATATAAGAGAACTAAAAGAAAGGAAAGAAATCCTCCGAATACGTTAAAAAAAAAGCAAGCAAAAGCAAACGACCCTTTTGTTTGACCTCAGAGGATCTCGTCCTCCTCATCTTCCGCCGCAACCTCCAAGACCTGAAGAGGTACGTTCGCTTTCAAAGGCTCCTCTTCCACACCCATAGCCTCATCGTCCGTCCCCCATAAATCCTCCTTCGGCGCACTCTGTCCTTTCCTCTTCGTCTTCGTAACGCCTGTTCCGTTCACTTCGTCCCATGTCTTTCCTCTCGATCGAACCGACTTGCCCGCCTTCACGCTCTTCTCAATCTTTGCCGCCACCCTCTCCGAGATGGCTTCCGCTCTATCGGCTCCCTTTTCTTGTCTCCTTCGGGCCCTGGAGCTGAGTATAGCCTTGCGCTTGCTCGATTTCTTGGTTACTCCTGCGCCGTGATGCGCTGCTAGGACAGAGGGGCGGGACTCGGCGCGTGCGGGGGAAGGAGGGTTTAGTTCTTTGAGGGACTTGTCTGTGTCAATGCTGGGAGAGGTGGCTCGACGCGCCGCTCTTGAGTGGATCGAAGGACCTGTAGGTATCAAGATACCTGCGATTAGCTCTGTCTGGGATGCAAGGAATAATGAAGTTCGCGGGCTTGGTGGAAAAGGCCGGCTTCTACAATCAAGGCATACCCTTCCTCTTCTTAGCGATACCTGGCTTGCCCATTTTTTTTTTCTAATATATTTTCAGAAATTTGGGTCGACCGGTTGATTAGGACGTATGGAGGCGGTCCAAAGATCTTAGGCCGAATTTTGAATCTCCAATACTATTATTTTGGAGGTGGAGGGGTGAAGTTTTTTAGTGTTATCTTATCGATAACGTTATCTACTAGGTACCAGTTGCCGACGTCTGTCTCCCGCATTTTTTCATAACCCTAACAAATTCCTGACGAACCGAAGGTCACTTGGGTACTTCGTACTAATCGTTTGCCGGTGATCCAGAATGATTGCCTGCCGCTCAAGATATCTCTTGTGAGACCGAAGCATAAGAAGGTGGCAGGTCAAGTTCAGGGGAGGCTCAGGGATTGTATGGATCGGTCACTCTTATCCGCAGGTTTCATGTTGTCCTCCAAATCAAGGGAACCTTCTCAGTGTCCAAAGCAATCGTTCAAATCTAAACAGGCCCGGCTCGAAAGAGATTTACTTGACCAAAAAATCATGCAAATTCCATGTCGATCCGAAGAATAGTATAGAGTAGCTTCGGTCTTGCCTACTCAGTACAATTGTACAAATAATCACGTCTTTCTACCTGTGTAATCACATGCAAATGCCCGATTTGTACACTAGTTCGTCCATGGCGGACAAGATCTCCGGGCGCGAAAGGAAGACTTGCTTACAGGACTTTTCGCCGTGAGCATTTTGATGGAGGGCCACTATTCATCGTCTATCCTCCTGCGCTATCCTTAATCTCATGTCTCGGTCTAGGCCATTGGGCGATTACAAGAGTGGGAGCTAGAAAATCGCAATAGACCCAAGTCGACGAGAAGGCTACCAATCTCCTCCGACCAGCTCATCTTACTACCCGGAGGGCGATGGAGTCCGAAGCTTTCAGCCTTAGTTTCTAAAGCGAGTTCATGCTTGCCCTAGCATGTGATTCAGCACCGCGGCTAATATGCTGAGTGTACAAAGGTAAAGAGATCTTTTAAAACTTGTGGATACAGCGTCGCCGACCAGTCCCATCAGAGCTCCTCCCGCGGAGAACTGTGATGCACTCAGAAATGACGTCATTAGAACTTTCTCTCCAGGAGCAGACGTCATACGGGTCGTGCGTCTACTGGGCGGAGGGTGGCTTCGTGCCCCTTCACCAAGGCAATCTGAGAGCTGCATAGGCATTAAATAGAGGGGGAGGGAGTGAATAATAGTGTGTGCTCTCTTTTGATTAAATGGTTCTTGATTCTGCATTGATAGCTACAAGAGGTTCGAAGAAATTGAGGAGGGTTACAAGTCGGGTTATGTATCTGTCCGACCTCTCCCTCGTCCTAAGGTATTCGTTGACAGACAACGGAGAAACCGGGAGCCCTGAGCAAACCTGAGTGATGACGGACGTTCGTGGGTTCTCTAAAATATCCTATTTTTCCGTTTCTTTAAATAGAAACTGAATGATATAAGACTGAACATAGGTCTTTTTTCTGCGCGAAGGTGACGCCAGTGCGAGATGCCACATGCATGAGTGGAATCGTAGATTTGAGGTTGGAAATCGAACAAAGATCGGAGGGGAAGAATTAAAGCCTGTGAGCTCTTACGAGCACCAGACTATAGAGGATAACCCATTTTTTCTTTTTTGCTCTCCAGAGAAGGTCCATCGTCTGAGCATCCTCCAAGGGTGGAAGGGTCCCGCGGAATAGACCGACCGAGATAATAAAAGCAACCCTATATCAACCCTGAAAAGTACCCGTCGTATTCGAAGTTGCAAGAGAAGGAATACGGCATTGACGAAAGCGATGCCGCCCCTTGACCGGTGGAGAATACGGCCCCGCCCTCGTCTCCCCAGAATGTCGATTGCTTGAAACTAAATTTGATCCCTGATTCATCCATTCGATGATCTCCCGAGATGTTTGCGGGTCTTGGCTTGGGACCTGTGTTTGTGGGGCACCGGAACTAGTTCCCATTCCAAGGTCGATGAACATCCGAAATGCCCAATTCAAGGAAATACGATCGGCCCAGTCGCCTTTGAAACGGCGAGCCAGTGATTCCATTCTAATATGCGTTCTAGGGGCTAAGGAAGTGGCAGTGCTATCCTTTGTACTCGACCAGAGGATGGGAACGTCTTCGCTCGTCCCGTCTCTTTCGGGTACCACAAACGCCAAGAAGCCAGATGAGGAATAAGGACCGGTTTGTCTCCCACCTCCGTTTAGACGCCTTTGGACGGGGCCGAGAAATCGTGGTCTCCACCGCACTTCTCTGTCGAACTCCTGGATGTTGATGGTTCAATTGATGCAACTTTGCACATCGGCGCTAAGCTCATTAAATTCAATGTTCCCAGGGAGATAGCAGGATTACCAGGTGCGACAACAGACCGCCGTCCTACCTTGCGCCAGCCTGGGAATGTGCCAATTGACCTCTATCTACAAGGGTACCGGAGAAGGAAGCGACAATGGACAGGACCAACACAACCTTCATACGACACACTTGCCTTTACACCGAGGTACCGACTACCACTATCACCCTCACCTTCACTAGCAAAGAGAAAGTGGTTATGACTATTGTGGCCCTTTCCTTCCTATCAAGGACAATCTGGGTTTCATGCAGCTGAGCCTGCCTTCCCTCCACTCAGGTCAACTTGGTACGTGTTCGGTATTATTAATTCTCAAACGAGTGAATTTTGCATGTTTCCCGCTTTTGGCTTGGGATGCGCCTTCCCGCACTTTTGCTTCCAAATGTCTTATTACCTGACAACAGCAACCTCCTTCCCCTTCATTTTACTTGGCAATATCGAATTTCTGATAGCGACCGAGAACTCAGGCCATGTAGGTCGACCAGGCCCCATCTTCCTGCCAGTTTTCCCTTCAGACCTCTCCGTACCATCTGGAATCTACATTGGCGATATATATTGAGTTAGCAGGTGTCACGGGGAAAGTTCCTGTCAAAGATAGCAGTTCGAAATGTAGAAGGAGTTAGGTCCCCCGTTACCTCATCGCCTTAGCTTTAAGTTCTTGTCAGATAGTCGGAATGTCGAGGTTTCTAGGTTGCTGCGTAGATTTTTACCATCTCGTCTTTTTTCACCGACCTTTGACCTTTGCCGGGAGCCAATTCCCTTGTCTGGGTTTAAACGTCATCTTTCCTACCTCTGCTTAGCCCCAGACCTCCATCCACATTCATCCGCTCCATACTTTCCGCCACCTCCATCCTGATGTATATGCAACTGCATGTAGCTCATGTAGCTGTTCACCTCAAGTACCTACCCCTCCTCTATCTCTACTATACCTGACCTAGTACCATCGTAGGAAGCAGGAGCTCTGCGCATCTTCACCGTATTTCCGACTTGGTATCTCCACAGTACCGTTCATGACAGGAGTAGCGAACCGGGAACTTACACTCTCCCCAGGTTCTTTCTTTCCTCAACCATTTGCCCTGGATGTAACTAGTTCCTTCCCATCGTGCCCCTCCCAGCCGCGGCTTCTTACAACATCCTTTCATCATGCCACCTCGATCGCAACTTAGATTCCTTCTAGCAACACACCTCGACATTCTGCATCGACGTGAATTGTTTCACCGAGAGCTGAAGATCCTTTACAACCCCTTATCAATTAATCTCAGCTGTGGGGTTCTCGACTCGAGCGAGCTTTCCCCTGCGCCGCACTCTCGTCATATCGAAACTTCAGATCTGTCAGAACCCTGAGGATTCCATCTCTGAAGCTTCGCATATCCAAGGCGATCCGCAATATCACATCACTGGGGAACAACTCGGCAGCACACATTTCTTCTAAGCCGATCAAAAGGGATCTCGGCACACTCGAAATCCGCGAAGCCAAACGAAAGATAGAACAGCCATCCATCTATCACCTGATTGGCATTCTCTTTCTTTCCTCAAACCAACTCTACCTTAATTCTACCTGGAATTTACATTCTAAACGGCGTCACCTTTCCGGATTGCGCAAAGATACGTCTTCCCGAACCGTACACAATCCTAATCTACAAGGGAATACGTTCTCCTCTTGCCGACCCCACCAACCCATCCTTGTATCATAAAGTGCCACCCGGAGCCACACACCTTCAGAGCTCCCCGGTGACGTATCCCCCTCCTCTACCCTTCGCTTCCTCAACGTTGGACTCCACGCTGTCGATCACTTTGCCATCGAGCTGCCCTGGTTGGCCCAGAAGGACAAAAGAAAGCCGCAAGCGCGAACCCACAGAAACATTATCATTAACGGCTCAGACGTAATCCCAGAGGACAGGGGCAAAGGACCGCCCGCAACACCTCGAAAGAACGGTAAATTTAATCGGCCACCCCTACCTGTTCTCCACCGGCGGGAAGATATAGAAACATAAACGATGACCATGCCTCCGCCCTATTTTGACGACTACGTCCCCCTTGGCGACGTTCCGAGTCGGCAGAACCCGACCTATAATCAATACTATCCAAGAGCAAACAGCAACATCCCAGTTACCACTGCAGCTACCTCTAGTATCCCTTTCGTCCCTAACGCCATGTCCACGAGCACTTGCGTTGCTACCACTACTACCTGTATCAACCCCCTTGGCCATCGTGGGTCTGGCCCCTTTGACGAATCGAGAAGCGTCAAGACGAAATCCCCTTCCCCGAACGGGGATGCGTCCATGCGAACATTGTCGACAAGCAGTGCATCAACAAAGATGTCGAACAGAACCAGCATATCAAGCAAGTCATCGGCACCATCCCTCGATCCTACCTCTCCCCCGTCTTCATCTAAGCGAAAGGCGCGATCAACCACTCGTCTTGACTCCGCCGCAATGGGTGGTGGTGATAGCACTAAGCGAGACAAGTTCCTGGAGAGGAATCGCATCGCCGCGAGCAAATGCAGACAACGGAAGAAAGAGTGGATCAGTGGACTTGAAGAGACCAAAAACGGACTTGAGACTCAAAATTCGCACTTACAGATGGAATACCATGGTCTCTTGGGCGAAGTTAGCCGAATGAAAACCCAGATCATGGCACACGCCAACTGCCATGATCCTAACATCGATAAGTGGATTGAGAACGAGGCACGGCGATTCGTCCAGGGTCAGGAACCCACAGATTATCAAACCTCCGTTGATTTTGCGGGACCTGGACCGTACCCCAACCCCGGTGGCCCATCATTTCCCATGAACTACGAGGGCTACCCTGACGAGGGTGAGTGAATTCCAAGGTTGCTTGGACTACAGAGCAAGCGGATGGGTCCCTGTCGCTACGATCATATCGACCAGAAACCAACATCGTCATCATCTTTGCCTTGGGACGTCTAATTTGGATGGTCCTCCCATTCATGCAAAAGCCCCCGCGCGTCGAGCAACCCTACACCAAGGACCGATCCTTCAACTTACACGTTCTTCCCCGTGCGCAGGTTCAAAGATACCACCGACGCAAGCAGCATTGTCGGCCAAGCTTCAACACCCATTGGATCGCACAGAAGAAAGAGATCGCCGAAGTTTCGTTTGCGTATAATAGGCAAGATGTGATGGGTTTGAAGATGACCCAGGATTTCTCGGAGTCCCAGCAGAGATTAGGAATATTAAAGAAGCTCCGAGAGCCACAGCGGGAGTATCAGCTTGCGCTGGTCGGCTGATTTGTAAGATTAAATTTCGTCTACTTTTGGCCATACGCAGAGGTTGAAGTTATGGGTTCACCGGTGATAAATTTATGGCGTCAAGCAATTCCCGCTTGTGGTCTTGGTGCTTGGGGGCGAATGGAGACTGAACGGGGAGCAAATCGTGGCGAGAGAGAGGATATTGATGATGACTGACGGGCTGAGAAGCAGTGTTTAATTACGGATTTCGGTTACAGTGGAGGAATTAGGGCGGACACTCTGTTTCAACTATCACTTATGATACTTGCTGGCTTTGGTTTTGGAGTTGGGAGTTATAATACATGGTCGCCTCGACGGTGGGTTGGCTGGATCGGACTGGTTTATAACGCAAAATAATCGGATAAGGAATCGGACAAGGGAAATGAAGTTACGGAAGGAGTAACAGGGTCACTTATGGATCGAGAAATGCTGGGCAAAGCATCCTACCGGGGGTCCTCTGGTTGGGCTACCGATTTGCTTCCATGATGATTACGAACGGGTGTTATTAGTATTGGCGGTTGTCTGCTCTCCTTGTTCTTAGATGGCATGGGTTTACTGGCCTACGGGAATCGATTTCCACCAAATTGCGATAGCGACCTCTTTCTCGGGCCGGAGACTTGGATACTGACGGTTGTAGTTGGAGAGCCGTAGTGGATCATGTACGTGTGTCACCGTCGGACACCGAAAGTATCTGAAGAAGATGGCAAGCAGGTATACTTAAGTTCTATACATTGTTTCCTAACGTTAGGGGACTATATTCTACAAGAGTACACGGCCGTGATGACGACCAACGAATGTATACGTTTCTCCTTTTCTCCTGGCTTCCCAACACCCTCCTTCAAACATTGCGTTTCCATTCCAGTATTCCCATCCGGGTCTCAAGCTTCCGCGAATACCAATTACTCCGCACCAGCCGCCGCCGAAACGGCAGCTGCCTCAGGCAAAGCCGAGCTGAAAGCAACCTGTGTCACAAGATCGCTCTGATGCTCCTCAATCATACGGCGTAGAGCCGAGCGCTCAACGACGACGCGACCCTCGGTAAGGAGATCCTTGACATCGACGTCCTCAACCTCGAGCGCACGGCCATCCTCACCCGCGAGGGCAACAGCATCAAAAAGCGTAGCGCGGGGATCCGAAGTGACGAAGAGGGTACGGCCGAACTCGCGGCCCCAGTTATGAGCCGACATGAGCTGCTTAGCCTGCTTGCGAAGGTATCCGTCCTTGAGGTCCCCCTTGATGTAGTCGGCCTGGACGAGCATATGGTAATCCTCCGAAAGCGGCAGATCCATTCCATCCTCGCAAACAACGAGGTCCCCACGCCTGTAGCGGTACGAAAGCGCAGTACGCCACGCCTTATCGTACACCTTTCGAGGCAAGTTGGTCGAGAAGTCGCGCGGGTGCGGGCCGTGGGACTTTCCTCCTCCGCGGATGAGGGGGCTCTGCTTGGAGCCCTGGCGGGCGCGGCCGGTACCCTTTTGGGGACGGATCTTGCGGTGGGAGCCGTGGACTTCCCAGCGGGTCTTGGAGGAGGCGGAGCCCTGGCGGGTGTTGTCGCCTTCGTAGACGACGGCGAGGTGGAGGAGGTCGCGGCGGAGGGGGAGGTAGAGGTGTTTGACGGACCAGTCTTCGAGGGAGATGGGTTCGAGGTGGGGGAAGGTGTGGATGGTGACGGGGACGGTTGATACTGTAAGATGGATGTTAGTATTCTAATTTCAGGTGTGTGATGGTTGCTGCCACTTGAGACCGGGTGAGCAGAGGGAGAAAGAAATGGACTGGCATACTCGGATTCCAGGTTGTGGAGGTTGTGAGTCTGGACTGCGTCGACGTCTCGCTGGGAGTAGGTGCTTCTGTCGCTAGAGATCGGCTGAAGGATGTTGGGACGAAAGGCCGGCTCTGTTCACAATCAATTGGTTAGCGGGATGAAAATAACTCGGACCTGTCATGCATAGCTTAACCCATGGGAAATGTACCTGTGTCGCAGCGGCCGTCGACCGGAGAAGACTCGTCCTCGTCGTCGAGCAACCAGACGATATGCTGAGGGCCTTTAACGCCTCACTGAGGCTCCGTACGCCTTTGGACGCCATGTTTATGACTGCCTATATCCTCAATGTGTCCACAACCTGAGGATTCTTCCGTGGTGCGACAGTCGTTGGTCCCGGGCGGTAGATTCCTTCAATCGATGAACAGAGAAATCGAGCCTCGTTGAAGTTCAGTCGTCGCGAGAAAAATGAGCACACGAGAAAGTCTCGAGTGGTCCGTGCACAAAATGTCCTGATGCCGACAGCTGGTGGAGATTTAGCCAATGAGAAGACCCGAATTCAATTTTTAGTGGAGCTATTAAGGTTCTCTTCGAGTTTTTGATCCTCGACTTTTTGATCCTGCAAGCAGAAAAACGAGGGAAGGGATCGAGAGTTCTGCAGGAGGATATCCCACTCCCATTCGTAACTTTCCACCCTCCCATCAATTCCTCCACGGCCCCAGTCCGGATTCTCATCATGTCGGCATCCCAGGTCGCGCGGCCCTTAGTCCGCGGCCTTCGCCAAACCCTGGTGCTAAAACCAGCAACCATCCGATCCTTCTCCCTCTCGTCCGCCCACCTCAACACCTCCACGACGACAGAGCAGGCCACCAAGCCCGCCGCCGACGACCAACAGTTCAACCTCGACCCGAACACCGTCCTCGGCCGCCGCGCCGAGCGAGAACTCGCCAAATCCGGCAAACCCCCCGTCGGCTCGCGCCGCCGCCGCGCCGCGCTTCGCTCCAGCCCCAACGTGCCCTTCGAGCAGCTCCCCTACCAATGCTTCCAGGAGGCGAGGGCCATCATCCGCGCCGATAGGGAGGAGAAGGTCGAGGCGATACGCTCGGAGCTGGCCAAGATTGAGAGGCTGGAGGCGTTGGATCCGAGCAAGTTGAAGGGGGGCGAGAGGATGAAGGAGTTGAGATTGACGAGCTTGAGGGAGCATGTTGAGAAGTTGAAGATTTTGGCGGACATTAATGATCCTATTGTGAAGCGCAAGTTTGAAGACGGCCTTGGTATGCTTCCCCCCCCTTCTTCCCTCTCTTGGATGTCCTATCTCCGTCACATACTAACCTTGCTTGATCAGGCGACATGAACAAACCCATCTACCGCTACCTCGCCGACCAAAAATGGCGCTCCTACGACCGCAAAGTCGTCCTCCAACGCCTCTCGCAATTCCACATCGTCCCCGACCTCCTCCCCAAATTCGACCCCGTCGCCGACGTCCAGCTCTTCTTCCGCCGTGTCAAGGTCCCCGTCGGCACCCTCGTCAACAGCCTCGTCAGCGAGCTCCCGCCTCGTCTGCGCGTGCAAGTCTTCGACAAGGGCGAGCGCCTCGTCTCCGTCGTCGTTGTCGACGCTGACGTCCCCGACCTCGACGCCGACAGCTTCACTAAGCGGTGCCACTTCATGGCCGTCAATGTGCCTCTCTCGCCGGACTCTGGCTCCATCGCCTTTAGCAGGATCAAGGCCCCGGAGCAGCTCGCTGTACCCTGGCTCCCTGCTTTCTCTCACAAGGGCTCGCCGTACCACCGTCTTGCCGTTTTCGTCCTCGAGCAGAAGCCCGGAGAGACCCTCGATGCTGAGAAGTTGAGAAGCCTCTATAACAAGGGCGCCGAGGGCCGCGGATTTAGTCTGAAGAGCTTCCGTGACAAGTTTGGCCTTTCGCCCGTGGGTTTCAACTTGTTCCGTACCGTTTGGGATGAGAACACCGCGGCGGTCATGGGTCGCGCCGGTATCGAGGGCGCTGATCTCGAGTTCAGGCGCGTCAGGGTCCACTCGATGAAGCCGGAGAGGAAGCCCAAGGGTTGGGAGGCGAAGAGGCAAGGTCCCAAGTACAGACACCTTTGGAAGTACACCAAGAGAATCAGGGGATTGTCCAGCGGCAAGAAGTGGACGAAGAGGGGCAACTAAAAAGTGTGGAGATGGAGAGAGAGCACGGTGCTGTAATAGGGAAGATGAGGCAAGAGAGAATGTGTGTGAGACATTGGGGATGGCTGTACATTATGTGTATTATGCTGTTGAACATGAGGGGATGGTTTTGTATGTGTATGCATATAGAAGAAAATTCCTAGGAACTTCTGCTTTTTTTTGTTTATCTCTGTCTCCTTTTCCTCCTGATCCCTCCTTAGCAGACCAGTGAATGTAAACCATGAGATCCTATTCATACATTTTATTGCTATTCTATTCTATAGATTCCAACCTGCCCCCTTCTATCATAATTCGGTGATGGGTATCAACGCCACCGAACAAGTCTTCTAGTTTATAATACAACATTGAAACCTCCACATTAGCATCAAACCTCCCAACATTTCCTCATAAAGCACCCCCTGCAAGTTTCACAAGCAACATGGCAATCCTCACTTTAATCCCCACCCTCCTCTCCGAAGTACACAAATCGTCCCTCGTAGTAACAGTCGCATGCTCAGCCAACCACTCCTTCTCCTCCGCCAACCTCCTCTTGAGATCCTCATCCCTCGTGACGACCAACCCGCCGACCTCGAGATCCAGCGAATAGCTCCGCTTGGTATAATTCGAGCTTCCGACCAATGTCATCGACGGATTCGTCTCACGCGGAAGCGACACCCAGAGTCCCTTGGCGTGGTACGTCCACGCGCCCGGATCGCCGACGGTGCCGCGACGCCATTCCAAGGCTTGGATATCCGTGCGGCGCGAGGCGTACACGGCGTCTAGGAAGTGGCGGAGGAAGACGGTGTATGCGCCCGGTAGGAGGCCCGATACTCCGGGGGATTTGTAGAAGCCGTTCGCGTAGGGAGAGGCTGTTATGACGGTATTTTGGCCGCCAGGGCTCGTGGAGAGGAGGAGTTTGGTGAGAGACGGCGCCGGGTTGAAGTAGCCTGCCGTGAAGGTCCAGGAGGAGGAGGCGTAGTCGGGTCGTGCGATGGTGCGGAGGATGTGTGTTATGGCGGGGAGTTCGGTGGATATGTCGGGGCGGAGGAGCTGCGACATTTGTGCGAGGATGTATATCCTTGTGTCTTCGATCTCGAAGACTGGGCTCTTCTCAGAGGCTGCGGGTGGCGGGTGGGTTGGTTTTATGAGAGGTTTTAGGACTGAGGTTGCGTGGCGCACGAAGTCGCTGGGGGCGCTCAACGGCGAGGGACCACCGTTTGAGGAGGGCCAGGTGAGCTTGAAGCCGGCGGGATCCTCGGTCGAGGGGGCGACAAGGAAGCTAAAGGACGAAACTCCTTCTTGGATGCGCCGGAAGTATTCCGTGACATCTTTGGAACTGACTAGATGATACCGATCTTGACGATTCGTAAAATAGTCAGAAGAAAGGTTGGCGCTGAAGTTCCAATTAGCAACGGGCTCAACCAAGTTAACAAGTAGACTCCGGGCACCTTACCCAGATAATATAATCTCGTCATCCACTCCATACAGCTTCATGTGCTGCAGACCCCAACCCTCATTGATCCTCTTCGGAACATGCTTCTTTCTTAACCCTGTCAAGTTCGGCGTGTGGTACATGCGGATCTCAACCCGATGCGCCCCAAACTCCTCGACGAGCGGTGCAAGAAGCGACGCGCAGGAAGCCTTTGGCGCCTCTCTCGTTCCCCTCAGCGCATCGGTAAGTATGCTCACGGTAAGCTTCGGGTTATTCCGCAGCGCTTCGGCGAGGGTGTCGATCTGAAAGAGTGTTAGCCTCCGCGCCCGCTTGACGATGGAAAAGGTTCGGTCAAGACAAAGAGAGAAGTAGGAAGACAACTCACCAGCTCCTGCTCCGACTTCCCAATATACAAAGTCGACAAAAATACCCTCCTCTCAGCGCCCCGGATCTTCTCCTTCAACGTCTCATAAAACTCCGTCGGGGTGCGCAATATCCTAATATCCGACCCTTTCACATCGAAAGATGGCGCGAGCTTATCGAGTTCCGAGACGAATGGCGCTAGGGCTCCGGCTCCCATGACGTGGGAAGCCGGCGACGTCGCGGGTGAGGAGGCCGCAGAGTATCGACGGCATTGGAGGAAAGAAGAAGAGGGCCGGTTTCCAGAGGCGATGCGCGGGCGGGAGAGAGGAGGGCGGCGGCGAGCTGTTAACCGTATGGCATTTCTGGCGAGCATATCCTCCTCTTATTACGTATAATATTCTATATAAAAATTATAGAGAAATATTTTCATACGAAACGAACGGAACAAAGGAAAGGCAGAGCTGAAGCAGCTTAATTAAGATCGAGAAATCGAGAGCTCGGCTTTCACGATCTCGGGTACTTTGTACCTTTTTTTTCCTTCTTTTCTTCCTTATTACCATGACAAGCTCAATTATTGGCCGGCCTCGTCTGCTGAGTCATCACCCAATTGCACGCATCACCAATTCCCTCGCCAAATCCATCATCAAGTCCCGCTTCGAAGCCGACAACGACCTCATTGAGAAGGACAATCGGACGCCGCAACCATGTCTACGATATCGAGAACGTTCAGGAACCTCCGAAAGATCGGAATCAAGGTACGAAGAACCCCCGACTTCTCCTTCCCCGCCGCCCACGGCTTCAATCCCGACTACACCGGCGACCATTCTGTGTGTTTCAATCTGCTGACTTCTTGGTTGAATAGGACTACTTTGTCCAAATGCTGGTATGTTTACCGCCTAGCCCCTAACTGATTCGACGAGCCAGAGCAATTGATGTTGACGGATTGTTTGCGACAATTAGTACATCGGTACGCCCACCCCGAAATCGAAATCCTCCCATCCACTCCGAATACCTGAAGCTCGATAACCTAACCGAATCCATGCTTTCGGCGAGGGGAGAGAATTCCATAGACTAACAAACCTCTAGGTGATACCAAATGGGGTAGACTCGTAGGCACCGATCTTGCCGGCAACAAGTTCTTCGAAAACACCGACGAACTTCCTCGTACGCACACCCATATTTTCCCGAGTCCGATTCGTCTTTTCTACTTTTCCCCGATCTAACGTATTGACATAGTCCGAACTCGCTGGGTTGAATACGCCAAGCACGATTACGACGCGTACGTCCAAATGACCCCCCCCCTTTCGTTTAAACCTCTCTGTGGAAGAACCTCCGAGTCTTCGACCCCGATTGCACGCCACTTGGATCTAACGCATTGTATAGTGCCCATGTCGACCCCGGTTGGCACGCCTGGCTCGCCTACATGGTCGATAAGCCCCCCACCGAGGATGCCCTCCTCCAAACCAAGGCCAAGACAGCTATCCCCAACTATACGGCCACAAGGGGCGCCTTTAAGACGTATAACACGTAAGTCCAACTCCTGGCCCCTTCCTTCCAGAGATCCTTTTCTTCTAGAAGACTACTTTAAATCCGAGTTGCTACTTGGGGAGGGGTTGCTGATGAGTGAGCTTGTAGGACTGCGCCCAAACTCCATGCCTGGGAGCCTAAGACGGCAGAGAGGCAATGAAGCCAGGCTGAGGGGCAAAGTGTGAGAAGAAAACTGAGCATGTGTGTGTAAATATGGGCAGGAAGATAATAGACCTTTAACCGCGAAAGCAAATCCCGGCACTAAAAGTTCTCAATTGTCCTTCTCCATTTCCCAACTTTGGGTTGGCCGCGAGTTGTATTGTTGCCCCGGCTTTGAAGATGAGAAATAAGTGATACACAAGGCATTATCTATCGACATCAACACCATACTAAGCAGACCGCATACTTATACAACAGACTTTAGAAATACCTCAACTTAAAATTGAACTCGAAACAAAAACTATGGATATTGCCTCTCAGACAAAGAAACACGGTAGACGTAGAACGACAATCAAGAGATCAAAAAAACAGAGGTAGAAAAAACAGAAAGTGATAAAAACATAAGTATGGACGATAAATAGAAGATGAAATGCCCAAATCACAGGCTTCTGATGCAATATGCCAGCAGCGCAATTGCAGCAAACGCCCAATCCAAAGGTAACCAGTTTATAGACCTAAGCTTTATATTCTAGATTCCACAGCCGATTTGATCGCTGAGACCCATGGCTGTCAGCACACATCCAGGCTACTACAGGGGACGGGAGCGAGGTGAGGGAGATGGATACTTACCGTCACAAGAGACTCTAGCATCGCCAAACAGCATTCTAGTTCCGGGCATATAGAACATCGGGTTCGGGACATCCGCTATAATCGCATCAGTAACCATCATGTAAGTGAAACAACCAAGGGTCATCCTCCTTACCATATCCGCTCGCCAGACTTCGCTTCATGACAATCACCTGCTTGCTCTTCCAAGCGTGCAGCACAGGCATTCCGGCAATCGGGCTACCAGGCTCCAAGGCAATGGGGTTGACGGTATCGTTGGCACCAATGACCAAGGTGACATCCGTGTCGCCGAAATCGTCGTTGATCTCGTCCATCTCCAGCACGATGTCATAGGGGACACTCGCCTCGGCCAGCAGGACGTTGCACTGGCCGGGCATCCTACCGGCGACAGGATGGATAGCAAAGCGGACATTGATGCCCTTCGACCGAAGCATCCGGGTGATGTCGCTGATGGCGTACTGGGCTTTGGCAACAGCCATACCGTATCCGACCACGATAATCACATTTTCTGCATTAAGTAATGCCTCGGCCGTGTCTTCGACATTCGTCTGCACTGCCGTGCCTTCAACCTTGAACTCGCCTGACCCTGTTGGCGCAGATATACCTCCGAATAAGACGTTTGTGAGTGAGCGATTCATCGCCACGCACATCTACACATGTTAGTTTCCCGCTTCTTGAGGTTCATAGCGCGTAGAGGAGATTAGGACGAAAATAACGTACAATATACGATAGAATGGAACCAGACACGCCTATCAGGGCTCCCACTGTTGTCAATAGCGGGTTGTCTAACATGAATCCTTCTGCCACCAGTGCAAAACCACTGTATGCGTTCAGGACAGTAATAACGACAGCTGCAAGAGAGATGTGAGCGGATACAATCATAGAATGAATGATAGAAATTTGGGGTTGGGGGGGCTCAGAAGTATTCTTACGCATATCAGCACCGCCTATGGCGGCAGTTGTTGTGAATCCCTTAAGGAATGACAGAACTGTGTTGGCAGCCAGAGCTCCTGCCGCAATGAGGGGCGAGCCGGGAGCCATGGTGACGAATGCGGCCATGGTGGCCAAGTTGGCCGTCAGCATGCCGGAGTTGATGAGATGCCTTCCAGGGAACGTGAGTGGTCGGGATGACATCCGTCCAGCGAGCTTGAAGAAAGCAACCAAAGAGCCGGTAAAGGTGATACCACCTGTAGACTGATTAGTTGGAGCCCCTGTGTAAACTCAACCTGACCAACACTTACCAATCAGGACACCGAGATAGGCGGAGACGAGGTGAAGGGTCGAGATATGGGTCACGTCTGCCATAACGCTACCGATACTCGTCAACACAGCAGCCAGACCTACCACGGAGTGAAGCGCAGCAACAGTCTGAGGGAGATCGGTGGGGGTGATCCGCTTTCCAATGAGAATACCCGCGAGAGTACCGAGAGTCGCAAGCACACCCCACTGGGTCAGGACCTCAGGAGAGAATCCAACGGCAAGAAGCGACGCCAGGACGCCAGATCCAACGCCGAGCATTCCGAGCATGTTGCCCATTCGAGCGGTAGCTTGGCTAGCAAGGCCGGAAAGGGAACCAATGCAAAGAACGGAGCTGACCAGGTATCCAGCCTGTACGAGACCCGCAGCACCAGTAGATGCCGCAGCGATGAAGCCACCACCAAAGACGGCCGCAGGAATGGCATATAGCCAAGGGTACTCGGGCGGGTCAGTTGGTCCTATCCGACACATCATCAGTTCCACCATCTCAGCCAATACGATGCTTCCAAATTAGGTGTCTTACGCTTGAACATGTCCAACATCCTCTTGGTGATTACAAAGCCACCACCAATGTTTCCAAATGCGAGGAGGACAGAGAGGGCACCGAAAGCCTGGGGGATCGTCTCGGGGAAATATCCTCCACCAAGGATGAAGAAACCACCAATACCAACCATTCCTAAGAGAAGCAACAAGTGTTAGTAGCGGGACTCTTGATCACTATGCGGCCAAGCAGATACGTACCAGAAATGGCGTTAGTCACGCTCATCAAAGGAGAGTGAAGGGCAGGAGTAACTCCCCAAACCACACGGTAACCAATAAGTGAAGCCAAGGCGAAGGTGAAGGCATTTCCCATGAGCAGAGGACTCGTGAACTTGCCCAGAGCCAAAATCGAACCCATACCACCGGTGAGGGCGGCAACTTCGCGGGAGGTCTTCTGGAAAGGAGTCAAGGCAACCACCTCGGCTTCCTTCTCCTTGGGAGCAGCGGCGGGGGCGGGAGGCGGGGCCGGACGGGGTGCAGGAGGGAGAATGTTTCCGTTCAGAGTGACAATGGAGCCTCGGACGACCTCATCGGTAAGATCAATGCCAAACTCCTTCTCCTTGGGGGCCATGGACAAAAGGAGCTTTGTGATGTTGTTAGAATAGAGGGTCGACGATTGCGTGGGCAGCCTCGAGGGGAAATCCGTGTATCCTAAAGAGTGATCGGTTAAGTCACTGTAGTGTCTCACGTACAGGAAATAGACCAATGTGTAACACAACATACCGATAACCTTGACGTCCTTGTGGGTGATGACCTGTCCAGGCTGAGTAACCTCGCAGTTACCACCAGCCTCAGCAGCAAGATCGACAATGACGGATCCCGGCTTCATGACCTCGACGATATCCTTCGTGATAAGCTTCGGCGCAGGCTTTCCGGGAATAAGCGCGGTGGTGATGACAATATCGACGTCGGCAGCCTGCTCCCTGAACAGCTTCATTTCAGCCTCGATGAATTCTTTTGACATTTCCTTGGCGTAACCACCAGCACCGGAACCATCTTCCTCGATATCGACCTCGATGAATTCAGCACCTAGAGATTGAACCTGTTCACGCGCAGCAGGGCGAGTATCGAAGCCTCGCACGATGGCACCAAGTCTTCTGGCGGTGGCAATGGCACTCAGACCAGCAACACCAGCACCGATAACCAAGACCTTGCAAGGAGGAATCTTTCCAGCAGCAGTAACCTGACCAGTGAGGAAGCGACCAAAGTTGTTCGAAGCCTCGAGAACCGCCTTGTAACCAGCAATGTTGGCCATTGAGCTAAGGGCATCGAATACCTGAGCACGGGAAATACGAGGGACCATATCCATAGCGAAGACAGTAGCATTCCGGGAAGCAAGCTTCTCGACGAGATCTTTATTCTGAGCAGGTTGGAGGAAGGAGATGATCGTTTGATTCGCCTTGACGGAGTCGGCCTCGGCAACGCTCGGCCCTCGAACCTTTAGGACAATATCGGAATCTTTCCAGACACCGGCAGCATCAACAAGAGTAGCTCCCGCGGCAGCGAAAGCTTCATCGGGGAAGTCAGCCTGGGCACCGGCGCCTCGTTCGACTAATACCTTCGCGAAGCCCTTCTTGAGTAGAAGCGCAACGTTGGCCGGGTTCAAGGCGACTCGTCGCTCATTGGGATACGTCTCCCTAGGTACACCAACAGTAAGCTGGGTGTAGGGGGTTGTCGGCGGAAGCACGGCATCGGGCTGAGTGGCATCGACAGATTGAGTGGTGGAGGCGTGGCGGATAAGCTGGAGCTGTTTGGGGTTACGAGGCACCAGAGCTGTGGTTTGACGAGCAGGAGGCGCAAAGCTCTGCCACTGACGGTGAGAATGAGACCGACGTCGGCCAGCAACGACAAGAGTGGCAGGTCCGCATGTGAAGCCGCCTTTTTACACGGGAAGCAAAAAAAAAGAGAGAGAGTAAATAAGTCAGTTACACCATGTTTCTAAGTGGAATAAAAATTGGAACCGAATTGAAACCGAGTTGCAACGCTGCGTACAAGGAACCGGAAATCAAGGATGCGCGCTCGAGTCTGAAGCTCAGGTGTGAACTCTCTCAATTGATAGAGCATTGATGTCTCAAAAGAACTTCAACCCTCGATGCTGGGACAAGGGAATGAAGGAAACCGAGGTCGGCCCCCAGGGATTTGCCACTACGAATAACAGCTTAAGCTTACCTCGAGTGCCAGCAATAATTCGCTGGGCGGTTGACGAGCTTACACCGACCTGGCCACCATGGCCTAGGGCCATGACCGAGCGAGGGAGTGACCACGACATTGGTGCAGCTCAGCGGGAGCGGATGGGGATGAGATGAAAGGCTCCCAAGACGGAGACCATCTGCTCAAGGGCAGACTGAAATAAGTTGAAGGCGATCGTCTCTCCTAGCGCCTTTCTGAGTCACGATTGGATTCGGGGGACTATCGGAGGTTGGGACCCATGAGAAAAGCAAAAGCTTTTCAAAAGCGGTGAGAAGCTAGTAAGGGCAGTCGTCGCCGTCTTGCTGGACAATTGCAAAAAATTCGAGAAGCTCTGGAGCTTAGCTCCAAGAAACTAATCAGATAATAGGTTCGGAGTCGGAGTGGAGGCGGCAGGACTTCAGGGTCCAAAATTCAATGTTCAATGGCTCAACTGAGCAGGGGGGACTGTCAGGACCAACACGCGACAGATGCTGTCAGGAACTGCACCATCCAGTTGATCTTTGGAGCTTCTCCAACAGCATGGACAAAAATGGAGGGGCAGAAAGAATAAAACAGAAAACCCTTGTGATGAAGAAGGGGGAGAGGAGAGGAAAGAAGGCGACTGGAAGAAGAAGAAGCAGCAAGACGCTTCTGTCCAAAACCTGGGGTCATTCACTGTACAAGTAGGTACCGGAAAATGTACATCTACCTTTGAAAGCCAGGCCGTGTTGCCCTTTCCCGTCGAGGTCAATGTCGCACCTGGATCGACTGTTCAATTGATTGTCCCTTCCGTCGAGACATCAAAGTATTTATACAAAATGAGCTGGGGAAGGAGTGCTGGTTTCAGTACAGACTCATACGGAGTACTGCCTGGGTGCCTGCCGTAGGGCGCAACGGTAATGTACGAAGTAGTGCGGTGTACTTCGACAGAATTGGACAGAATTGGCTGCAAGCCGGCAATCACTGACACCGCCCTGCACTGACTTTGGTCGGTGCTTTCTGCCCGCCCAAACCAACCAAAACCGACCCAAACCAGGCCCACCGAAGCGTGGTCGACAGGGGCTCGGGCACCATTCTCCAAGGCAAAGCGCGCTACCACGGGCCACTACCCAGGCTATCACGCGAAAGCCCCATCTTCCCCTGCTTCGGGGCCCTTTTCCTCGGTCTATCATCAGCTTAGGCCTCGGGTTCTTTCGTACGATCGCCATTTCCACACTCAACATCAATCATTTTAAACTAATAATAGAGGAAAGCCAGCAAATCGATAGCACTTCATCGTCTACAGCCCGGCTCGAACACTAAATGTCACTAGCTACCTCCGCAGTACAGTGTAGTGTACAAGAGCTTGCTCCTCTTCTCCGCAAGCAGTCGTGTAACGTCTTCTTTTAACCCCTCACGGTTCGAGGGGGACCGAGGGAGCTTACATCTTACATCGGGAGTCAAGATACGTGATAGCAGCAGAGCCGAACGCTTTTGACCCGTTCCCGCCTATTACACACCATCTCCCCCTAAGACCGCTGCAGGAATATCTATTACTTTGGTATGTAACACGAGGTGCCTTGATTCTAATGGAGGGTGACTTAAAGGGTGGGGGATAAGAAGGGATAAGGAATGATCAATGATAGGGGGAGACCGTTTTGGAGGGTGGGAATACCACACCATCTATGAAGTAGGCGAGGGTGTCACAGCACTGTCTACGCGACACTGAGCTGTGCAGTTTCTTGACAAACGCAGTTTTCTGTAGAGTTCGACCGTCTCCAACGGTTGTGGCGCCCCCATATTTGGAGAATCCTAGGAATAAGCTGGAGAAGCGCGAGTGAAGCTAGACGCCGTCAGTATTCTGGCCTTTTTTCTCTTTGCTTTCTCTTCTCCAGATTTCCAACGGTCGTGTCTTCACCGGACCCAACTGGCTACTTACGGATATCTCGGTCTACTGCTGGGCCTTTTAACCCCGCATTCTCACCTCGTGGCTACCTTTCCCCGCCTCGCTTGTCGTTCCATCTGTCATCTTGGCCCATGGTCCGTCCACTGTCCCGTTATCCCGTAGGAACGCAGTAGCGTAGCGTAGACTTGGCCTGCATTTGCGGAAGGTCCAGAGCTCTGTGATCTTCACTTTGTACTTGTAGCCCATCTGCCGCTGCCTGATAGATCAAATTACAGAGCATGAAGCCGTGAATATTGAAACACCAATCGACTTGACGACTGTGCAATTGATCTCGCAGCAGAGCCCTGCTCGGGACCGGCAAATCTGCCAAGTACGAGACTATGGGAGCCGGATAGAATGTGCATTATGTACATCACATTGCCGAAACAATAGCTCCCGGGAATGAGATTGATAGTTTTCAAGACCTTAAACAAAGAGTCCAGAACTATACGTACTTGGCAAACCAGAGCCACCAGTGCAGTTCATGGTCGCCGTCTAGTCCCTCCGCACCGCCCTTAATGCAAGGAATACACTACCCGTCTCCCAACCTGCACCCTTCCCCGCATTTCGCCCTCTGATCCCCCGCGAATTGGCGTCCTTGGCTTGGTTATCATGCCCGTTCTAAGAGGCCACAATCTTCAGGTGTGACCACCCTCGAGCCTCGAGGGCCGTGTTCCGGTCGGAGTTCGTTTTACTTCCGTCGGAATATCGGTTTTATTTGTGACGTTGCGTTATTATGTCGAGGTCGTAAATGGTGCGTTTTGGACGTGTTCTTTCGAGATCCGCGGAGACGGGGGTGGCTCTGTGCGGGTTTGGGCAGGATGTATGTGTATGTACTTCATACTACAAGCTACAAGCAGAGTAGAGGGGACTTGTCTCTTTCAGATCTACCCAGATCTACTCGACCATAGCTTACACAACCAACGCAGCTCTCCAGGACACCCACCTTCGAAATTCTTAGAATCGAGAAGCCAAAATGCAAGACTGGTCCTCACCATGGGAATCGCACTTCCGCCTGCTACCGTCCTCCATGTAAATCAATAAGCATCCCAATGCGCCGCTAACCTCTATGCGTATGCTTCCCGGAGCTCTCCTCTCACGCCACAGTCCTCACAACCCTTCCAACCTCGCCTCTATCCACCGCTTCAACCCTTGGAAGAACCTTCTTCCAAATCTCTTCCGCCACCTCTTCAACCGAAGGACTCGCATCCACGAGGACCAGATCCTCCTCTTCCTGCCTAAACACTCTCGTTTCCGTAGTATTGGTAGCCGCCGACCTCTCCTGTGGCGTCCCTCCAGGCCCCTCCGGCGTGCCGATCGTACCCATACTGAGGCCCCAGAAGAGATCACGCACGCGCTTCTGCATTTCCGATTTTTCGTACACCTCGCCGCCCCAGCCTCCGCGCTCGCGGGCCTTTGCTTCCTCGAGGTCGAGGAAGAGGACCATGTCGGGGCGTGGAAGGCCGACCTCGGGAGCTCGCGCCCAGTGTAGGGAGAGCGTTGGGTTTTGCTTGGCGGCGCTGTATACGACGCCGCTGTAGTAGTATCGATCGCAGATTACTGTCGTGCCATCCGAGAGGAGAGTGTTTATCGACTTTCTATACGTAGGAAAATTCGCGATGTTAGTAAGATGTCCCCATGAAGATTTATTTAAGAAATTGTGGAGATTCGCGAGGGATGTAGATAGTAGGAATCGTACGCAGCCTCCCATCGGTTGGCACTGAAAAGGAGGTGTATAGCATGATCATCCATTTCGATCGCGCTTTTCAAGTATTCATCGATCATCTGGCCAACTGGGGTCGATCGATCTGTAAACCCGGCGCAGTCAGAGTAGAGTTTCTTTTTCCTAGGTCAAGCCGGGCATTGCTTGATAATATCGTCTTATTAAACTACTACAACGAGTTGGTTATACAGATGTAGCTCACCCCACCCGGTCCAGTCGCCGGCTTCCCTCGCTTGAGGTGCGCGATATACGGGACATAGAAGTGCGCATATGCATGGGAATATACCATCATACAAGCAAACCCAATTTAGAACTTAGAAGCTCTAATAAAGGGAGAAGAAGAAAAGTGAAACTCACCAGGGAATCTCATAACCTTAACCTTCCTCCCAAGCTCCACAAACCTCTGCTCTAATAGCTTGACTTGCGTCGTCTTGCCACTCCTGTCGAGGCCTTCCAGCACAATCAGTGCTCCGCGCCCACCCGAGCTCCGCTGCACCGCAGACGTGGCAATGGCCGCCGCGGCGAGATCGTTAATCGAAGCCATCGGAAGCCGAGTACGTTCGCTTGCCCGGTCGCTCAGTATTCTCGCGTGATTTTGCGCCAAAACTTGGGTTTTGAACGTCCCTCAGAACTATCACCCAGCGCAGTTTCGTAGTTCCTCCCGCGGAACCGAATTAAGTCCCAGAACGATTTGCGAAGCTCAAGATCAAAGCAATTGGTTTTCCGCAAGTTGTTTTTTTGTCCTTGGGTGGTGGAGAGTCTCGTCGCTCTAATTTTGATGTCTGGATGCGACGTCCCCCTGGAGCCCGATGGCGGGGTGGAGGAGGGGTAATCTGGGGCACGAGCTGAGAGCTCTGGTTGAATTAAGGACACGAGGTAAAACACAGATGACGACGCCGAGTGTGGCTGCGCAGTTTCACCACCAAATACACGCGCGCATGAAACTTGGAAGTCTTGAACGGGATGGGAGATGAAATAAACTATTTGGAAGAGGGCAAGACCAGACGAGGCTGTAAGGACTTCTGGACTGTAAGCTAAATAAGGTGCAGCTTAATTGGGCAGGCCTTACCGACGTCGGTTCAGGACCATTGAAGATTGATTTTTACAGCTGACTAAACTTTGTTATCAGATCAAATCCATCACGGTGATGCCAACGTCCATCCAGCCTCAGACCTGTTCGGCATCTGACGGTTCGAGGTTACTTACATGAGTACTATATCAACAATTGAATGGATGGTACAACCCATGGCGTACTTTGAAGGTCCGATGAGAGCTAGTCGTGTCTGGTTTTGGGGACGGTTGGCGGGGGAGTCAAAGTTGTTGAAGCTCAAGCTGTAAACTTCATCTAAGAGCTCTCTCTCTCTCTATCTATCTACATATACATATATATGCTATCGGTTACTCCTCAACCCGAAGACCATCTTTATGTAGAAAATCACTACACTCTGGAGTGTAAACCTAGAAGTCATGAGAATATTTGCTCGTATTGATTTCATGTCATCCACTCAACAGGTCCTAAAGACCTGCAGTTATCATATTCTAATTCATCCTGTGATACCAAAACCCTCGAAAAAAGAGAGACCCCAATAGCCCTCATCTCAGTGCCGCTGACACCAGACCTCGAACAGTAGAAGTCGGCGTCATCGAACAAAGAGACATCCTCGAAACAGGAGAAGACCCTGTAAGAACCGTCATCGAAGCTGAACATAAAGCAAAAAGAAAAATCACGAGAAACAAAACCGCCAACCCTTCCTTTTCCATCGCCTTGGAAATGCCCGAACCGAAACAAGCAGCAAAACTAAAAGGGAAAAAAAATTAAAAAGAGAGCAAAGACGTGAAAGATGCGTAAAAGGGACAAAATCCCACAATAGCAATCGCTGTTCCAACCGAGAGCTCTAGGAAATAAAAGCAGGGCCAAGAACAAGCCAGTCGGGAAGAGAAAACTAAAAGCCGAAAAAAAGTGCAAATGGAGAGAAGAAGCTAATTCTAAAACGCCTGACAATGCACCCATCGCAAGTAAAATTTTGAGAGAAAAAGCCACCGCCTGCTCTCCCTTCTTCTCACTTCTCTCGAGAGTATCCAGACTGCTCTCCCTTGCTTGCATTCAAAACCAATCCATGTCGATGTCGCTCGTGTCGAAGTCCTCTAACCCAGGAATTTCCAAAGTACGGTCCAAATGCCAAACCTCCATCTCGGCCAGGTCTGACTAGGACGCGGCGGACGGGGCGGGCATGTTCGCTATCTGCGGTGTTCTCTGGACCTGTCCCATCCCGGGGCTACCCTGTCCACCCATTGTCCCTTTCTGTTGCATCTGGCCGGGTTGGGGCTGGCCCGGGTTGCCGGCTCGCGCATTTATCGGGAACGCGGGCTCCTTCTTAGGGTCGATGCCCGGGAAAAGCGCCTGCAGCTTGGCGTATAGCTCTTTAAGATATTTGTTTCGGTCTTCGCGATCCGCGATGGGGTCGGCTGGAACATGGGTCACCCCATCCGACCCTTCGGGAACATACTTGATCTCGAGCGTCATATTGAGGGGGGGAGCGCTGATGATAACCGGACATGGTGGCAACTTATTCTTGCGATCGGCGAGGGCGGCAAGGTATTGGAGGTTGGCGTTCAGACGTCTCAGGCACCTACTGCCGTTAGCATATCTAAACCTTACGCAAAGTAAGGATGGGGGCCGTGAACTTACTGGGTGAAATCCTGCGACACCTCTTCCACTTTCTTCTTGTCCACATCCGAAGCACCATCTGACCCTGCACTCGCCAACTCCTTCTTGAGTTCCAACTGGGTATGCTGCAGCTGCATGGATTCGTAGAGAAGTTCTTGATTGATGTCTAGAAGGATGGAGAAGCGCTGCCTCTCAACTGCGGTGAACTGCGGGCTCTGTGGGATCTGCAACGGGTTCATGCCGACGCCTTGGCCTCCAGGAAACGTCGGTGTCTGGGGTGTGGAGGTGGTCGCACTTTGCGGCTGAGTTGTAGGTGTGTGCGATTGCGACCCGGGGTGGGGCGTTTGAAATTGCTGGTTCTGCCCTTGTTGAAGCTGAAGCTGCCCCTGTGCCTGCTGGGGAGGCTGTTGTTGCTGCTGAGGCTGAGGCTGTTGCTGCTGCTGCTGCTGTTGTTGATGCTGTTGTTGTTGTTGATGCTGCTGCTGCTGCTGTTGTTGCTGTTGCTGTTGCTGTTGTTGTAGCCTAAGTTGCTGCTGACGGTGAAGCTGTTGGGCCTGCGCCTGCGCCTGCGCCTGTGCCTGAGGGAGCTGCCCCTGCTGCTGACCCGGCTGGGGAGTGTGCTGTTGCTGCGGCGGAGTGGGCATGTTGGGATTCGGAGTATTCTGCGACGCACTCATGGGTCGTTGGGGAGTACCAGTCGGAGTCATACCGGCAGCCATTCGCTGCTGCATCATCGCTGCATGCTGCTGTTGTGTCGGTTGCTGGCCCACAAGCATAGCAGGGTTTAGAGGGAATCCGGCCATGCCCTGAGCAGCCATGAAGTTCGGGTTGAACTGTTGAGGGCCGCCGGCGAACTGAGCATTCATAAAGGCGCCTTGCTGGAAACCTGGAGCTGCGAAAGAAGTCAGCAAGATGTCCAGGGTCGGTGTGAGAGAATCCACAGGATGATAACGCGAGCCGGTCCGACGCAAAAGTCAATGATGCTAACTCGAGGGACGATAGGCCGGACGCTTGTCTCGGGTCTTGGGGAGGATGACCGTGTTTTCCAGCCTAGATGAAGGAGGTGAGGGGTGCATCAATCTGGACGAACTGTGTCGTGTAGAGCCCTAGCTGTACCGATCGTCGCATCGCGAGCAACGTGCCGCGAGAGTGAGCTCGATAGACGGAGGGACAACCCGGAGGATGGCTGAAAGGCCGAGAAAGGGAAGGAGAGGCAAGGCGGCGATACAGTTAGAAGCTTGCAAAGAGACGCGAATGACTTACTCTGACCAGCACCGCCCATATGAGGCATTGCGGGGTTCTGCATCATTCCAGCAGGTCCCGGACCCGACATCATGGCAGGATTCGGAGCTCCAGGAACAAAGGGCGCCTGGCCACCCATGGCGGCGAATTGCTGAGGGTTATACATCATCTGCTGCGGACCCGGCTGACCTTGAGGAATTTGTCCAGGTTGTTGTATGTGAAGGTTAGGTTGTTGATGCTGCGGTGGGGCGGCGTTGTTGAAGTGCTGCATTCCAGGACCTGGTCCATTGGGAAAGCCATAACCACCACCGGCAGGGTACATTGCTCTCTCTCTCTTCGCCTCAAACTATCACCGTGTGCCGACAGTGATACGGCCCGGGGGGGTAGGGGTCTATTTTTTTTTTTACCCTTTGGTTCTTAATGCGAGGGAGCAGAAATATACTTTTGCGGTCTCAGCTCAGCCTATCCCAGGTTCCCAAGGGGGGGGTGTCGCCTTAGCTAGCAGGCAGGTTTCGCTTCACAATGTGGCAAAAAGGTGTACTACTTGCAGCGAGCTTGCGAGCGGTGGCCAAGGCAGACGAGCCAGGGAAGCAGGGAAGCAGGGACGGCAGTTCAATTAAGGGTTGGAATTATCAATGGCTCGGGCGGAGAACATGGGCGAAAAATCTAGGAATGGATTGGGGGGGTTGTGCTTGTGTGTGGGCAATGTGGGCAAGCAGATCGGGACAATTGGGATTATCTGAGAGCAACAAGAGTGGGTCGCGCTCGAGGAGGAGGAAAAAATTGTGTGGTGGATGTGGCTGCTCAATGGCGAGACGGAAAAAAAAAAAAAAGCACAGGTTGACGCGTGGAGTGACGGGAATGGCTCGGAGTGACAGACACGGGAAGAAGCTATGAAACTTGGGACAGAGAGGACAGACAGGCAAGACCTGGTCTTCGGGAACAACTGGAGTGGTTGGCCAGAAACGGAACCTGGGACGGCTGGAGATGGGAGATGGCTGGGTTCAATTGATCAGGTCCAGCAAATTGCTTGATGTTGTCCTCAGGCTTGCCTCCTCAGTATTACCATCTCCTCAGTGCCATCTCCTCAGTCAGGACCTCGCTTTGGGAAGCGGCACAGTACGAAGTATCAATTGTAAGATATCCCTCAATTGTTGTACCTTCCCTCCGCAGTGTACCTCCGGCTGGGCTAGAGGTTGGTGGCAAGCGAAGTGGGCAAAAGAAACCCCAATACCAGATAGCTGCAGAGCTTCGGATGCTACTGCCGACTTACTACTGCCGACTTGTCCGGGGAGTTTGCCAGCTCCACGATCTCAAATCCGCAGAGTCCAAGACATAGGGTTATCTTGAGTTATCTCCTCAAATGCTCTCCTTCGTAGGAGCAACCCGACCCCAACCATTACGACGCTACTACACTACTCTCTCCATATCTATAGTGCAGTGCATTCACACTAGATCCACCAGCAAGCCAGGCGATACAACCAAGGCAAGCACCAGCAAAGATCCAGATCCACATAGAAAAGAACGAGGCGTCCGAGTGGGACACTGAATCCAATTTCCCATCTACGAAGTACACCAGCCCAACCTCGACGCTTTGCCTGAGGTCTACATCCGATGATTTCCCGATGCTTGCGGAGGCATGTCTTGTATCTTGTACCTCTGTACTGTTTCCCGAATGGGTCCGTAAGATGCCGATTTTAAGCGGCGAAGACACCAGTTGCCTGATGCCAAAAAGTAGATTCTTCGGAGTGTATTTTGAGATGGACGGGAAAATGCGCTTCTGTACTCCATTCTATACTCGAGAGCTCGGAACTTCAAAGACGGAGTCTGCAGCTGCACTTCGTAGTTCAGGCTCCGAGTCGGCGCTTGAAACCACGACGACTAATGTAGCTTCAACCTTTCTCACAGAGATGGTCTCTCCGGAACACCACCTCACCATGACCATCTCCGTCTTGCTTCATCTTCCAAGGCAACGCATGTATTGGTGAAGAAATAGATGTGTATACAAGTACAGTATTAGATTTTTTTTATATACAAGGCCAAAGATATAACTTCCAACGGTTCAAGGATAGTCATCGAACCCGGAACGTTTTTCTTTTATTTCCTCAACTTCTTGGAGCTCGATTTCTTCGAGATGTGTGTCGTGGCATACTTTGAAGTGCCAGCAATGACCTGGAGGAACTCATCGGCAATGATCTCATCTGCAGACGTGTTAGCAACCTTTCCTTCGAATAAGAGACGAGTCGCGTCTGCAGCTTACCTGTGCGCGCCGAGGGGTGCAGTTCGTCATACCAAAGGAAGCTCGAACTCGCCTCCTCAGAGTCAACGCAATTAGAGTTATTCTGCGCTTCACAATGGTGGTAGTATCCGGTCACATCCGCAGGAGCATCGAACAGCTCGTCAGGATTGGCAATGAGGTCGTTAAGGAGGCTATGGACGTCGAAAATGGTAAAGCTCGCGCCGGGCCATCGGTTCTCGACCAAGAGGTTCGCGGAAGCGCCGTAGCTGAGCATGGTATTGACGCTGGTGGAGTACTGGTGGATCTTGTTCTTGTACTCCAGGACGTTGTAGGCGGTCTTGTTCTGCCAGAACTGACTGTCGAGAGTACCGCCAAGCTCGGGGAGGTTGTACAGAGGAAGCTGCTCGAGAGGAACGATGTTGAGAAGGACAAAGTTGCGTCCGCCAGTCTCGTACACGCTGTCGAAGACGCCAAAGACGCAGTCAACGAAGCTCGTGAGCGTAGTACCCGGCTTGTTATTGTCACTCAAGAAGGCACCGAAGCCGAGGTCGTTGGTGCCGATCCAGAGAGTATAGACGGTGTTATCAGCCGTCCGGTTGCCGTAGAGCTCGTCGAACTCCAGGTCAGCCTTGAAGGCGGGGACCTCATAGTCCGCGACCGACGGGAACGGCTGGCCAATGAGCGGGAAATCTCTCTCGACGATGGAGTTGGAGCAAGTGGCGCCGCTGACGGCGTAGTTGAAGGACTTGGCGCCAGACTTTTCGGAGACGAAATGCGGCCAAGTATAGCCGCCGCTGGCGGTGTTGGAGCTTGTAGGGAGGAGCTCGCCAGCGGGGGGCGCCTCGCCGTTGTGGCCGATGAAGTAGCCGAGACGGCCTTCGTCGGTGTAGCTGTCACCAAAGGTGACGAGGTTCTCGAACTTTTTGAGGCCGCAAGTGGCTGCGGTCGCCAATGGCACCAGGGCAGCGGCAATGGATAGCGTGGCCTTCATTGTTAGCGTGACGTGTAGAAGACAATCGGTATGAGCAACTACTGGAAGGTCACACGCGTTTCGAGGAAGCTCGGCTCCAAACTATGGGCCAAAAAAAAAAAAAATGAATGAATGAGTGGCAAGAGGAAAGAGATGCTCTTGACTAACATCCCATGTCCGGGATACAACAACGGGGGGGGTTCGCCGGCTTTTTAATATGGTTACCATGGACCCAAGAACCACTGGCTCAGTCGCTTTGCATCCCTCTTCAATATCATTGACCCATTCACCCGGAATTCGCGATGCAGCGGGGGACCCGGCGCCTATTTCCGGACGGGCAGAACTTTGAGGAGAAACAGCGGAACGGTCCCCGCCGTCTGCGCTCGCACTCCAGGTAAACCGCATCAATATATGTGTCAACACAGACAAGACCCAGCCAAAACACAATCAGTCGCCTGCGACCGCCGCCCGCAAGATGCGCTTGACCTGTCGACAGCGTCGTCAATTTTGGTAGTGACGGTGGGTCCGGACAAGGGAGGTGCAGCTTCACGTTCCATTATTTCGATCCCAACTTTCCACCACTAAGATTCTTCGGTGTTGCCTATGGCATTTTCCCCCTGGAGCACCCGCGAGATCCACGTCGTACAGCTCTCTGGGGTAGTGGACGCCGACGGTGAGCCAGAAAGTCGGAAAATTCGGGTTGCCAGTAATGGATTTATGCAGCCAACTTCTCAGTCGTCGACGGCGGACATCAAGCCTGAGGTTGGGGAGGCCCGGTTAACCCTCGACCGCTTCGAACCACGGTGGGAATAGAACCAATATCCTTTGCAGGCCTGCTTCGTAGGGCTTCATTCGTTGCCGCAATCTTCGACAATTCAGCCTGAAATCAGTCTGCCCGTGAGAGGATCGAGCAAAGTGCAACGGAAGAAAGGCTTCGATGAAATGTCCCTCGCGGGAAAGCACAGACTTAACCTGAAGTCTGTTTAAAATTACATTCTGCATGACCCTGGCTATTTTCCAGAGAAGCCCCGTTAGTTAAACCGAGTCTTGTGTCCAAGCATCCAGTCGGCGAGTCGCGAAGACAGTCAAGATTCGACCAAATTTTTTTGTGTCCGAAAGGGGCAATTCGTACGAGAGCTCCCAAAGACGGCGTGGCGCGAATGCCAAGCCTGCAAGGGACAATGCACGAGGAACTGATGATTTTTAATTGGAATTAGGCTCCGACCAGGATCGTGTGTAACGCGTCTCACAAGATGAATTGATCAAAACATCTTTAGCGCCTTTTCCTGGGATCATGGCGCAGTCAATAACAGGTTATGCTATTGCCCTGCCATAACCTCCCAGCCAGAGGAATCCATAATCTACTTGATGCCTAGAATACTCCTCTCCTGCGGTTTACGCCCGTAAAGACTCAAGTTCCAGCTCCGGGACCGAGGAGAACTTTGAGCCCATTCTTGGTTACACAGGAGGATCCGTCTTGATTTCTTGGCAAATGAGGCGGTGATCGGGAATCCAGGGCCGGATTGGTTTAGTTTTGTATGACCATTGGAATTAAATCTCCTCAAGAGGGGACCAATTCCCGACGGACGACCCCCGTGATGACGGGAAGGATGCGAATTCCTCTCTGGCTGCCTAGTTGTATAGTATTTCCATATGTCGGTGGAGTTTAAAGACGAGCAAGTTTTCATGTTGTCTCGTTCGCGTATCTAACCTGGGTTGAGAATCTCTCCAACCTACATCGTCACTCGTTCACGCTCGCTCTCGCGTCGGTTGGTCTTCATGGCTTGTCCACTCTAACTTATTCACATCTCGAACCTGTCACTCGTTTCCTCAAGGCTAGTTAAGCCGTTCCACTCGTTTCATTTACAAGCTGTAGAAACCCGTTTTCGTCTTCTCAAAATTCATCGAAAATGAAGTCTCTCAGATCTGTGTTGCTCGCGAGCATTGCGGCGGCTCCGGCCATGGCCGTTCTTCCCAAAGACTTGGACGTCAACGACCCAGGCAAGCCGGACCCCTTTAGCCTTTCGCTGTGTCGGATATTAGAACGTCACATCAACTTCCTAGTGGAAGTATGCACAAATCTACCTCTCGTTGCTTCCAGATCCCTCAATATGTTAACATTTTCTCTCCGGTAGCGTCGGTGAAGGGCGTTGCCAGTAACGTCGCCTCCAACCTCATGTCCTATTACGCACCCGAGAACTCCACCGTTGTAAGTCGACATCTTTCTTCCGAGACTCGTCGCGGACTTCTTTCTCGGTTCAGATTCGATCAAGTACTTATCTTCCTTCCGTCTCTCTCCCCAGCAAACCATTGGAACCTTCTTCCCATTCGTCGACTTCTGGACCGCCGGCGCAGTCTGGTCCAGCCTCATCGAATACCAACACTTCACTGGTGACAAGTCCTACAACGAAGCCATCATCGCCGCCCTCACCGCCCCCGATAACCTCGGCCCCAACAAAGACTACCACTACAACGAATCCATCGCCTTCCCGGCCGGCGACGACGTTGCCACCTGGGGCCTCGCCGCGCTCACCGCCGCCGAGCGCAACTTCCCCCAACCCGAAAAAGATCTTCCCTCCTGGCTTACCCTCAGCCAGAACTCGTTCAACTTCCTCACGAGCCTCTGGGACAATGAAACCTGCGGCGGCGGTATCGTCTGGCAGCTCAACCCGAGCCTAAGCTCGACCGGCGTATGGAAGTCGACCCTTGTAACCGGTGCCGTTTTGCAGATGGCCGCCCGTCTCGCCCGCGCCACAGGGGACAAGGATGGCAGTTTGGTGCAGTGGGCCAACAAGATCTGGGACTGGACCGACGAAGTCGGCTTCATAAACGACGAATACGCCGTCTACGACGGCGCGAACCCGGAATTGGACTGCAGCACGCCGAGCAGGGTCCAGTGGACTCATGCCTCGGGACTCCACATCCTTGGCGCGGCAGTCATGGCCAACCACACCGGCGACGCCAAATGGACCGAGCGCGCGACCAAACTCATCGACCACGCCTCCGAGGTGTTTTTCCGAGCCAGCAGCAAGGAAGGCGGCATTGATCCGGGCGACATCCTCACCGAGACCGCCTGCGAGGCTGGGCTCATGTGCACCCACAGCATGAACGCCATGAAAGGTCTCCTCGCCTCCGCCATGTGGCGTGCGGCGCAGATGGTCCCCGCCCTCGACGCAAAGGTCCGTCCCCTCCTCACGGCGTCGGCCAAGGCTGCCGCGGCGAAGTGCACGGCCGGCAAGAACCAGGACCGGTGCCAGTCTTATTGGGCGATGGATAGTCTGAGCATGGTGGGGCCGGGCGAGCAGCTTTCCGTTTTGAATGTTGTTCAGGGCCTTTTGATCGCTGAAGCGGATGCTCCGTATGCTGAGGGTCAGATTACTGAGGTGACGGATCCCAATGGCTCTTCGAAGCCTGGCAGTGGTGGTAGTGGTGGCAGTGATAATGAGGACGAATCCGGCGCCGTAGGCAAGCGTATGAGCGTTGCCGTTGTTATGGGTAGTCTCATGGTTGCCGTCTTCGGTTTGCTATAAAAAAAAGGTGTTCATCATGAGATTTATATCGATCTAGTCCAACCTACCATTCTCACATCTAGATTTATATAAATTTTAAAAAAGAAGAAAAAAGAAATGGGGTCTACTCTCTTCTTACACAAGAAGACCGCCCGCCACACCAGCTGCTATCCAATCGTTACGCCGCAGTACCCCTCACCTCCTCCAGCGCCGTCCTCAGCGCCGCCAAAAGCCTCGTAACCTCCTCCTCGGTCCCGACCGTTATCCTCAAACAGGCCAAACATCCATGCTCCTTCCCCCTAAACCTCACAACGACGCCCTTCGCCTCAGCAAGCATCTGATACACCTTCTGCGCAACCTCATTATCCGGCTCCCCCTTAGCATTCAACATCTCATACAACAAAAAGTTGCTGTCCAACCCACCCCTCCTCCTACCGACGCCAGGAATCTTGGGCAACTCCTCGACCAGCCTATCGCGCTGTTTGAGAAGCTTCTCTCGGTTCCCACGCATGACCTCGAGACCCCCTTCGGAGACGGCGTACGTCGCCAGCGAGCTCGTGGGGCTGGAGATGTTGTAGGGGGCCTTGAGGTTGTTGAGCAGGGCGGCGATGGCGGGCGAGGTGAAGGCGGCTCCGAGACGGATGCCGGCCATGCCAAAGGCCTTCGATAGGGTCTGCATGACGAGGAGGTTGGGCCACTCGAGGACCCATTCGGCGAGGGAGGTGCCGTCGGGTGCGAAGTCGATGTAGGCCTCGTCGACGACGACGATGCCGTTCCAGGTGGGGTGCTCGAGGATCTTTTGGATGTCTTCCTTGGCGAGGACGCTTCCGGTGGGATTACCTGGGGAGCACAAGTATACGACCTTGATATTGGGTTCCTTGGAAAGCGTCTCGGTAACGGCAGCGACGTCAATGGCGAACTCGGGAGCGGGCAGGAGAGGAGCCTTGACGATGGCAACGTCGTTCACCTGTGCGGAGACGGAGTACATGCCATACGTAGGGGGACACGTCAAGATCCTATCCTTGGCGGGGACGCAAAACGCGCGGAGAACGGCGTCAATGGCCTCGTCGCTTCCGACGCCGACGAAGAGATTCTCGGGCTTAAGCTTCTTTTGCGTGTGGGTGTGGGTGTTGCGGAGGGCGCAGAGCTTCTCCTTGAGAGCTTCTTGGTGGGGGTCCGGGTAGCGGTGGAGGCCGAGGAAGTCGCGGGCGGTTAGGAGATCGGAGTCGACTTTGGATGCGAGAGGGGCGACGGATGGGCCGTAGGCGTTTTCGTTGGCGTCGAGGAGGATGTTGGTGCCGTCATCTTTGTAGTCACTTTTGCGCTGGTGGTCAGCTCTGGGGTCGGCGGGGAGGGAAACCGTATGTACGGAGGGGAATCAAGGGAAGGTGCGTGCTTACTCTCGCGCACATCGGTAGGGGACCAATGCCAGTATATTGGGCCGGGCGCACTCCGCAAGGTTGAATGGAGACATTGCGATCTATCAAGGCCCGTATTGGTGACGAGAGTCGAAGAGAGCTGAATAACCAATAAATTCTCGAGTGTTGGTGTCTCTCGAACGTTGGAGGACTGCTAATTCTTAATATATTCTATCTCGTAGGGATTGGAGATCGGGGTTGATTGGATTGACCACTCCAGAGGTGTTGAGTCATATATAACTCTGCTAGTTCTCTCAGGCCCAATTTCAATCGCTCGTGAAAGAGTCACCGTGGCTGCATTGCAGAATCGATTTCGCCGATTTGATTTTAGTCTGTCGTTCCGTTGTCGGGTCCCTTGAAAAATACCATCTCAAAGTACCAAACTACAAAACTATACAAAACTACCCCGCCCCCACCACGAAAGTTGATTGTTGTCGCCCAATGACTCTGTCCAATGTTCCTTTGGATATTGTGATCAATCAAATTCAAGCTCGCTCCATCAATTGAATACTCCATTGCCTGGACTTCACCCACCGCACCGATCTACATCCTCCGAAGCTAGCAAAGGGCGTGCCTGAGGTCAATTCGAGGACCCGTTTGGCCAACCACCAAGGTTCGATTACCTCAACTATCGACTGATTGACCCAGGGGTCAAACTCAGAGTTTGCAGAACCGACCCGACGTGACCCATACTCCGACAAGACTGCATTAGGAAACTTGCTCAAATATTACTCACCGAGATCACATTCTTGATACAACAATAGCGATCAGAGGCATCTATTCTATTCATCACCGCCTTTGACATATATTTCCATCTGCCAGATCCAGCACAGCGGAGATCAGTTAATAAGACTCGATACCGCCCACCTCATTCATCCAGCACATCCCATCAGTACCGTCATAACTCCGTACAATAAACTCCCCAACATCCAGAATTTCTAAAAAGAGTCCAACAAAGAAGCAAAAGGCAGCCTAATAGCCGCGGGTATAGTCCCCAAACCTAAAGAAGCCCATTCGAGGCAGGAAAAGAAAAGAAGAAGAAGAAACAAAAAACCCAATAAATGCCACGCATCGCCAGTAATACATATTTCCCCCGGATATAGTACGTTTCCGTTCCCAGTTCATCATAATCATAACGGTGGAAGGCCCAGTCCACATCCTCAACACCCACTCCTGGGACCCAAAAGTCTTCTCTAACTGCAAATACCACCAATCCACTTGGCGAGTTTAGAAGGGATTCCTCCGAGCTATCATCCCTAGACCACAATGCATGTCGTAGCATGCATGCAGACTATAACGTGACGCCGGTCAGAACCGCCGCTCCAACGGCAGCAGCCACAACGGCCCACGCGCCCTCTCCATTTCTCCGCCGGCCCACCCCGGTGCTCTCCTTATCCGGCGCTCCGGTCTGTATCGGAAATATGCTATCATCGGACGGAAATCCATGCGGCGCAATCTCGTCGGCCGTAACCGAGCTTTCGGGCGTCTCCATCGCCGTCGCAGTCAAATCCGTCAACCCGTTCGTCTGCACTTCGACCTTATCCGTGATCGTGATGACGGCCCAGGCGACTTCGGATCCGGTGAAAGTCGAGGTCCAAGTTACTTCGGTGGGGCCGACGTAATTTCCGAGGCTGTAACCAGACTTGAAGCTAGAATATCCGGAACACGTCGCTTGGGTCGTGCCTTTGAGATCGCATTCGAGATTCATGATGCTAAATGGCGGTCGGTCAGGACAGCTGCTCTAACTAGCACAAGTTTTCTGGCGTCGACTGGATTAATCGAAACATACTAGGTAGAGGTGAGGGTGCCGTGGAATATCAGCGTGCTAGGACCTTCGGTAAATGTGAATGGGAGGTCTCCAGCCAGGTTACACCTCTGTGGAGTTTGTGTCGGGCAGAAAATTGTATACGCCGTTTTATCGTCGTCCTGAACCGCATCGTTAATCCCAGCGAAATGAGAAACCTCGAATATTCTAAATAGTCTGACATGGGAGAGGCGCTAAGGGCGATGCAAAGAGAGGTGGACCGCGTACTTTTGTTAATATGCTCGCATGCATATCCAGCCACCATTTCGATCTATAGTGGGGTAGGAAGACCGACACCGTATCCTCCTTTGCAGAAGCAGAAGCTGCAGGCGCAGGGAGGAGGGACAGCCATATAGGCAACAACGCCGCTATAGACCGGCGCATTCGCATAGCAGAAATGGGAATCGCCCCGTACCGGGCCGGAAAGAGTTCGGCGTCACGGCGGTTCGGCGAACGAAAGGAGCACAGCAGTAACAGCACTCTTGGTGTTGCTCAAAAAACTTCCAGGTACCAGAACGATGAAAAGAATCGGTGCCGCCGACAGCAGCTGGAGCTGTGGTGCGCAACAACTCTGCGATCGAATGTATCCTGGTTCTAGTGTAAGGTGACGAAGAAAACCTGTCGAGGCTGCAGACGAGGCTATCGTAACATAAGTGGAGTCCAGTGGTAGCTGCGAGCGCTCGGTGAGGGGATTATTTCTTGGTCTTGGCGGAGTCGAGAGGGTCAGGGGGGTTCTCGAGTTGAGGAGGAGGATGAAGGACGATTCAACGATATTATATGCATCGGCAAGCGAGAAGGAAAATGCAAGGGAATGGAAGAAAAGAGAGACGGAGGAAAAAGCACAAAAGCGACCGTCGTCGCCGCGATCTTGGCGGTCATAATCACTATCAATTTGGAATGCCAAGGGCTCGGCAGCGTCTTGGCTCGACCCAGCGAATTGAGCAGGTCCGAGATCATTTCAACACGTTCCCCCAGCGCAGGTATCTTTGGCGTGGGAGTCGGTGTTAGAAAACAACGAAGAGCTCCGAAGAACCTTCGCCGTTACGCTCGAAGAAGCTGGAGGGCCAGCAAACTGCTCCGCCAACTTTCATCGCAAGCTTAGGAAGTCCATGGCTCTTGGATCCGAGGAGCGAGGAGAAGGCTAAAGATGCGACATCAGCGTCGTGTTGTCGCTCTTCGCTGGAGATGGACTGGGCAGTTCTTGGCTAGTCTTGGATAAGGTCTCTAGCGAATAGGATTGAGTGTCTCGTCCTTCGGTACTTTTCTATACTTCATAGTGCGTTAGGCTACACTGCAGTTGTGTTGCGATCAATTAATACTCCTAAATTGTTACTGTCCCTTGAACTATTTGTGTTCCTAGCTCCCTGTAAGGCCAACATCGAACCCACGTGACACTTGGCAAAACTTGGCCGTTTCTTCTCCTCGTTGTCGTGTTACATAATGCCTCTACTTCACAGCGTTGAACTTTTCTCTCGTTCAAGCACACAACAGCGAATCTCAACTTAATTTAAATTGCATCAAATGCAGTTGATGCAATAGAGGAAATGCGCTCCCATAGAAAAATTTACCGTCAGGCTTCAAATACTTTGTGAGTCCTCGTTTTCTCTTTGAATCTGGCCTGGCTGGTCAGTGATATTTACAGGAGGGACTGAGCATGGTGGGAGAGCCACACATGGCACCGGTGTGTAAGTCGCAAGATGTTCAGTCGCAAGATGTTATCGAAGGAGGAGCTCACGTCCCGCCCTTACTCTAAGGAGACAACGTATAACTTCCTACGATAGCTCAAATTCCAATGTCTTCTTCCAGCCATTCGGCTCAGCCCGACGGTTCCTGATTCAAGCTCTCTCCATCCATGCTCGATGCCATGCCCAGTCTGCTTGCATGAGTTGTATGAGTCCTCTGATGGAGGGCTTCGTACTTCGCACGCAGGGTAGGAATACTCACCTTACCCTTGCACGCCGAGACAGGGACCCGTTCTTCCCCAGCCCAATCTATTCTAGCTCCGCTTGAATGGGACGAGTAATTAATAGCGTTCCATCAACGTCCCAACTGAAGCGCAGTGGCCCGAAGTCAGTGCATCTGGGGGATAATTTTATGACAGACCATGGATAAAATAAATCTAACAAAAATAAAATAAAATAAAAAAAGAGAAATAAAGAAATCATAAGAAGAAAGAGAAGAAGGTAGAGGAAAGACTATCGTGAGATCTTGGTATCAATAGCTGCTGCTCTGGCTATCTCGGAGCTCAACCTCGTCTAAGTCATCCTTGACGGCTTCTCATCAACAATATTTCCACTGCGTTGCAAGTTCTTCGCGCTAATCGTCTCACAATGCGCCGGTTCGCCGTTTGCGCTGCTTTTGCAGCTTCCGTTGTGGCCCAGAACTCCACGGTCTCACTCTTTCTCCCCGTCGACCCACTGGACCCGGGGACCTCCTTGAGTGCCTCCGTTGTAAACGTCGACAGTCATTCCCACACCACCTACGAGATTACTTGCGAGCAATGCGAGGGTGCTACGATTACTGCGATCGATGGACCCGACACCGCCCAGTTCGCCATCCATATTGGCCCGTGAGTCTCACTCCTCCCCTTTCAGCCCCATCGCTCAATTTTGGATCTCCTAACTGCTTCGTGGATAGAGAGACCCCTCGACCCAGAGAGTATCTTAAAACGATGGATGTCACTTGCCGGCTCGTGGAAGAGGATATCGGGTCCTGCACAGTCAGTATAGTCTACGTGGAAGAGTCCGCCACCAAGAGTTTCAACAGCGCCATGGAGACCGAAGCCTGGTACGCGCCGCTCACCATCACTGCCGGTGTCGAGAAACTCTCCGCCACGGCGACGCAAACAGGCCATGACCAAAATACCGCTGCGCCTACAACCAGGGCAATGCGCCCTTCCTTAGGCAGCCTCGGAATCCCGTGCTTGCTGCGGCCGCCGCTGTTGTTGGAGGCGCGTTGTTGATTTGATGAGTTTGGGAAGCAGGAGTTGATTTCGTGGTTGTAAAATGAGTTGATGGCGAGTGGTGACCGTTTATTCGACTCTACCACATTGCACATTCATTCTAGAGGGTTCTTGCCGCTCAATACCACATTTGGGGGATGCTGATGGTAAAGCCGGGTTGAGGATTACTGGCTTTTGCAGGCAGTTTCTTCGGGGCAGCTACGACCTGTGAGGTCCCCAAGGCTACGTGAAACATTCCTTCCAGAACGGACGATGGCATTCTCGTCTCATAAGGCTCTAGAATCGGATGAAACTGGCGGAAACAAACACAGGAGGCCCTCAGCTACTTCAATCTCAATCCATACAGAGCTCCTTCTCCTTTGATTTCCAGCATTCCATTCGATAGTCACCTCACCAACCGACAAAGCATACACCCATTATTTCATCCCCCCCCTAAGGTATACTCGAGCATTTACCTCGACCGTTTACCCTGCAGAATGCTTACAATAAACAGGGGCACGTACCAGTCATATAGGACAAACGGCATATACTTCACCGAGGGAAGATGTCGGCGCCTGGTTGGATCGGATACTTCTTCTTAGCCCTCCTTGTTTTCTTGCTCACCGTCGCCGTGATCTGGATGGGCCATGTCTCCGGCTGCTTTGCGCAAGGCAGGTTGCTCTGGCTCGATCACCGTCGGCGCCGTCATGCCGCCAGCACCGCCAACACCCGAGAAGATAGTGGAAACCAAGAGCGGGGCCTGGCACCCGGCCATGAGCGGGAGCAGGATAGCATTTCCTTGCTAGATCAGGCTTCAGCCTCACCGCAGCAACCGCTTCGAGTATGTCCACATCCCTTCATTTTACTTGGCGCAAAAAGATTCAACCTTCTGACTGAGTGTTCTTGTTGGCAGTTCCTCTAGGATTCTTGTCAAGGAATCTCTCTAGCTGCAAAAAGTCAACTCTATTTCATATGATGATTATGACACACAAGACACATTCGTATATGGAATGGAGAATATATGGGAAAACGAGTCATGATATGAAGTTGATTTCGATGGAATCAAGGAAGGTTTCAGCAAATTATGCCCCATACCGGGGACGAACCCTCGTTCTAATAACTTTTCCATGCTTCCAAGAAAGGCTGCTGTGCGCAAAGATAAAACCGACCATCTATAAAGGCCAAAAGCTCCCAAGACTCCCCTTCTAAGGTGAGAGTCTCCGAATCTCTCTTTTCCCCTTCAAAACCAGATAGCCCGCCCCTAATTCCCCCGAAACTACCTCGGCACCGGCTGCTACGTCTCCGTCCCATTTGCCGGGTTCCCTTCCATCGCATTCGCGGCATTCGCGGCATTCGCCGCGTTATCCGCGTTAGCTCTCTCCGCATTCGTCATCTTCCTCACTATTGCCTTCCCTCTGCCCATCGTATTCGCCATGTTCCCCCCCTGCGCATTCAGCGCGGCCATCGCATTCGCCAGGGCTGTCGCATTCTCAATGTCCCGATACTGCCGCTGCCGTCTCCTCTTCTTCTTCACCTTCTTCTCCATTATCCTAAACTCAGTCCCCCAATACACAGCCACAATGGCAACAACACCGAAAGCGGCCCAAGTCAAAACAACAAACTCCACCCCCCGCGTGGCCGCAACCCCAACCTGCTCACCGGTATCGTTAATCCTCTCAACGGCAGTTCCGGCCGCCCCAGTCGCGATAGCCGATCCCAGCCCGAGGCTAAACCAGGCGACGATGGCAAACACGGCGTTGGTGACGATCGGGGTGAGGGCGGACTCGTCGGACGGGGCGGGCGTGGACGGGGAATAGAAGATAGCAACGACGTTGCAGATGGCGCCGAGGCCGATGAAGATGATGGCGAGGACGTAGAGGACGAAGGCGGCGTGAAGGTTGCTATTGAACTTGGCGATTTGGCGCTCGATGCTGAAGGGCCAGGGGAGATCGGCGAGGGTGAGGTTGGCGGGGCCGGCGGTGATTTCGTCGTCGAGTATTTTGGTGAAATTGATGCGGTCTTCGATATGATGTGAGCTTTCTTACTTTCCTTTTTCCTGTACGAAGAGTGAGAGAAAGAGAGAGGGGGGGGACACTTACGTCCAGGGCTAGTGTCGGCGCAGTGCATAACGTAGAGGCCAGGAGGGTCGTCTTTAAAGTTGCCCTGGCAAAACTGTAGGATGTGTACGGAGTACCACTCCTCGATGCCGAGTTTCTGGGTGAGATTGGAGGTGATGTTGTTGCCAGCCTCGTTGATCTTGTTGGGGAAAAAGTCACCAATACCATCAATGCCACACTTGCAGGTCTGGTTGTTCTTGTCCCTTCCATCGGTAAGGAGGTCCTTGGCAAAGTTGGTCATATTCACCTAAGGCTTCGAGTTAGTTTTGCTTTATTCCCACTAACTCAGGGCGTGGAAATGGCTCGAGGTCAGCTTACCCTGACGATGGCATACTCCTCCATGAAACCGTCCTTGAACCCGGCAAAGAGGGCGAGGAAGGTAAGCACGAAGCCCCCAATCACGAAGGGAAGGGGGATAATGTGCAGAACCTTTATTTCTATTGATGAGTTAAAATGTACCATGACGTGAAAATTGGGCAAGAAATGTAGGGAAACGCAAGATTTGCAAACAACTTGAAAGCCAGCAAGTTGGAAACTTGTAAGTCTGTGTAAATGTAACGGACTCTTGGGAATGGGATAAAGAGGAAGTCGAGGAAGCAAGTTGATAACCAAGAAGAGACTGAGACACTAAATAGTAGCCCCAAGCAGTTCGGTCCCAGAGTGAATGAAAACTGAGGGAAAGTGAAAGAAAGAAAAACAGGGACAATTAAACTCTATGGGGTTATTGAGTTCGAGACTGAAAATGAAAGTCGTGAATCATTATCCGAGGGGGAGGTCCGCTCTATAGATATCATGCTTCCTTGAAGAAAATGAGACAAGGGCCGGCCCAAGTGAAAACCTGCGGCTCCAACTCCAGCTCGCCAGCAAATGCCTTAAAACCAACCCGCAATAGACACAATAAAGGAAAAAAAAGACAGATGCAAAAACAGAAATGGCCGATCAAAAGAATAGAAACAACCCCAATAACCCTACAGCCCGTGACGAACAAGGCTCTGCCACATCAACCAACCACCCAGTTGCGGCGTCTCGCCAACCGGCCATCGCGTGTCGGTGTCCAGGCGCCGCCGAGATCGTGGTGCTGGCCGTTTTAAAGTGTAGTCAGTTCTTGCATAACGCAATGTAGGAAGTAGGGGCTGGCAGAAGAACTCCTTCAATCTCGGGATCAAGCCTTTGCGTCTCGTCCGTGAACTAAACTTTTATGGTGAAATGAAATCATAGGGGGACGAAGATACAAGTCTAAGCCCATCCTCTACCCCCTGGTCTAAAAACTAACCGATGATAAATAGGTTTAAATGCACAGCATAGCCGATGGACCCAAGGAACCAGAAGGGTAAATCGCTCACCTAACCCTACCCTGATGACCCTCGCAGGTCATACACATCATCCTTCTCAACCGTGATGATTCTCCCCCTTCCGGCCCTCTGCGAGCGAATATGCCTCTCTAAAGCAGCCGCTAGTTCCGCCCCAGACCGGTACATGGCTCTTTCGGTGGCGGTCGTCTCCTCCGTGATTTTTATCCCCGACTTCATCCTCAAGACCTCTATCTTTCCCCAATCCCCCGCCCAGTCCACGCCCCGACATCCCTTCCGCCCTTCACCCCCTTTCTCTTCGTCGCTTTCTAACAGAGTCTGCTCGCTGCGCATCAACGCGGCGAACCAAGCCCCGCACCCTGTGATGTCGAGGTACTGAAGCTGGTACAAGCTCTTGCTAAGGGTTCGCAGGATGTTCACGGCTTCGACCCAGTCTTGGTCCAGAGAGTGCGAATATGGTCCCGTTCCGCCGTATTGTATCGAGTTTCCCTGGGGCCCGACGACCGACGCATACTTTGCGTTCGGCGTGCGCATGGGCTCGGGCCAGAATGCCAGGCTGAGGTGGGTCAATCCCGGTAGCTTCTTCGCCAGTTGGAGAAGGTGTCTCCAGGATGGGAGAGTATGCCGCGGAATTGCATCGCCCATGCAGATGGCTGGGTCAACTGCGAGCGAGAGGTGGGTAAGAGAGGGGAGTAAGCGGCCGGGCGAAAGTGAAAGGGTGGAGAAATCCATCTCCCAAGAGTCTTGCGGTTCACTCTTCAGTGATGGTATCTCCTTTGAGGACACCCTGGGAAAAAGAAGACTAATCAAGGATGGAAAGGTAGAAGCCGTTGAGAGCGAGGCCGGCACATGGAGGTGAGTAAAATAGGCGTTCGTAGCAACCACTCCACTCCCCTCGTCATCGGTCTCTTCATCTGGGACTAGTATCGCCTTCAAATCTCCAAGATTCACATCTCTCCCGTGATAGGCCTCAATATACCGTATCATAGCCTGCCTCGTCCGATCCGGCAAAGCCCACAAATTCAGCTCTTCAAGCGGTCCCAGCTCCCGCCACTCCCTAGCCACGCACTTCAATGCAGCATCGACCAGGCTGAGCCTGCCGGGGACATATTCCCCAGGCAATGTAACCGTCGCACGGTCGTAGGCTTTTGCTTCAAAGCCCCGTCTGCGCCCGTCCGCCTCCGAACATCCGCTTATCGCACCGGCCTGCCAACTGCGTGGCGGCGGGGGTCCCGGAGGTAATCTCCTCCCACGCGCATCGTACCTAACCCGGCCGCGAGTCCTAGGCAAGGGGGCGGGTGTCTCGGGGAGCTGGAGGATTTCGCGGATGACGGGAGGGACGCTGGGAGCGGCGACGTGGTGGTTGGATCGTGGGGATGAGGATCCTTGGCGACGGAGAGTGGCGAGGAGCTCGTTGACACCGGGAGTCTCGTTGCGGTTCCTAGCTGTTGGATTTGAAAAGAGAAAGGTTAGTCTAGTTATTGAGTATGGGGTGGTGTTGCGTAGAGCAGAGGGGTCTTGAAGAAGGGCTTCGGGATGAAAGGCCGAGCTTCGTCGGCTATCGCTCAAGGACTCGGGTAGGAACATACTAGAG